ATCATACACAGCTTCAACATCAACTTCAGGTTCAGAAACAGTTTCAGCAACAGCTTTTTGGAAAGCTACAGCTTCAGCCAGAGTTGAACCTGATGACTTCGTCATCTAAGTCAAAACTCGCACATCATCATTTGCTGTCCTTATGTTTTAGACTTTACCACTGTTGGTGAGTAGAATTTTTGTTTTACATTCATATGTATTATTTAAAACATATATGAACAGTAAATAAGTGTTGCTTTCATATTTATATGTAGAGAAATGACAATATGTTTTCACATGTGCGCACTTACTATTCATACGTTGGCGTTCCCAATCGTCTCGCTTTATTTCTTTACCATTAGTGGTTAGCTACTTCTAGTGTTCCATTTATTAACATTACAAATAACATTACTTAAAACATACATACAGGTATTAATTTTTTTTAACATTAAGATCACTACAGCTACAACCAGGGTCTTATTTTCTTCATTTTCCCGTGAAGAACTATTGTCTCGGACTCCCGGCTGTAAACACTAACGAAAACAATGGCATCCCATCTCCTCGTGTGACCATATTATTATTCATTTATATTGTATAAAGTGCATTCAGAAACATTATTTAAAGAATATAGTTTGCAATTTTCATGAATTGTATTGTTTTGGGGTGAAAAGAGGGTAAAAAGCCACACAAAAGATATGAAAAGATCACACGTGGGAACGCATCTCATCATTATTGCTTTACTTTAATGGTAATTAATGATTCGCGATACGATGATTCGCCTTACACTGCAATATTGGAGGACACATTACCATTGTTATTCGAGGCTTTACTGTACTGTTGATATTGCAGGGAGGAAACTCCCAGAGGGTCAGGGTATTTCCGAGTCATGATACCTAAGAACCCCAAACTTCCTGAAATTTTTAGTTTAGAATGAACATTCTCAGGGATTTTATATACCATATGACGCCCCCCCCCCTTTTTTTTAGCCCGCTTAGAGTTTTAACATCTGTGGGGGGAAAAAAAATATTTGGTCTATCATACATTTGGGGTCACTGAGCAGCTGGTGTTGCCGGAAACTCCCGTACGTCTGGCAGCAGCGTGTACTGCTTTGGCTGTGTGTGTGTGTGTGTGTGTGTGTGTGTGTGTTTAATAATATATAAAAACCAAACTTTGAGCTATACTATTCAGGATTATTTTGGTAAAAAATAATATATAAATACAGGTACTCCCCGACTTACGACGGGGTTAAGGACCGACATCCAGGTCGTAAGTCGAAATGGTCGTAAGTCGGATATGGTTAAATAACACATAGAAAATCGAAAATTTGGGTCTCTTTTTCTTCTCAGCACCACAAAACACTCACTTTTGAGCTTGCCAGCCATTTTAAAGTGAATTACAGATGAAAATTTTGTCTGTGTACTGATTTTGGGACTCAAAAATACATAATTTGACCACATTTTGGTACGACTGAGGCAGGTCGTAAGTGCGGGTGGACGTAAGTTGAGTCGGTCGTAAGTCGCGGGTACCTGTAAATAAATGAATTATAAAAAATATTATAGACTCGTATAATGATTTATTGAAATAGCCTTGTAGAGATTTATTCGGGATAATTTCGATACCAAATTCATTTTCTAACATAATTAGAACGGATGTTATAGAGAAATGTTTAGGCACTTTTTTGCTCGCTGTAAATATTTTTGCTTGTGACAGCAGCCTCATATAATAGGAGAGTGATAAGAGAATTGTACAAAGTAGAAGAGTGTTTCATATGGTATACATTATTAAAGAATTATAATACAGTGGTTCCTCGATTAACGAACGGCTCAATTAATGAAATTTTGATTTATGAATTAGCTCCCATAAGGATTTTGTTCCATTAACGAACTAAACTTCGATTAGCGACAGCCTTACGAGAAACACGCTTTGTTGTGTGCATCAGCTGATCGGCTAGTCCGCCAATTCAGTAATTGGTTCTATGTTTACATTCGTTTCCAGTGCAGTTAATATCAAGAAAGTTGTGCTCTTGAATATTTTTGCATTTTTTACATTAAAATTATTGGTCATTCTGAAATTTAGTTTAACATATTGATAATATATACAGTACATGGAACAGTATTTGTGTGCCAATCAGCTGATCGAATCACCCACTAATGCTTCTCAGTTTAACTTTGTTTACAGTGGAGTGAACATCGAGTTAGTTGGTCTCTTGAATATTTTTGCATTTTTACATCAAAATTATTGGTCATTCTGGTATGTAGTTAACATAGTGCAGAAATTATTATGAAACCTGAAGAAGGCATTAGAACCAATGCACTCTGTAAAGAATATGGTATATCATCACCGACTGCCTCTAGAATCAGCTGTTTGATATGTAAACAAAGCTGCCGGTAATATGACATACACACCACAAAGTAAGTTAAAATACAGTATTCTATTGTTTTTTTATTTATTATTGTACAGTATACTGTACAGTACAGTACTGTATTTAGTTTATATTTATTGTTTTGTTAATTCTACTACCGGTATACAGTACTTTGTATGAATACTTTATCTGGGAGTTGGAACCAATTCCCCAATATCCCATTGAAATAATAGATTCAGTTAACGAAATCTTCGGTTAACAACCGACTCTGTGGAACCAATTGTGCTCATCAATTGAGGGACCACTGTATACCTATTAATTTTAATTAGAAGCACATAATACATGTTAATAATAAAGTATAATAAAGTACTGTACAGCATGCCCTTCAAATTCGCGGGGTTAGGTTCTCAAAATGGCCGCGAATCGCCAAATACGCAAAGAAAATTTGCTGGTGTGTGTGTGTGTGTGTGTGTGTGTGTGTGTAATGTGTGTATATGTGTGTGTGTGTGTGTGTGTGTGTGTGTGTGTGTGTGTGTGTGTGTAATGTGTGTATATGTGTGTGTGTGTGTGTGTGTGTATGTGTGTGTGTGTGTGTAATGTGTATGTGTGTGTGTGTAATATGTGTGTGTGTGTGTGTAATATGTGTGTGTGTGTGTGTGTGTGTTTGTGCATTACATTTTTACTTGTGTACAAAAACATGTATATTCCCTTTACGTGTTTGCCCTTAGGACAATTATTTGTTTTACCTACATACACACACACAGAACACATACAAATAAATATTAATGGAAAAATCATCTCTCAAATAATAAAAAAATTATTAAAAATGTTGAGTCTACCCTCAAGTCTACTCCGTGTGTGTCTATATATACACACACACACATACAGTACGCCTGGATAATTCGCAGATTTCTATTTCGCGGTCCTCTATTATTCGCGGTTGAAACCCTGGATGTGCCCAAGAATGTTTGTGGGCAGTTTTAAAGTTGCCGGCATTTTTGCAGCCGGGACAGGGAGCCATTCACTCTAGAGACAGTAATTTCCCTTACCTGTATTGTATGTATATATGTATGTATGTAATAATAATAATAATAATAATTAACGGTTTATTGAAAGAGCTTGGCAGCCAGAAGGCTGAAAATATACAGTTACATATTTGGGGAATGGGATTCGAATTACAAATAATATACAAGTAACACAAGTGATACAAATAAGATATATAATAACTAGATGGGGAAAAGCTCAAACTACAGTTCATTTCAACATAGTGACAGTGCAAGGAGTAGTGTATGTATGTATGTATGTATGTATGTATGTATGTATGTATGTATGTATGTATGTATGTATGTATATATGTATGTGTGTGTATGTGTGTGTATGTGTGTGTGTGTGTGTGTATGTGCAGACACACACAAAACACATACAAATAAATAATAATGGGAAAATCCTCTCACAAATAATCAGAAACAAATGTAGTATTAAAAATGTTGAGTCTACCCTCAAGTCTACTCCATGCTTTATTTATAACAAAGTAAGAAATGGACTTGAGGGCAGACTCAACATTTTTAATAATTTTTTTCTCATTATTTGTGAGAGAATTTTCCCATTATTATTAATTTGTATGTGTTTTGTGTGTGTGTATCTACACACACACACACACACATATACAGTATACAGTATACAATATGGGTAAAGGAAATTACTGTCTCTAGAACAAATGGCTCCCTGTCCCGGCCGCGAAAATGCCAGCAACTTTAAAACTACCCTTAAGACATTCTTGGGCACATCCAGGGTATCATACGCGAATAATAGAGGACCGCAAAATAAAAATCCCAGAATTATCCGGGCATACTGTACTTATTAATTATTCACTTATAATTAGTCAAGTGGTGAAAAGACAGTTGAGGTTGGAAGTGATTATACTGTAGGAATGCGGAGAGGAATGTTTTCACTGTTAATTTCATCGAGTTTATGTACTGTTCACTATTTATATTTCTTAGACACTTCACTTTAGTGCTCCTCAGCAACTACCTCACTGCTTCCTCATAGGCAGCTGCTGAGTTACCCCATTCCTGCTTATGCAAACTTTCCCCCATACTAATTGGATTTTGGTCATGATTTTCTGGGTTCGGGATACATGTATTTGGTGCTGGACTCCAGTCTGGTTTGCAAGGTGATCCGGATAAAGTGAGTCTGGGTTAGAGGGAGTTTACTCTATGTATTTCTTATCTATTTTTGAGTAAAAAGACCAAAAAATTTCATTGGGAATAAAAAATAAATGAGCTTGTGCATTTATACCTATATGGCCGCATGTATTTAAGTTATGTTATGGCCTTCAACACTGTACTGTTCTGTACTTCAAAATGATTGGTGAGAAACTGTCTGTTGAGTTTATAATATGGTCAGATCCAAAGATGTGGTCCATGTTTCTAAAATCACCAAAAATCCAAAATGTGCATATCACTTGGTTCCAAAAATTGCAGATTTGTTTATATTCTACTGCAATCTAAAGTAAGCAATTACATGCTCTCCATCAAGCTGTCATCATGTTAAGATACTGTATGAAAGATACAGTATCTTGAATATTTCTCACACCCATGAAAGGAGAAGCAGGATTAACAATGGTGGATGTGCATGGCCGACTACTGTATTAACCAACCTAAATGGATGTTCCTTATTGCTGTTGAGGGCATGACTCTGTCTGGCACCTCCTTCCAAACATCCCAATTTAAGTAAATTGGTACAAAATATGGGCTTGTTTGAAAAGCTAAAGACACTTTTGGAGCGGTCAGGAACAGGCCGAACATTAATCTGTAACTCTACAAACTTGAGAGGTACAGGATAGGTAGAACCTGGTGTCATTCGCTTGAACAGTTGAGTTGTAGCTGAAACAATTAGCAATCATATTTACAACACATGTAAGAAATTCCATCAACAAAACTATCTTTTGTTTACAGAAAAAAAATTTCAACAGCTATTATGGATTGGATTATTATTTATCGCTCGATCAACTACGGATAATACACACTGTGCAACTACTGGTACCCCTAAAGAATTATGTTACAAGTACAGGTATTATCTTCAAGGAAAGATACATTCATTGAACATCTGATGAATGGAATAATTCATAGGCAAATGGTAGGCTGCATTATGAAGACATCTCTTCTAATCAATAATTTTTTGCTCGTTTCCATGCAAATGATACACTATACTGTACAGTGGGTCCCATCCATTACATGGTGTTACATTTTCCTACAAATCCCACACATTGTAAATATTGTGGATTGTTAATCATTTAACCCTCCATTGAAAATATGGTTACCATTTCAATTAAAAAATATTATTCTAAAATTCTAGAAATTGTAATGGTTAATTACATAAAAATAAGACATAAACGAACAATAAGGTATTTGCTGCCCAGTGGGTGTTGCTCTACGGATTACCAAATGAGTCACTATACCCAAAGGAAGGCTTTATAAGCAGAATAAGGGCTCCTTTGATATATATATATATATATATATATATATATATATATATATATATATATATATATATATATATATATATATATATATATATATGATATATATATATATATATATATATATATATATATATATATATATATATATATATATATATATATATATATATATATATATATATATATATATATATTTTTTTTTTTTGTGCGTACAATCCCCTTGCAGCTCAATGGCTCAGACATAACGTTTGATTAATATTGATACACTGCAAATAAATTCATAAAAACCTCAATAAATTGGACTTCATTATATCAGAATATGCATTTTTCTGACTCTCCGAGGGAAAAAAAAAATGTCTAGAAAATCGTTCATCAGTCCAAACGATTTGTGTGTTCCTACGTGCTTTAATGTCACACAGCATGTACCTCAGTCCGAGTCCCGCATTCATACGTACCACCAGTGCACTGCGCCTCGCTACTTACACTCCTTTACGTGAACTTTTATTAGTTAACTAAAGAACTCTTGTGTTGTGATGGCTTCCCCTACCCCATCAATGTCTCGTATGTCTACAGTAATATTAAGTTTGTACAGATAACATTAAGTATAGTATGTTAAGTGAAAAGAACCATGTACAATACCTGTATTGTCTAAGTTGAATATAAAAAATGATTAATATCCAGATTAAAATTTAAGTGTCAAACAATTAACATACTGTTCTGTAAAAGTGCTTTAAGTGCATCATCTTCTTCCACAGCTGAGCTTACCATCTACAGCATCTAATAAGGTAGCATTTTATGTTGAGTATGTATTGTCTTTAATGCTCTTCATTTTTTTATTTCATAATTTGATATTATATTTTCTGTATTTGTAAGCAATATTAGAGTACTGTACTGTTTTGTAATTATTATTCCACAACTATTAGTTTCATTACATGTAGTAATGGCAACATGCCATCTCACAGGCCATCTTATCCCTAGTTTTTCTCCTTTCCTAGTGAGTCAAGTTATTACTAAACCAAAATTTGACTAATGTTAAGCGAGACAGAATGCTAAACGAGGGGTTCCTGTACAGCACTTTAGTTTGTTTTTCTTTAAGTGCAATTTAAACATTTACTCTGACCCCTTAGGAATGCAACCTTGAGTATAATGGCAGTTTATGGTAATACAATGTTTTTTGGAAAGTGCAAGTCTTGTATGCAATGACCACAATCTATACTTTAGGTCAATGGCAAATTGCAAACTGAAAATCTGCACATCGTGAAGGATTTGCTGTATTATGAAATAAAAATAACTCACCACGTTATAATGCAGGCTGACCAGAATAGCAAACAAGCACACATTTTCATCATTTTTTGCTACTCATTCACTCTTACTGTAGTAACAGATTTGTTCTGATAAGGTGTTCTCCTTCCACAAGGCCACAACATATTTATTAATTTATCCCTGTCATTTCACATAACTTAGTATCCTCCTTTATCTCATGTCCATCTTCCTGTAACTTTTAATGCCAAGCTCAATGGTCATTCACTAACAATACTGCTTCCTGGATATCCATTTTCTTTACTGTGAGGGCAATCTTCCAACTCTTTCTTGGTTTTTCCCACTCTACCTCAGAATATTCACTATTTACTTCATATTTGTGATTGGGTTGTTTATACAGTACTCTGTATCTGTTTCATCCTACTTATTTCTATCATGTACATCCTTTCTGTCACTTCTAATATGTTTCCTTCTCTAGAATCTGCAGGTAACCCTTCAGTGTCTTTTAACAATCTATCAAAATTATTATGTACTGTGGCATAAACAAAATCTTGAAGAAGTAGAAAGGTAGATAAAAATACCTGTATCTGATAATCTAAATTTGTGAGTGAGTCATTAATGTCTATGAATAAGTTAGTGGATTACAGTAGAGAGTGGCACAAGACCATGTGTAGTAAGATAAAAGTGTAAAGAATGAGTATAGATGGAAAACACATTGACAAATTAACCAAGAAAATTAATTATGCATGAAGCATTCGAGCAATAAGTACATGTTGATTCACTTAGCTTGACTGTACTTAACCTGTGTTGACAAAAATACTGTTATGAGTTTTACTTACACCTTTTTACTGCAATTAGACCTCTCATACAGTTTGGTAAGACAGAAAACAAAATTCATCTTATACTGGCTACCATTTCTAAGAAATAAGTCAGATCCAGCAAATAATGGTTACTTTGCCAAATGTACTGCTTGATGGTGTAATAAAATTTTGATAAAGGTAAATGTGATGTCATCTGAAGGTAAAAATATTAATTTTACATGATCTGACCTTTAATTACTCATATAAAAAGGGGCTGTATATGTTCCTATTACAATTAATTCCTCTAATTCCTCAAGTCTCATGCTTAGTTTTTCATAATTTTTAACACAATCCTTACTTTCTCTCTTAAATTAAAGAACAGGGACACATTAAATTTTCTATATCTCAATCAGTTATTTATCCTTAACAGCTACTGTACTGATAAATCAAAGAATATTTCATAATATACATGCACATCAATAAAGCCTTACCTCCAAGTCGTACAGCAGAATTTTCCAAGCGGATGTCAACTGGACAATTCAACAGATTTGTGAGAAGCAAAGCCGATCTGATAGTTACTAGTTTGCGGGCTGAACCATCAAGTGTAACTGCCATTATAATCCGGGCACTTGGTAACTCACAATTCTGTGGGTAATATAAAATAATAATATACTGTATAATAATAGCTGTTATTTTTTCCCAAAACACCACAAGTACTTCTAAAGAATTCAATAGTGCTCAAAACCCTACAAAGTCAAAGACTTGAAACTAAAAATAAATAACTGTACTACAATAACAGTTCGACTTCTATCGCTCATACACCCTTAAATCTTAATACCTCCTAAACCCTAAAATTCTCCATCACTGTACCCTATTCAGGACCATAAGCTTAAAAAAAATGTTAAGTTGTTTCTGAAAGGCCTCAGATGCTTATTTTCATGCAATGATTGAACCAACATGCAAATATTTTCATTAACTCATTAAAATGAAAATAAACATTTGTGAAAACATTTATAAGACACTTTTCTTGCTTAACTTGCACTGAACATGAAATTGGCAAACAAGAAATGCAGAAATAAAGGAAAGAACTAAAAAAAAATATGACCACTTAGGTTTAATCAGTACCACTTACTAGTGTAGAAGAAGTTGAAGGTAATGAAGAAGCTAATCTGAAGAAAATGCCAACTTTATCCACAGTAACTGGTCCTATTGGCTGCCATCCATCCACTTGTACTAATAACTGATGAACTTTCAATTCATGAGTGTCACGATGGCGTTGTTTTCCCCGGCCTTCGAAGGAAAAGGGAACAGTGCTTCCTGCAGGCACATGTATCCAATCCATCTTTGGCATATCGCTTCGAGTTAAAATTTCCATATCAGCCATACTGGAAAATACAGTGTATAAATAAATAAATTAATAAAAAATAAATAAATTATTTAATTCAATGAAGACATTCACTTGCACAGATAAATTATCTGTGAAATGCAAAATGCTTAAGAGACAAACATTATTACACATATCCATAACACTGAGGAGATAACCTGCCTGTCTGGTGTGGCAGTCATGGTGGCAAAGGTGAGGTCACAGCCAGTATCATTTTTAAGAGCAAAGGGTATGAAAGGAGATCGTCTGCGATAACCTTGAGGACTAACCACTATTCCCTTACAGCCATCCTCACTTGAAACCGTACTAGTCTCTACCTCCAACCTGTGTAAATAAAAAATAATGTTTTAATATAAACAATGGTTATGCAGTGCTTAAGGTTCTTTTGTTCGAGATCTTAGTTACAACTGATTCTTTTACATTACAATACATTTGTGAAACACTTATAATGCTAATAAAATATACAGATTGTAATATAATACTTTAATAAGTCCTATCAATAAATTTTCCCTTAAAAAAAAGGAAAAAAAATCAATCAAAGCAGTGTCACAGCAGTGAAAATACACACTGCTGCCAGGCATATGAAAGCTCCCTGCAGCACCAGCCACTCAGTGACGGTGACTCATCAAACTCGCTAAGCAGTTAAGCTGCCAAAAGCATATGAGACTGAGGAAATATTAACCCTTTTTCACATGTTAAACCCCTAAGCAACCAAATTAATGTTCATGTGATGTATAATAACCTAGAGGGTGTTAAGTCTAGGCAAAAAAATACAGCAGGTTCATTGTTCTCAAGTAGCTTGGGTTTGGACCCAACCCCCCAACAAACAAAATATAGATAATACGGACCTCCACCCAACCCAGAATTTCGGCCTAACTGTACAGGCCTTCTCCCCCAATTACTGTAGTCTGGATTAGATTGAGTTTACTGCAATAAAATTTTTGATGATAGTTGTGGAAAGTTCCTACAGACTTTATATGAAATTCCTGCTGAACAAGTAGTTTGTATAAGCTACACTTATACTCTTACCTTTCTCTATTGTAATAATCTGAAGTCCAATTATTCTTAACCATACGGTAAAGCTCCAGGAGTGTTTGGGTGATGTTTACATTTACAGTATCTTTGGTCATTACAGTTAAAGTTAAGCGCTCTCCATTTAGATCACGGGATAGGCTCTTGTCCCAGTCAGCTTGACATCTGCAGGAAACATACAATGTATACAAACATTCTATAATTTTAATGAAAACATTCCTTTCATCCATCCTAGAGTTCCTAAAAGAAAATGGAATGAACAAGCCTTAAAATTATCACAGGATAATTACTCCAACTAGCAATGAACAAATCAAATAAATTTAATTATTTAAGACAAGCTTAAGGTCTAATTACTTTAAGTAATCCTTACAAATCCTCTACTGTATATCATTTCAGTTTTACATTAACAATGAAACATTAATAAAAAGAAGGATGGAGTTAAGGATGCAATAGAAGTGAAGGGGATTGATATCTAAGAAGCATCAGTGTGCTTGTATATACAGAGAGTGAGACAGCATGTGATTCTGGGAAAGGACAAGTTGCTTGAAAGAGTAGAACAAAATAGTTATGTACAATAGCTGTGTTTTAGAGTATTATGTAGGGTACATAGGGTCCAGAGAACAAAAATAAAAGATAAAAGAAGCATTGGACTGAGAATGGACACATTGAAGGAATGGCAAGTGAAAGTTATGAAAAGAATGTATAATTCTGAGATGAATGGTAGGAGGGAAAATGGAAGAAAAAGAACTGTGAATTTATGAGGTGAGATATGCAAGTTAAGAGTGAGGGATAGATATTCAGTAAGTAGCAATGAATCTGAATGATTAGAAAGCAAATTATTGAGTTGTTCTAGGAGATAAGTATGCTGGTGGTGGAAGACCATTGACTGTGTGAAGATACAGAGCAACCTAAAAAAAAAAAAAAAAAATAGGCTCATAGTAAAATATGTTATAAAATTAGAAATAACTCAATGGCAGTAAACAAAGAGAGTTTGTGTTTGCTTTTGATTCTGAGTCCTCACCACTTTGCAATCAGCAGAAAAAATTAAAACAATTATTTCTGAATTTTTTTTATACTATTTTGGTAAAAAATGCCAAGATTTAACAATGTTTACACTTTTTACCCCTTTAATGACAACAACTGAAAACATTTATACACAGGCAGTCCCATTACAGATGGCTTACATTCTTGGACCCTGTCCATAAGTCGTAACAGAATAATTCCATAGGTTAGATTAGGTTAAAGCACAACCTTGACCATGCAAAACAACAGTATCCCATATGTAACTCATTCACAGGGGTCAGGTTCAACAGACCCCCAGCCTTCGTGAACTGTCAAAATCTATAAATAGTATAGTGGCCATAGTAATATATGATTGAGATACTTGAGTCACCCATAAACACAACTGTATATGGTATTTCAGTATGTTTTTCTTTAAGAACATGTACAATGGTGAATAGCATTAATAAAACAGTGAAATATACTTACAGCAATATACAATACCCGGTACAGTTGAACCTCGATTTACGCTGTTCTCGTTTACGAGTTTGGTCACTTACGTGGTACCTTGCCAGAACCGGGATGCCCGATTTACGCAGTGAATTTACTCATTTACGCGGGTGAAGTATAATTTGTTTATTTATTGAAGATATATATGTTTTTAGCTCATAAAATATATAATTTATATTCTGGAATCCTTAAAAGATGGTGATCATTTTAAATATAAACATCTTAACATTTGCATTAGACATACAAATTTTAGATGTAATTTAAGGAGATCATGAAAATAAGCAAATATTTTATCTTTTGTGCAAAATATATGAAGTTTACATTCAAAATATTCCCTGACCTGCAAGGAATCCAGAAATGTCAATTATATTATCCTAACTTTAGTCTGAGGTATTATTTATTACTAAAAATGTAAATATACTGTTTTCTCCCAAACATTTCTCTGGTAGGGAGGGAAGGTGGGCGGTGATGGGTAGGGAGGGAGGGACCCAGCGAGCGTGGGAAGAGGGGGGGAGCGGAGGTGGGGTATTTTGATTGACAGATAGTGTTTGGGTGAATAATAATTTGTTTATTTACCGAAGATATTTGTTTTAGCTCATAAAATTCAAACAAATTACCCGGCCAGAATATAATTTACATTGCTGGAATTCCTATAAGATTTTGATTATTTTAAATATAAACATCATGGAATTTGCATTAGACATACATATTTTAAATCTAATTAAAGAATTTTGATTACAAAGCCAAAATTTTATCTTTTGTGCAAAATATATGACGTTTATATTCAAAACATTCCTGGCCTTGCAACTGAATCCAGCAATGTCAATTCAGTAATATTATCCTAACTTTAGTCTGAGGTATTATTTATTACTATACCTTAAAATCTAGTGTTTCACCCAAACATTTCTCAGAGAGGAAGGAGCCAGTGAGCGTTGGAAGAGGGGGGAGTTGAGTCCATTATTTGAATGGACATTAACCTGGCAACTGTATTTCTCTTAAATATTAATTGTGTGCGCATACCATTATAAAATTAAGATGTTATTTTTACTACAACGTAGGTATTATGTTGGTATTGTGTCGGAAAAAGTGGAGTTTGGGGGTCGGCCCAGTCTCTATTTCAATTAATCCCATATGTTCTGTTATTCCATTTACGCGTTTCTCGTTTTACGCACTACTCCGCGGGTTCAATTGACCGCGTAAATCGGGGTATTACTGTACCATAAATATTGTACTATACTATTATATAGGTGCACTGAACCAGTTTGAACATTATGTTTGAGATATTTGAGTCGCCCATAAAACCGACCGTACCGGTATGTTTTCTTTAAATACACATACAATGGTGAAAAGCAGTAATAAGACAATGGAAACATACAATATATTATGGTACAATAAGTATAAAATAAGAACAAATTCAATGGAGAGGGAATTGTGTGTGATAGAATAGGGCAGCTGGGTGCATGGAGCTATATTAGCCCCTGTCACATGGCAATAACAATTATATAAATTTGGGTTACTACTTTTATTTTATATAATACAATCACCCCATGGTAATTAACACTGCAAGCTGTGAGTGTTAGTTAAGGACAGGGCTCAGCTTGACTGAGTTAAGTCACCGTGGGGTGATTGTATTATATAAACTAAATGTATTAACCCAAATTTATATCATTGTTATTGCCATGAGACGGGCTAATACAGAGCCAACGGAAATTTCCCACCCCTATACAACAACAGTATGCAATTTCACCATAATTCCCATTTTATTCAGATTAATTTGGGGCCACGTTAATGAAATATTATAAAAAACTAATAAATTTTCCAGAGAAAAATCCCACACTAAATCCCAGATGAGTTATTAAGTTTGTTTACATATGCAAACAGCTGACCAGCCAGCAAGCCTGTCTCAAGACAACTTATACAAGTATTATTTCTTTGTGTATTTATTGGTATAATGGTGTCACTCAGAGGAAGATTATGAGAATGGAAGGAGCTGCTTATGTAATATAGAACTACTTTTTTTTTATCTCATTATTATTATTTTTTAGGGAATGAACTGCAAAGTCGAAACCGCAAACCGTAAACAACATTTAAGTTATGTAAAACTGGGATTTTAGTTACAGATTTTTTGTGATGAATATATGGGATCTAATCGTAAGTGTGGGTGTTCATAACTCGGGGACTGCCTGTAATCAAAATCTTTCTGTGCCATAACTTTTAAATTGGGTGCCTGACTTCTGCTTGTATGAATTATTGTAACTCAAGGCAACCTATACTTCCCTGTGTTTTTCACTCCCTGCACCAATAAAATTTTTTTTTGTCATGAAGGAAGTACAGGTACTCCTCGACTTACGAAATACTCGACTTATGACAACCCGGACATACGACCGACGTGGTCGTATAAAATATTTTTCACATTACATATTTTCTAGTACCGAAATGTTTCCGTCCCGTACGACAGCGTGGGCTGGGCCGCCTCGTGGTGTACAGCATCCACGCCGTAGCGCGCTCAGTTGGTGTTTGGCCATCATTAGTCATCGCACTGTGTACTGACAAAATTTTTGTTTCTAATTCCCTTTAAAAGTGAGAGTTCTCGTGGTGCTGAGAAGAAAAAGAGACAGTCAATTACTTTTGAGATGAAAAGTCAATTACTTTTGAGATGAAAATTAAAATAAAAATGCAATATGAAAATGGAAAAATTGTATCAACCATTTCACGCAACCTTGGCTTCTCTCACTCGACGATATCAACAATTTTGAAGGACAAGGAATGAATTCGTGAGGTAGTGAAAGGATCAGCACCTATAAAGGGAACAATAATAATGAAAAAAAGACAAGGTCCTCTTCATGAGATGGAAAAATTACTTGTGATGTGGATGGAAGATCAGCTGCAAAAAAGTGTACCCTTAAACCTTCTAACCATACAAGCTAAGGCAAGAAGCCTTTTTGAAAGCCTGAGAGAGTAGGCAGGAGATGAGTGCAACCAAAACTTCACAGCAAGTCATGGGTGGTATCAAACGTTTAAGAACCGTTACAGTACATCGAAAGATACCGGCAGTGTTTCCACGATTCAAATACCCATTCCTCCTAAGCCAAACCCTATTAAGTCTCAGTCTCTGTGGTAAGTATTGCTTACACACACACACAATTATTAATGAATATGTTAAAATGAAATTCTATGAAGACTTCAACCAGCTGTTCATTGAAGCATCGAGGTACTTAAACGGAACATATAAGTAAAACCCAATATCTTGAATCTTGTCAGACTTGTTCTTTCTCTGGTTATGTATACAGCTCTAACTGTGTCCCATGCCACAGGCAACATCTTGACACAAAGCGTGGGAACCAGTCCCCGTTTGATACGTCATGTTTAACTTATTTATTACTTTAAATATCCTCGTTTAACTGAATGTTACTTCTTGTTAATTGTTAAAATCCAATGGTAATCGATTATTAGTTCATTTATATAAACTAATTTACTAGGGCTAAAGTAAATGATGAGAACAGTCAATTCGTCTCAACCCTGTGAAACTATCTGGCCACTTACGTTCATCAGACTTCTATTTAACGGACTACTGTACATGGAGAGGAAAGTCCATTATATTGAGGGACCATTAGATGTGAAACCTCCATCTAACGAACCATTGAGGGATTAAAGTCCCTTATACCGAGGGACCGTTAGATTTGAAACTTACATCTAACGGATTATATAGAAGTCCTTTATAAGGAAGTTTCACCATAAAACCACTACCAGTCTATCTGTAGGTGCTTCAGGGTTCTGCGGAGCAAGTTGCTACTATACAAAGTTTTATTTATAATTTAAGATTATTACATGGAATTAAACAAAATAATTTCCAGTTTCCATTATCATAAAATGAAAATAATAATTTTGTTTTCATTATTTTCATCTTGATATCCTTTTCATTTGTTTATTCATTATAATAAATGGTTTGTGTCTTATTGATATTCTTCATTACCTTAAAACATTGCAAGAGAGAGGGAAAGGATGAAGGGTCAGGAAAGCAATACCTTCTGTCTGATACAGCTTATCCTTTTGTTTTTGGGCAAATTAAAAATAAAATACTGTACATTGTACAGTGGTCCCTCGGTTAACGAACGGTTCGATTAAAAAAAATTTGGTTAACAAATTAGCTCCTATAAGGATCTTAAATTTGGTTAACGAACAAAACTTTGGTTAACAAAATCCTTACGACAAACACTTTTTGTTGTGAGCATCAGCTGATAGGCTAGTCCGCCAATACAGTAATCTGTTCTATGTTTACATTCGTTTCCAGTGGATTAAATATCAAGAAGGTTGTGTTCTTGAATAATTTTGCATTTTCTATATTAAAATTATTGGTCATTCTAAAATTTAGCTATCCAAGCTCTGTCTATATAAAGTTTTTCAACCAATATTTTTGGCTCGATTATGTAACTTTATTCATATATTTTGACTCATTTACATGCACACACTGTCCTAAGGGCAAAGCTGTACTGTACATGTAATCAAAATAATGTGCAAATTGATTACTAAATTTTTTGTCTAGTGCAAACTATTGCATGTTTATATTCAAATTAATCACTATTTTATGAGAATTCCAGCAATGTAAATTATATTCTCCTTAGTCATTCCAGTGGCATTTTATAATAGAAAAGCTTAGTCACTCTTAAGGACTAATAAATAAACACACATACGTATATGTTAATGAAACAACAATAAAAACTAGTTCAAATCTGGTGTATGCAATAATGCCATGAATCCCCTCAACCTCCCACCTAGTCAAATAAGTAGTCGCTTACCTCCCATTGTTCGTGGCTTTCATTTGGCATACAGTAAATCTGATTACACCTTTGTATTGAGTGAGCAAATCTTTTCCTTTTTATTTAAACCTTCATTTTTTCCCTATCAGGGCAATTATGTTTACTTAATATAGACAAATTATATTTTCCAACTTTCAAAAGTGTTTATTTTATCAAATAATTTTATTAATCTTTACATAACCCTTATTAAAACTCAAGATTAAGACTTTAATACAAATCCTAAGTAAAAAAAACAACAATAAATTTGAGATAAAACTTACAACCAAGGTTCCAAAAATGGCTCCCAGCCTGAGAGAGCGCGGTTATAGTAATTCGCGGAGAGGGAGCAACTTGCAGAGCCCTTCCCATACCAGTCCTGGAAAGTACACATCATGACTTCTTTAATATGCAAGAATCTTTGTTTTCACATCCATAAATTATAAAATATTGTACACTAACTCATACACACACTTCCGCTCTCTCAAACAAGGTAGTGTCACCAACATAAAAGAGCTACAATATGTCCATCAAAGGCTACATACTACAAGACATACTGATAATGTAATAGCTTCTGTCAACATATTGACAGTAGTACTTATATAAATGTGGGCTATTTACAGTACATGTAGTACAGTAAGTCCTCGCTTAACGTCGTCCCTCTTAACGTTGTTTTGGTACTATGTCGCTGAACTTTAGAGACCCAAAATTCATTTAACGTCACGGTGATCCGATACTACGTCGATTTGCATCGTCACAGACTACTTTCTACGGCGCATCGCCCGCTCTTGTTTAGCACCACTACACTCTTTCAGCTCGGCGAGCTGCCCTCACTCGCGGAACGTCACAGCATCCCCAAGCGACGCCAAGCTAGTCTCTGATACAACTTCACATAATTCGTGTGTACTTAAGTGCTTTTGCTCTAAAACTGTACTCTAACCATTCAAAATGGCTTCCAAATGCCCATCAAGTGCTATTGATGCTAGTGTAGTGAAGAGGCAATGTAAGACCATTACCATTGCTACCAAAAAGGATGTATTAATCCGATTTGAAAAAGGGGAACATGCTGTGGACATAGCAGCTGTGCTTGTTATAACACCCAAAACAGTGCGTACTCTCTGGACCAATGCTGACAAGATTAAGGTTAGTGCTGGAAATGGTTTTTCTCCGAGTGCTACTAAGACGACTCGTACTAAAAGCACTGTGATAAAGAAGGTGGAAAAGATGCTGGCAATGCTGATGGAGGACCAGAATCAATGCAATGCCCCTGTGAGCCTTATGATTATCCAGCATAAGGTCAGATCCTTGTTTGACGACTTAAAGGAAGAACAGGGCGGAGGATCGAAGGAAGAGCCCTTTACGGTCAGCTGAGGCTGGTTTCAACGATTTAAGCGTCAGTATAACTTCCATAACATACAGATGACTGGTGAAGCTGCCAGTTCGATACGGTTGCTGCTGAGACATTCCCGCCAACAATGGAGATGGAGCAAACATCAACGGAGGAAGAAGAGGAGGAGCAAGCAGCGGTGGAAGAGCCCCAGTCAGAGCAGGAGGAGGAGGAGGCAGCCGCAGTCTCAGTGACTCGCCACCCTCCTCCTCACCCGCCCTCCTCCACTCCCACCCTCCTCCTCACCCGCCCTCCTCAGATTCCACCCTCCTCCTCCGCTCACACCATCCTCCTCCTTCGCTCCACTACCCACCACACACACACTCGCTCTACCACCTCCGCCCATCAGTGAGTACCAATACAAACTTAGTACTGTAGTTCTATATACTATTTTCTATAGAAATGGCAATGACTTTCTGTATATGTATCTTTTTTTCATGGGGCAAAGGGAGACTGGGGAACGTAACTCCCGTATTTTATCTATTTCTTATGGGGAAAATTGATCCGCTTAACGTTGTTTCGCATAACTTTGCATTTTCAGGAACGTAACCCCGACGTTAAGCGAGGATGCCCTGTATGTATACCTAACACTACCCGAATTAACTAGATAAGCAGCAATTAAGCATAGCTCATCACTTTCTTCTCATGTGTTGGATGCCATTCCCATGTCCTCTACACACCTCTGATTTGAACAGGTCATCACCAAGTGCCCAGCCCTTAGTGGACTTAACCCCTGTATCTCAGAAGCGAAAGACATGTTAAAGGAGCTCTGTAAATTACCTCCTATATTCTCTAGTAAAAGGAAAGTTGCTTTCTACTGGTTAGTTCATTATTAAGAACTATGTATTGTGAACACATATTTTACTAAATAAAATACAAAACCACTTTTTGGATTTAGATATACAGTATTCACAATATACTCAAGTTTTACTGCTGTGTCCAGACAACTATAATAACAAGCAGCAGTGTTGCAATGACTGAACTACCTACAAGAGGATAAGCTCCAAGTGTACTAAATACAAGGTAATAATATGTAAAATTCATGTCTTCACCTGCTTCAATCCAAGGTGAGAGAGTGAAAATTCCAGCAAAGGCACATCACAGTCCCCACAGTCATCAATAACACATATGTTCACACTTCCTGTCTTGATCTCTAATGCATGGAGGTTGATGGCACCCTTTTTGTTTATGTCTGCTGGTGTGACAGTGGCTGCAGGTACTGGTTGAGCATTGTGTGTTAGCCAGAGAGCTGCATCATCAAGCCTTCCCTCACACTTCTCCAAAGCATGTTTGCAGTCCATTTGACAGAATCCAAGAGCAGATAACTTGTCAACTTGGGCTGTATGAAAAATCCAAGATGCAAGAAATTCATGTAATAAACTATGATCATCAAAGCTTATACACATATTTACAGAAGTATCCCATGAAGATTTTTTTGTGTGTGTGTGTTTTGAAAGGATTCGAGAAAGGTAATTCAAAACATGTAAAAAGTAAACCTTCAATGAAGATTATGATGAAAAAACTCTAGTCCTTTGTGTAGTGTATCATCTGTCACTCACTACTACTCTACTGGGAAATAAAACAATTAGGGAAATAATCTTGACATCATGAAAATTGAAATAATTAACCCTCTTCAGGAACAAAAGCGGGGAGACTTGACACTGAAGTAAAAGTTTATATAGGGAATGCTCGATTACAGTATATTATACACCAAGTTCTTATTACTCAAGACATGATATGAAGATACACAAGGAGACAAGAATGCATGAAGGATAATAGTAAGAAAATAAAAGAATACAAGATTAACAGCACCAAGTAAGAGGGCTAAAGAGAGACTAAACATAAGTAATCCAATTCTTGGATGAAAAGGAGGAATGTGATTAAAATGAGAAATAAAAGTTTTTTCTTGTGTGCAGAATAAATTAGACACAAATGCAGAGAACAAACAAATACCCGGTATGGAATTACGAGGAAGTTCTGTGAGCTCTCAAAGATAACAATAATGTACAGTACGCCCATGACATAATATGATGATACCTCATGCACTGTTATACTGCAATACAAAAAATTCATTACAACTATTTTTCCAGCAAAAACAGTTATGAGATAATTAACACAATGAGATGGTACTCTCCAAGGTCCAAGAGCAAGGAGAGGAAACAGCTACGATCAAAAATCATAAGCCATAAGGAAAAGTCAAGGACTTTGCCTTTTAAGGAAGGCATCTACTTACTTATCATATATTTATTTTATAAATGTTCGTATGTGATCAAATTATAGTATCTCTAAATTAATGTTTATAGACTAATACTACCCTACTTATTTACTGTTCTTTATACAAAAACAGTGGTTGTATGGCCTGAAGGTGAACAGAAATCTTCAATTCTTTAAATGCAGTTGATAATACATTATGTAGTCATCCTTGTTGGAACACACAGCTGCAGTAGGTACTGTTATGACACCCAAGAAGACCTCCATTATGCAGCTTTGTTGTGGTTGTGGCAAGTCATATTTACAAGGGTATGGTCGATTTAAATTTATATTCCTATAATTAACCCCTAGGCTTTGGGTTATGTTATACGACGTGTGTCTGTAGAGCCTCGGGTCACATCATATGATGTTTTGATCTTTCGTGGGCCAATTTGAATAAAAAGGGCAGGCCTGGTTAGATTATGGTGCCAAGTAGGTAATTATCTTTCACTCACCCACACATGACAGCCTCCCAGTCTTTTCTTAGCAGCTTCTCAGCTTTTATGATGTAGAGATCTCACCCTTCGACTTGACTCGGTTCACCATGTGTTTCTACCCCCCCCAACCCCAGGTCTAGTATCGTGATCAATTACTGAAGTAGCAATATAGATTGTTAATAGCATAAATAGTAATAACACAGTAAAGTGTCCTGTACTTCATACTGCCTACAAATTAGTGTTGTTTACCTCGTTACTACTGCGTCACACACATGCCACTTCATGAACATTCTCAACTCTTCCTAACCCCTATGTTGCCAACATGTGGTAAGGACATGTATTTATTCCTGTTTATATCATGCATGGCCAGTTTGTAAGACTAGAATTGTTTTTAAATGTTCTCGAATATACCCCGTGTGTGCGTGTGTGTGGGGAGGGGGGGAGGATACCGACCTTTGCCCGAAGCCCAGGGATAAATAATATGTGAGGCACCATAGTGTTTAAGCATGCGAGGTGATAATGTGTTGCTTACATTGACTGGAAGGAGAATGATGGTGGTAAAAAGGAAGGGGAGGGTGGATATAAAAGCCCTTATGCATTTAAATTTGCATAATGGTGAGTTATTTCAAATAAAATATATAGATATGTTTAAATTAAATTCCATGTTAAATAAGAGCAAGTGAACATATTATTTACATTTTCAATCACATCATACCAGGTAAGGCTTAATTTGTGGGAAGTGAGGTAGAGCAGGAAGAGAGATGGATAGCCACAGAATATAGGGCCAATCACAACAGATTCGAGGAAGGAAATAACAAAATTCTTGGACTGAGTTCATCATCATCAACATTCTACAGCCACATTTCATGCTTGCATGGATTAGCAATGATTACCTAATGACAGCTGTTGGGTAAAACCACAACAGGAACCCCCCTGCAAACTCAGGGCACCTGCCAAGAAAATGCAGCACAGACCAAAGGATGACATAACTTTTGTGATCAGGCTGCCATTAGGCATATTGAAGCAGTTTCATGGATGGATATCCTTCCCAACCCACAGGCTGGGAAAAACTGGTAAGGCAGGGTTGCAATTTCCATGAGGTTATCAAAGACTACCCATCTATCCCATTATAATATGGACATACAGTAATAATTTGGTTGGTGTATAGACATTTTGTAATTTGGATTTAATATGATAATCACCTGACCCAGTTGCTGCAACACTAATTCCATGGATCACAGTACAATTATGAGCACTGTGATGACTAAGATTGGACATGCAAGTAAACTGGGATCCATATTCTCAGTAAATGAATGGTAACATCATGTTGCAAGCACATCAAAATTATACTTTACACAAGACATTTGCAATGATGTCAACAAACAAAATATTATTATTGTTATCTTCAAACACAGTTACATACAAAACACATACCTTGAAAGTTTGCTGGCTGAGTCATCTCCTTAGACATTATGGGCTTCTTAGCTACTTCTCTTTGCTTTGGCACCGACTCGAGAATTTGCTGGAACATCTTCATGTCATGGTAACTGAGGCGGATGTTCAATTGATGCATTATTACCTAAAAAAAAAATTAATTGCAAACTGCTCCATAATAATCCATGTAACATGCAAAATATACAGTAGCCTTACTACAGTAAACCCTCGATAACTCGGCATTTGATAACTCAGAATTTCATATAACTCGGCATGGATAAGGTCTCGGAATGTATTACAGTATAACTCAGGAAACGCCGATATATATAAAATTATCTGGGAAATCTCGGCATATCTGGCCACCAGCATCACCTACCATGCCTCTGTGTCATCTATCATATCTCTGTGTCACTGACTATGATGCTTCAATCTTTGCCTGCAGTGCTGTTAAGTGTTACTTTTTTACATTTAGTAATTACCTGTACACCTATATGGGTTGATAATTTTTTATTGTTGTACTTTCGTAGGAGGGGCGAAGTGCCTCGATAAGATGGAATTTAGGATAACTCGGCAAGGCCAGAGTCCCATATGTGCCGAGTTATCGAGGGTTTACACTATGTTCCAGAATATTATCATATTAATAAACTATTCATCCACTGTACATAATTTCCCATTAAATATATGGAATACTGGCCAATATTGACAAATTTGTTACACCAAATTTTTGGAAGCCTAAGGTGAGAAGTAAAAGTGAGTCCCATAGACATAAATACCTATTAGAGATTAAGTGGATACAGCTGTGTACCATACACTAAGCCTTAAACAGGCAAAAAGGCTGTATAGCTGGCAATACATTTGACACCTTACTCCTTGTATATAGTTTGGTACCCATTTACAGCTGAGTTGACTGGAATTACCCTGGCATTGAACCAGCAACTCTTGAGAGAGGAGGCAAGCACTATAATCACTTAACCAATGCACTATAAGGATCACACACACATGTACATACACACATGTGCACACACACACCCATGTGCACAAATGCACCCACATACAAAAAAAAAATAACAATAAAAAATAGTAGTAGTTCTTACTTCAACAGTGTGCTGAACTGACATGGATACATTTGAGATATCCACCAGCTGTTTATGGCCCAGTCTATCACTAACTTCTATGTTGATTGTGACCGGGTCAATGATGGATAGAGCCGTATCATCCTCAAGTCCAAGGATGCATGAGTATAACTCGCACTGATTCAAGTTGCATGATAGTGGCCGCTCCTGATGCTGTGGCCGATAACTTACCACAGCAGTACTCTGATGAGAAGTAAAAATGGAGATTCTATATAATTAATTCAGATATAACAAGGGTAATCAAGCATTAACCTTAAGCTGGATCTGAATTGGCTAGGCCAACCAAAAAGTTCTCCCAGTTAGTATTGGTATTCAGAGACTGATTGGAGCAACTAAAAATCTCTTGCTTAGTATACTACAGTTGTACCCCGCTTTACGCGGTTTCACTTAACACGATTTCTCATATACGCAGTGCCTCGCCAGAACCGAACTTTCACTTAACGAGGTTCATCTACCCATATACGCGCAGAGTGTCCGGCTCGAGACACTATTTTTAGATTTGCCCCACCCGCCACCTGCTGCTCCCGCCTGCCTCGCTGCTCCCGCCTCTCCTTCCTCCCTCTGCCTGGGCAAGCCGCGCTGTAAGGTTGCGCAGTGTGTGTCTTCTACTAACATAAGTGTTACACCTAACTTTTAGTTTTCCTAACCTAACCTTTATTTTTCCTTACTTAACCTTTATTTTTCCTAACCTAACCTCTTCTATATTACTTGTTTGTTCATACCATCATAAAGTTAAGATAAAATTTTTACTACAATATAGTTGTGTGTCGTCAAAAAGTGGAGTTTGGGGGTCGGGCCAGTCTCTATTGGAATTAATCCCATATGTTCTGTTGTTCCATTTACGCGGATTTCACTTAACGCGGTACCCTGTGGGTTCAATTGACCGCGTAAATCGGGGTACAACTGTATATATTTTATTTATTTTTTCTATTATTTTTTTTTATCTCTTTCAAAAATTTCTTGCTACCACACAGGGCAGCCATAATTAAGAATAAATGCTGCCAAAGCACATGTTTTGACGTCATTTCTCTGATACCATTTGATATGCTCTTGGTCTTACAATTTATTTTTTATGATAAATGCAAAAAATGAGGCTGACATGAAGAAGAGAAGAGGCAGACTTATTTTGGGGGAAGAAAATCAGAAAGCACTATACATGGTATTCTTCGTCATCCTCCAACTGCTGAAAAAAAAAAAACAGTTTAAGGATCTCATATTGCACATTGCACTTATAGAATACAAGATGAAATATTTACCCTGAGTATAACAGCACTGGTGTCCCATACAGCTGTATTCTCTACCACTACAAGTTCTGAGTCAGTGATATTTAACTTCAGTTCAAATGGTACTTTATTTTGCTCTTGAAAAATGGCATGCTTGGTCATAACCCCTGTGGATTCTACCATGGGGTTTAGCTTTGGTGTGTTAGACCTAATGGTCCTTTCCTTTGGAGCAGGTGACTCTGATCTTGGAGACTGTGGCTGTGGAGACTGAGTTTGAGGAGATGGATGAAGAGGAGTGCTGTGCATTGGTGTGAGGATAGGAGAGAACAAAACTGGGGTAACCACAGTACTTGGAGAACCAGAGGTTTCCTTAGAATTATCCCCATTTTTTTCTCCTGTGGAAAAGAAGATAAAAACCACAATCAAATACTGTATGTCATACAGTTTTGATTGTTAATACAGTATACATCAATTATATGTAAGATTAATACACTAATACTTTGACCACAGAATTAACTTTAATCTCATAACCTATTCACCAATTAATTATAACCATGAATCATTTATTTTCATTATCTTGCTTTCAGGATTTTCTGGTAAGTACTGAGTATTTTGAAACTCTAGCTCAAGTAATATTCTCTGTCACCAATATAAAACAATCGATAATGCATATAACAAACTATTTATCACACCTCACAAACTTTAATAAATCTATTAATGTACAATAAACTAAAGTTTATACCATTGTACTTGATATTATGTGAAACAAAAGCTTTAGGCCTAGCCAATTATACATTAAGCACATTGCAATTTCCATTTAAATGGAGAATGAGGTAAGACAAATGTACTGAGTATTATGTGTAAAAGTGAACAGGAAACCCCAGTACACAATACCCTCTTTAATTCGATATAACCACTCAGTTATTTCGGATTTACTCTGAATTCAAATCGTTTATTTCATTTTTTTAAATATATAAATTAAGACGAAATATGAATTATAATGATCCAAATCAATGAAGGTACAGTGTACTAGAAAAAATTAATAAAACTCACATAAATCCATTCGTCCTCAACTCATTCTTAATGAATAAAAATCTCAGCATATGAAAGCTTCGTATCTTACTCACTTTTTCTTACTTGGAGTCACTATAATTATTCCTCTCTTTTGTTTACTGCATTAACTTACTGTAATACTTTATTCATTCTCTCCACACAAACATGGGATTAAGAAGGTTTTGCACAAAGAAAAGACTTCAACCCCCTAAATGACAACAGAGTGACAACTACATAAAATTCTTTATCAAGGAAGATTTTGCCTTCCCTAACCCTTTCCTTATATATACATGTACTTTGTTACACTAATTACATCCAGTTATCTGACAAAAGAGAATTATTTTAAGCCTTCACATGCGTCATTTTACATTTAAATAATCGTGACCAACAGTACCATCTTCCTTCACCATTCCATGTACAAGCACTGCTACTGCCAATATTATTAATGCTTCTATCTACTTAATCCTTAAGTGTGTACACAAACCTTTATGGAATGGATTATCAGGAGTCATGTAAATAAAGTCAAGAACTTCCCACCACCAGTCCAAGATGCCCATCAAGCGCATGTTGTTCAGCAATATTGTAAATCTTGTTACATTTTTTGTTGATCTGTTAAAGAGAAGCTAATAGTTAATACACTTAAAAAATATAACAACTATTTTAATTTCACCATATCTAGAAGATACAAAATTTAAACATCCCTTATTAAGTAATTCCCATTATATGAAAGTAGAACCATTCCTCTTATCAGAAACAGTTCTTTTGAAACCATTTTTCCTATCATTATAAAAAAATACAAAAAAATAGCAAAACTGAGATAATACATAGTACACTCCCATTTATCCAGTCATTACTTATTTAAAAAGTAAGAAAACCAGAATTTTCTCAATTAAAAAATGTCATGTTCCCGTCTGTTGCTTTTGAATGATATCATGCATTGCGCTGTAGGTTCCAAGACTTTGCTCTTTCTCATGTCCATAATTACATTGTCACTGATAAAAGAAGTGTCTACAATATTTTTGATCAAGCCATCCAAGCGCACCACATCACATTTTATTTCACTGTCACATCTTCTGGTAAGCACCCTACTCCATCCTCCTCTGAAGTATGTTCTGAATGCAAGAATAGGCATGTCAGGGGCGAATCCAGGGGGGGGTTCTGGGAGGTTGAGAGCCCCCCCATTTCATCAGAAAATTCCAAATCTCTTTCTTTAATGCAGTATTGTACCCAGGCATTTTTGTATAGTAAAAAGTAAATAATACTGACCTCAAAATATCTCCTAATATCAAGAGCACATGGCTTCAAAATGCTCAGGATATTGGTCAGATTTCAACAAAATTTCTGGGTGGGTTTGATGTGCTTGCCATGTTCTTCGCCCACAACTTCTTGGACCCCCCCCCACCCCAACCCATTGATATTCCTGGATTCGTCCTTGAATGTAGTGTTAATTGTATAGTAAAAGATGAATACTTGATGAAAGAGTGTGGCACTGATTCCCCATTACAGAATCAAAACAATAAGTGTGTGCAATTTGAAGGCTCAGCAGGAGAAGTCAACAAACTTTTGCATTCCAAAACTGAGAGAAAGCTTCAATGATAATGAACATGTGGCATCAACTTGTAGTGGGCTTGGTGATGATGGTTTCCAAAATGGAAGGTTGTGAGAGGATATATATTGCCCACATTCAAGTGTGTCAATGTGGGATTGGAAGTAGACTTCAACTGAATTAATTTAGCTATTCACATCTATATCATTTCATCATCGTCACAGTTTTATGGCCATTTCCCATACATGTGTGTGTGAGCCATGAGCACCAGATGGTACCTCTCAAAGCTGCATGGTCTCTTGTAGCCTCTCTCAACAGGTTCTTATCTCTGAGGTAATTTCTTATAATCACCCCCCCATGTCATTCTTGGCATATCCCTTCATCCTCTCCACAACGTGCACCAACTCAACTTCAAGCTGCATAAAACCTCACCAATGTTCTCAATACTGTACCCAGGCACCCTTTTAACTATGAACTGGGTTTCCTCTCTTTCAGTGTCACATTACACATCCATCTCATCATTTTCATTTCAACTCACTGAAGTCTACATACTATATGTCATTCTCTTTAAATACACTTGTTTCACTGCCATACAACATGACATCTCTCATGGCAGTTACATACAACTTTCCTTTCAACTGAAGAGGTCCTCTTACCATCCATAAAGGTATCAATTCCCTAAACTTCTTCCAGCCGCTTCTAACTTTTGCAACTAAGCCAACTTCAACTTCACCTCAAGCAATGACCATGTCACCTTGGTAGCAGAATTCATGGAACAGTCCAAAGATATATTAACAATTTTGAGGTTTTTGGCCATGCTAAGGCTACATGATTACCTGCATATACAGCACACTTAAAATCAGCAACACCTTACAGTCTGTCCTTTACACCACTGCACTTCTTGTGTACCCACCTTCCACACTCGATGCACATACTGCATTACTATCAAAACCCTTCTTATAAACAACACACGGCTATTTTACATTTTTCTTAAAGGTCTTTCACCTGTACCACAAATTATTACGGTAATACTCTTGTTTATGGTATGTTCACTCATATCCTTAACTCCATTCTATTCTTCCATTTCTTAATTTCTGCACTACCTCTTATCAACACTTAGTCAAGAGCATACAGCAACTCCCAGGACAGACCAGTCCCAAAATCTTCCCGAGTAGCCTCTAATACCATGATGAACAGAAAGGAACTAAAGAACATGTGTATGATTTTCTCACAAAATCATACATGTACTGTTGTGTTATTATTAGCATTATATTATAACTGCCAAGTTCATTTGGTCTACTATCAATAATGAGTGATATGTCAGCTGTGCATTATTACAGTTACAAGTGATATGGTGAAAACTGCACATACAGTACCTGAAAAAAAAAATCACTTGCAGCAAAAAGCATAACCACACCCCCTGAGCAAGACCATGCTGGGTAAGTGGGAGTGTACTGTACGACAACTTTGTTTATCATTAACTAAGTTCTAATCATTACATTACCTATAATGAACCTCTGCTTGTAGTTGGCTGTTGTTTTTAGCACTTTTTGAAGGTGTAGGTTGTAAGATGTTGGTAAAAATGTTGGAACGCTTATTCACTGGGAAGCCTTGAAGGTATGAAAGATATTGATAATTAAGCAATACAAGTAAAAAAGATATACCGGTATGTATATATAAATATACAAATATTGCAAAGTTTTCATATACCCTCTATAACACAATATATTATCATGAACTACAGTATTTGTGTAACTAAATAAATATATATATATATATATATATATATATATATATATATATATATATATATATATATATATATATATATATATATATATATATATATATATATATATATATATATATATATATATATATATATATATATATATATATATATATATATATATATATATATATATATATTATATATATATATATATAATCATTAAAAAGTATTGGAATACAGCATACCCTCAAATCTGGTGTCACTAATAAGAATTTCTTGTGAGACCAAGTCAACATCTTTGGAATAATCTGAAAAGTTCTCATATGTGAGTCTGGAACTAATGAAATTGATACATGCAAGTGGAGTACATGACTTGCTTCCCTGTACATTGTCTTGTTCCAGATTCTCAAGTTCTAGAGTCACATTGTCCAAGTTAAGGATGATGTTTAGAGAAGTCCTAACAGACGTTGCTGAATGCCACCACTGGGGAAAAAAATCACCAAGGAAATTAATTTCAATAAATAATTTCCCTTCCTGAAATAGATATGATATTGATACAAAATACAGTACAGTAATGGAAACCTCACATTGCTTTCTATTACTTATGACTCTTGTATATACCAGAGAGATTTACCAAAATATACATCAATATAATTTTGTAAAAAAGCTAAAAGGCCAAAAAGAAGCCCTAACACAATGAAGCTAAACACACAAAATATATATAGTATCTTACTTGCTGTGGCTGTGATTGATAAAGATATGCAGGCATAGGCACAGATGGAAGTGGTTCTCCTAGGTTGAACATTAAGAGACCACGAATCAACTTGTAGTCTGCTGTATCAATAGTAACATGAACCTTGTTCACTGTCCCATGGATACTCATGTCTGGCACTAAATATGAGAAAGCAAATTTATATTAATTTACAATTATTTTCTTAAAAGAATTTTTAGAACTGATGTGATATTTTCATAAGTAAGAAAAAGCTCAAGTCCACTAAAATTATCTTTAAGTAGCATATTGTTACTGATTATAAGGCAAGTTTGGACCCAAAAACAAACTGGTTTGGAAAATTTCTGAATTTTGGAATTAGTTGGTAATAAGCCTCGAATATACTGTATTTGCCAGCATATAAGACGCACCCCTATTTTACAAGGATATTTTGTGGATTTTTTTTTAGTAAGTTTTGTCATACAGTTATTGAAGTGATTTTAAAGTGGTTTTGCAGGGGAAAACATGATTTTGTACATGTAAATACAATATATACTGGAATCAAGTAGTTAATCATATTATCATTAAAATAAAGCAATAATAATTAGATGCATGCCCAAGTGTGACCTTTTCATATCTTTTGTGTGGCTTTTTACCCTCTTTTTCCCCCAAAAAACAATACAATTACCGGTAATGGAAATTGCAAACTATGTTCTTTAAATAATAATGTTTATAAATGCACCTTATACAATATAAATGAATAATAATATGGTCACACAAGAGGAGATGGGACGCCATTGTTTTCGTTTGTGTTTACAGCCGGTAGTCCAGGACGATAGTTCTACACGAGTAAATGAAGAAAATAAGACCCTGGTTGTAGCTGTAGTAAAATTAATGTAAAAAATGAATATACATGTTTTAAGTAATGTTATTTAATGTTAATAAATGGAACACTAGAAGCAGCTAACCACTAATGGTAAATAAATAAGGCGAGACGATTGGGAACGCCAACGTATGAACAGTAAGTGCGCACATGTGAAAACATATTGTCATTTCTCTACATATGAATATGAAAGCAACACTTATTTACTGTTCATATATGTTTTAAATAATATTTATGAATGTAAAATAAAAATTCTACTACCAATGGTGGTAAAGTCTAAAACATGAAGGACAGCAAATGAATAGAGTGCGAGTTTTTACTCAGATAATGAAGTCATCAGGTTCAACTCTGGCTGAAGCTGTAGCTTTCCATAAAGCTGTTGCTGAAAATATTACAGAACCTGGAGTTGATGTTGAAGCTGCGTATCATGCTAAATTTGATGGTTTAGGCCTTCGAATAATATAGCTGTCGAAAGAACCTTGCACAGCTGCTTTCTTTTCTCATTATACATCTTTATGTAGAAGTCATGTGCATTTATTTAAATTTTAATGCTTTGTTCTGTTAATGGATCCACTATAGAAAATATGTTCATTGCTTGCTCCATATAATATCCACAGACCTCTCCCCTTTTTCATATCGTTTTAACACATCTAGTTTCTCGGCTAAGCTTATACACTTTTTATTAGGTTTTTAAACAACACTACCATCACTTACTCTCTTGCTCATGTTGAATAGGAATGCAAAAATGCTGTAAGAAACCTGAGAAAGTTTTTCTCCTTTTCCTGTTCAGATGCGTGAGAACAAAAGGCCCGCCAAGCTCCGACTGTTGTTTACCACTCATTAGGAAAGCAGCTTATTTGCGCAAGGCGCTCTTCATTTTTTTACAGCATTTTTTTGTTAATGCACATTGGGATTTAGTTATTATTTATATGAAAATGTAATTTGATTTGATTTTTATTATGTTTTGGTCGTAAATACGAATGAAATAAGGACGTAACTTGAATTGGGTCCTAAATTAACTAGGGTCTTAAATATGAAAAGTTGATGGTCGAACCTTTGTTATCGGAGGCTTTACTGTATAGTAACATTATACTAACCCAACACTACCTCTGATCAGAGCAGCTGTGTGGCTTGTTTATATTTTGGTCAAGAGAATTACCGAGACAGGATGTGAAACGTGTATTTTTGGATATGATATTTTGTGTTGCCGCGATCGGCCACCAGGGTGTAGCACCATCGCTATTGTTTTGGCGTCATCGACTCATTGCAAATGGCTGATTGGTGGCTGAACTTTCTGTTAACTTTCTTTAATCTTTCTAGGGGTATTTTTCATTTAGATAATAAACAAATGTTTCTTAAAAGTAATACAGTCCTTAAATTATGTAAGACATGTATCTGGTGTGGGTTACGTATGATGGGGAAGGAGATACAGTGAGATGTTGTTAGCCTCCCTCTGCCGTAAAGCCAATGTAAGCCATTATTTACGTCTTCTGCAAATTTGCCGTAAGTTTGTGATTGTGATAATTTGGCTTGTTTTTCATTATTTTATTATGAGTAATATTATTAGTAAAAATTTTTGTGCTTAGTGGACTACTGCTCGTCCTAGACTCCCTAGCTAGGCACCTCCGCCTATGGCACTCGGCCTCCCATCCGTAATACGGGCGCATTAGACGCAGGGTAATTTGGGATACATTAAAAAAAAAAATGCGTCTTTTACGCCGGCAAATACGGTACATAAAATATTAAATAAGTACGGAAAAGCAAGAAGTGCTGTCCCCATATAACCCCAGATAGAAATACAGTATAATAAACCCTTGGTGGTCTAGACTTTGGCTAGCAACAGTTGTTGTTCACCTCCCACCAGTGAGGAGCAGGTGAGCAAGCAAACCTATCGTAAACCCTCGAGAACTCAGCATTTGATAACTCGGAATTTCATATAACTCGTCATGGATATGATCTCAGAATGTATTATAGTATAACTCAGGAAATGCCGAGATATATAAAATTATCTGGGAATATCTCGGCATATCTGGCAACCTGAGTCACCTACCATGCCAGTGTTCGTCCCAAGTAAGCAAAGGATGATGCAGAAACTCATCAGGGGTCACTTGACCCCTGATGAGTTTCTGCATCACCCTTTGTTTACATGACACAAACACTACAATCACATAGGGTTGACCTATGACCAACACTTTAAGGAGTCTTGGTTCCTGCTGAGTGTTCTCTGTATTCTTGTTTAATAATGATTGCAATTTGCTTTCACAATTCCCCAAACAAACACAAAATTGGTAGTACATATACAATGCAGTACTGCACTGTATCTAACTACAAAAGCAAAAGAACGAAGTTTAATTGCAAAAGATAACCTTTGATTACCTCCGGGACTGGTGTCCCTGCCATGCCAGTTAAGAGTGTGCTTGGAAGCCCTAGTTATAATCCCAGTTCCCACTCTTGAAAAGTGGGCTGGCAATTGGATGAGCATTCAACATTAAAACTTCAAATTAACCTAATGGCAACTGGGACACTGTACCATTAAGTAATCATGGCAAACCCACACTAGCCTTCAAAATGGCCATAAATCGGTGATGATGATGAAAAGAGGATCAACAAAAAACAATCATAATACACCCAAAATGATACCGAGAGGCAAATATCACCTAAAACAGTGCAAAATGCCAGTGTATAGGTGTTTCAGATGTGAAGCAAACCAGCTGAGGTGTTGAGTTGTCATCCAGAAGAAATGAGTCATAATAAAATGGAATAAGCCAAAATTTCTAAGTTTGTTAAACTATGATAAGAAGCCTTTTCAGCATACCAAAGAGCAGTCTGTTGGTGTTTCCTTCAAATAAAGGCAGCTGAGGTGGAGGAATAGTACTGTAGCAATATTTAAATCAATAGAGAAAGATAACCAGGTAGATAATAAAAATGCTTATGATCAAATGCAAAGGATCATGATGGGTGGAGTTTGGTTATTAAATTTTCAATAGCACTAATGGTCTTAACTCAAGCTGGGATAGATCCAATACAGTTAGTTCAGGTTAAAGTGTTGGAGGAGAGAAAATATAAGTAACAGTACAAACCTTCATGACAAACAGCTGTATCCAAGTTTCTTTCTACCTGTAACTTCAGAGCACATTTGTCATATAACATGGACGTTCCCTGTCGCATCACGCTAAATGATCCAAAGATCCATTCAACAATTTCTCCAGTATCATTACTGCTTTTGCTTTTACTTATTCCTTGATTGTTTCTGCCTGAGTTATATGACTTTTTTGGTGGTGATCTTGTGCTTGTGTAAATGTCCATGTTTACCAAATCAATGTACAACACATCCAGAAGACACTTTTGTGACACAGAATGACTTTGCTGTTGTCTTAAATCTCCCTCAGCATCAGATTCACTTGTATAGCTTTGGTTCCCATCTCGGTGCCGGCTATGTGACCGTGAACGGGAGTCATGGGACCTAAGAAAGAAATATAAATTACGGTAGTATTAAAAAACAAGGTGAACAAGTATTGTACAGTCAACAGCAGAAGTCTGTCCCAATACAGTACATCCTGCATGATACGAGACAGGTGATCTGGTAACACTGTATGGCGAATAGTTGACAGATATGCTTTAAATGACGAATTATTTAAGATTTATGACTGGATATTGCCTAAAAATATATTTCTTGAACGGTATATATTGTACCATAATTAGTATCAATGTGCAAAATGTGGGAAAATAATGTTATGGAGAAATATATGACACTACCACAGGATGATTCATAGCTGGAGATCTACACGATTATAAATGTTCATATTGTACACACCAATGAGTATTTTTCATGCTTAACACCCTTACGGTCTTAGTCACCACTACCTGAAAGCCCTCTCGGGTTGACCTGAATTGGGGATATTGGCGGCCTGCATATTGTTTTCTGTTTGTTCAATCCAGAATGCGACGTCTAGCTTTATACCTAGGTATGTAAATGCCTAGCATTAACTTGCCAGGCCAACATACAGGCAATTAAAACATCTAATAATTACTTACCCTAAATACATATTAGGAGGACATTTAATTGCAGTTCTCAAAACCCCCTCCCGCACCCTCCATCACATGCATTGCTACCATCATCACCTTGCCTGGCGAATTAGCTGTAAACGTGCACAAGGAAAGCTCCGCTAATTTGTGTTGTAATAGCTGAAATATTAAGAGCAATGAGGATTTTAGCACGGTGAGGAAATCGAGTGACTTTTATTTTGTTTATGTCTTCAGATATTGTGTTTGGTGTAATTTTTTATATGGTCTGGTCAAGCATGGCGACCGAGGCTTGTTTTATATCTAGGAAGACAGACGATCTTTAGTGATTAATATCCTCTGTTTTCAAGTCACTTAGTGAATGACAATGTTTTCGCCCTTCTGGGCTCGTCTTCACTGAAAGAAAAAATAAATAAATTATATATATATCTTGATAAAATCACACGGGAAAAGGGAAACAACGGAGCACCTGAGCTTTCGTCTTTATTCAAGACATCTTCAGAGGCAACTGGATTACATGGACAGAGAGAGGCTTAAATATACAGGGTAACCTTATAAAACATGAGGTCAGGTCATAATGATGTCATCCACTAACCTGACCTCATGTTTTATAAGGTCACCCTGTATATTTAAGCCTCTCTCTGTCCATGTAATCCAGTTGCCTCTGAAGATGTCTTGAATAAAGACGAAAGCTAAGGTGCTCCGTTGTTTCCAATTTCCCGTGTGATTTTATCAAGATTTATCTTGTCCACGTTTTCATTGTTGATATATATATATATATATATATATATATATATATATATATATATATATATATATATATATATATATATATATATATATATATATATATATATATATATATATATATATATATATATATATTTGAAACCAGTTGTTTCTGCACTGTTGCTTGAAGAGTTTAAATTAAGAAGTTGGCAGCGGATATTTGGTCTGCAATCATGATGTGTCAGCTATGGACTAAGTTTGTGTTGGACTATGAGGACAGTTCAGATGTAGACAGATGTTTTGCTGCTGCTATACAAGGGATTCCATATTCCCTGTACAACTCATTTTTGGAAATGTTGTTGAAAGCCCTAAAACTAAAAGCCCAGCTAAGGAAGCAAGCCACTAATAATGCTTCAAGTGGTAGTGCTTATTTATTGCTACATTCTTCCCCTCTTTCCCCTGCTTTGTTTGATGAACAAACATTAGTTAAGTATAGACCAGCTTTTGAGCAAGCTATTCATATTACTGTTTCCAGGAGTTCTGAGACCTTTCGGAAATTTAAAAGAGGAAGGTCTAACAAGGAAACAGGACCAGCTGCTAGGTTCAGTTATCAACCTAGAGGAAACTTTAGAGGAGGAAACAATTCAAGACATAATTAGGGTAGCCATTTGTTCAAAGGTGGAAGAAGACCTTAATCCACCTCATCAGTGACCACTCCCTCCCAATGAAGTCAGACAGCTGGGCATAAATCAAGAGTGATCACCCACCTAGAATGGGACCTTGTGGAGGAGGTTCCTTGTTGTTTCACCAGTCTTTCCTCCAAGCTCTGATCTTGCACCTGTCATAATGAAGGATGCAAGATTAATAAGCAATTTAGAAGAAAAATATATGTTACTGAATGAAATTTTTTATTAAGACAAAAGGAGTACTTTATGAAACAAGTGGAGAAAGAATGAAAGGATAAGTAAATTTAGATTGGTTGGAGATAGAATGAAGAGAATATAGTGTTTCAGGTATCAGGGAGTGGATACATCAGAAAATGGAACAATGGAATGAAGAATTGAATCACACAGAGCACTGGAAGAAAAGTGAAAACTGTGTCAAAGAAGGTAAATAAGCCTTCACCTGGGACTGCATTCCTAGAAAAGACCAAAATTAGCAAAATTGGTGTAAGTGAACTTAAGTTTACAGAGTTGCAATCCTAGCCACAGCCAAAGTCCCCATTCTGGTACTAGGTGATTTTGAGGAAGGATGTGGTGCAGATGGGTGGTGTTGGTTTGTGTGAAACAACAGGGTTAAACCAGATTTGGGGCCTTGTTGTTAAGAGGAGAGTCCTACTTAGATCGACAATTTTAAAAGAAAAATTTTTTATATACAATATGAAAAAATTCCTGAGCAAAGGTGTTGCCTATGGCTGTATCTGGATGGAGTTTTATGACAATATTTGTAATATTTATGCAGTTATGTGTGGTTTCCTCCCGCCCCCAACCTTCCTTGGGTAGACATATGAATGATTGTGGTAAAATATTTTTCAAGAAAATTTGGAATAAATATCACAAAAAAGACTTTAGAAATTCATTTCAGTTAACATGTGGCAAGTATAAGGGAAGTGATAGTCACTGGTAGAAGCACGTGTCATCAGGATGGCTTGGTCCTTGGTAAGGTGAGGTGTGCACTCCGTTGCACTTCACATCTTACCTCACTTGTACTGCTGTACCAGGCTTCTCTCCTCGAATATCAGGATGGCATGTCATTCAAAACATAAAAGACAACTAAAGGAAGCATGTGCCAAGAGCAATGCTAAATCCATAAGGATGAATGAAGAAAATATTCGCTATAATAGCGACTGTAACAGCCATCTCAGTGGGGCACCTGATGCAGCCCAGCCTCAGCCTTCCACCCCTCCCCTCTACTTCACGTAAAGAATATAACTGGAGTTCAGTTGGAGATGTAAAAATACACAACAAAACAAGATATTACATGTAACATCAGCTCAGAATTAGCACTTACACAGGAGAGAAAGGTTGAGAAAATTTATCGGCCTGTATCTCAAAATGAACTTTTCCATCACTCAGACTGGAATTTCTCTGCCAATTTTTGACCAATTTCAATGAAACAAACACTCAGCACAAAATAAATCCTTCCTCAACATAACACCAGAGTCCAATCTTTTCTATCTTGTAAGATTTATTTTTGGTTGAATATTTAATCTCGTTATTTTGATAAAAATTCCAACCAAATTTGAAAAAATTTTAATCATAAAACCAGACAAAAACAAAAATATCGCTCTGGAGTATTCAATGACAATACTAGACCTCCTAGTACTATCAATTTCAAGGCAAAATAGAAAGAAGTACAGTGATCCCTCGGTTAACGAGCGCCTCGGTTAACGAGATTTCGGTTAACGATTTACCTTCCATAAGATTCTTAACTTCGGTTAACGAACAATCCCTCGATTAACGAGTTTTTTACGAGCCGACTTCAATATGTTTTCGCTTGCATTTGGCGGTCCACCAGCTGTAGTATTAGTCCACCAATACAGTAATCGGTTTTAGGGCTTAAATTCCTTACTATTTTAGTAAATATCAAGAAGTTTATACTATTCAATAATTCTAAAAGTTTAATATTAACTTTTTTAGTCATTTTAACAATTATTGAACATAATTGAAGGTAAAGAAACTAGTTTCTGGCATGCCATCCAGCCTGTTAACACACCAGACAGGCGTTAGTCTCTCTCTGTTTTCAGTGGAGGTAACATCTTGCTTGAGACTCTCTTCAACTAAATGCTTTTTTTCTGTGTTTCCAAGCAAATTATTGGTCATTTTGAAATTTATTTTACATATTGACAATATATAATGCAGTGCAGTGTTGATTTAAAGAAAATAATCTTGAATTACACCAAGAGAACTAAAATTTTATGGGTGAAATGGTGCCATGGGGTGACTTCTCTTCCACCCCAATGCCTTCTCTTCTCCCTTCTCCTCCACCCCCATTCTAATTCCCATCATCATCATCATCATCATCATCCAGGAGCCTTCTACATACACACCTCAAAGTGAGTGTACTTTTCCACCTTTTTTGTTGAATTTAGGCAATTTTCGGTGAGCTGGAACCAATTACCCAAAAACCCATTGAAACAATGGTTTCGGTTAACGAGTTTTTCGGTTAATGAGCAACCTGCTGGAAGGATTGTGCTCGTTAACCGAGGGACCACTGTAATGGAGAAATTACACCTTGAAAATTTAGACAAATATGAGAAAATGTGTAAAGGGTTGAAAATTTTGAAAGGATAGAAGGGAGTTATAGGGTTAGAAATGATGTACAGTGGTCCCTCGGTTAACGAACACAATCCGTTCTAGAAGGTTGCTCGTTAACCGAAAAACTCGTTAACCGAAACCATTGTTTCAATGGGCTTTTGGGTAATTGGTTCCAGCTCACCGAAAATTGCCTAAATTCAACAAAAAAGGTAGAAAAGTACACTTACTTTGAGGTGTGTATGTAGAAGGCTCCTGGATGATGATGATGGGAATTAGAATGGGGGTGGAGAAGGGAGGAGAGATGGCATTGGGGTGAAATAAATTAAAGAATGATTGACTGAAAGAGTCTCGACCTCCACTGAAGACAGTATGGTGTGTTAACATATAAAACATCACTTCTTGATTAATGACAGGAATATCATAACAATTGACCAAAATTAAAAGCACCTACACCAAAAACCGGACACTTTTCTTAAGGGAAAGCAGAGTAGCATTCCCTGATTTATGAAAGGGTTCCATTCCTGAAAAAATCTACCTAAATAAATTTTTCATGGTCGAAACAACAGACTAATTTACTCACTAATTTTCATAAATTTAAGCTCAAAATTCCAGAAAGATCCCTTATTTAATATTCCTCAGCTCCCAAGCATGCCAGATAAATGGTCTCATATCTGTATATGTTACATAATAATAATAATAATAATAATAATAATAATAATAATAATAATAATAATAATAATAATAATAATAATAATAATAATAATAATAATAATAATAATCATAATAATAATAATAATAATAATAAATATTATCATTATTATTATTATTATTATTATTAAAAATTCATCAGCTAAAATAAATCCTGAGGTCACAATAAATTACTAAGGTTGTAAACAGAGTTCATGGAGTTCTATATCACCCACCTGACTAATAGTTCCTTTAGATCCAGCCCAAAGAAACTTGTTAGTGATGGTCAAGCTCCCAAGGTCAGCAACCAGAAGAGTTTCTGAACAACTGGACATAGGCAGGAATATGACTGGTGAACCTGCACTAATATCCAGTGACACACGGGAGCCTCTGCTATAATCAGCTACCTACAAGAATGTTAGAGATGAACATCATTTATAATTGAAATAGCATATGCCAGGAATATACAGTATGCGTATATGTATGGTTTTATGACATTTGTATGTGAGAATCTAGGACTATGAAGCAGGCCTAAAGAATGTATGTGCCTAGACAAGCATTGCCAGAAAATGGGAAAAGCATATAAAATATTCTTTTGTTTAACTAAACCTATTTCTGAAAATCTGTGTTACAAAAATAATTATTTGTAATAATTGTATCATGGGGAAAATACAAACCCTTCCTTACCTCGAGACCAGCACTTGTAGCCCTCCACCTCGACACTATATCTCTTAGCTGGTTAAATTCTTGCACAAACTGTGTTAGCTCAGATGCAAAGCGATGTGTATGTATATACATCACAGAAGACATCTTTAACTTGACTCGAATATCACATTCACGTTGCATATTAGGATCCTCATGACCATATCTGTAGAGATAGTGGTATCCTGTAAGCTAATAAGCATTTTGAGATAGTAAGTAGTAGGAAGCTACCAAACAGGGAAGATAATGGAAGCATAATATGTTGTCTAATGGTAGACCCTGCTGCCATATGGCATCACAAAAAGTGTGACCAAAGTCCCAGGTTGCTGATCTGACTTTCTGCCTCATTTACACACAATTGCAGGGCTCAATTGACAACACAACATAATATAGCATTGCTCAACTACCATTTTTTTTATTTTTTTATTTCTTTATAGTTCTTTATTATTATTATTATTACAGTCAACCCTCACTTTACGCTGTCCCACTTTACGTGTTTCCACGTTTATGCGGTACCCTGCCGAACACGGAATGCTCACATTCCGCGGTGTGTGTACCCTTTTAAGCGGAGAGCGGCACGAGCAGGGTGCGCACAAGGTCGCCTAGTCATCAAAACATTACCGAGTTCAGCGCCCGCCACCCACCACAGCCGGCCCAAGTCAGTGATAGTGATAATGATAGTGAGGATATGGACTTTGAGGGGTTTGACAAAGACGCCCTGCAAGCCTCTGTGGTGAATAGTGATACAATTGATACCAGTGATACAGGCGAGGGCCAATAATCTGCCCCTGCCTCGGAACCAACCCCCCATCCCCGTGTGCCCAGACATCTTTTCCACTAATGTAAGTGTTAAAAAACCTAATATTATTGATATTTCTCTTAATTATTAATTGTGTGTGCATACCATCATAAAAATAAGAAGTTATTTTTACTACAACGTAGGTATTGTGTCTGAAAAAGTGGAGTTTGGGGGTCGGCCCGGTCTCTATTTCAATTAATCCCATATGTTATGTTTCTCACTTTACGCGGGCCGCCGTGGGTTCAATTGACCGCGTAAAGTGAGGGTTCACTGTAATATTATTATTATTATTATTATTATTATTATGAGTGTTATTATTATTATTGTTATCATTATTATCTTATTTTACTTTTTATTATAAATTTTATGTATTATGAATAATTATTAAATTTTCATCCCCAAGGCCCTGATGTGGGTCAGTGACCTGTATTCGGGTGGGCTAATCCCGTAAAAAAAAAAAAAATATGCCTAAACAATAATTTTCTTCCTCCAAAACATATATTTGAGGTCAGCGAATAAAACAAATCTACAATTAACCTACTCCATCTAACCAATTATATGCAAATCCACTCTGTTTATTAAACCCACGTACCATTTAAATTATTTTTTGTTTAGCACAGCTCTCACAAAAAAAGTCTCAGTTTCAATTCATAAATTGGATATTTGCAGGCACAGTAGAAACTAAAAACATATATCTTCCCAGTTTTGGCCGATGAATATTGAAACCTGGCAGATTAAACTGAAAGCGTTACCCTGACTACACAGGTTAGTTGGTACTCCAGATCAGATACAAGCTATGTTCGAAATAATGAACTTACCATTCTAGTTGTGGAATATGGACACATATCTAATAATAATGACTGGCCATCAAAGAAAGTAAGTACTGTAATTATGTGTATGAATGGTGTATCTAGCTACCACTTTCCAAGGTTCCACAGACCTGTCAACTGTTTGGGGTAAACAGATACGTGCGTCGGATGGCCCAACTTTTCCGTGATGTATTCACCAAAACTTGTGAAGATACTTGTTTCTTAGACTGTACAGTAGACCCTAATAATTTCAGTTTAATACTTTGCTTTCTTTGCAGCAATCTAAATTTCTCTCATTTTTCTCTACTGTGTGGTCAAACCCTTTTAATATGCAGTGTAAGCCCCCAAATTAAATAATTTTTAAATGGATCACCATATTCATCAACCAACAACAAGCAATCAGCTGATGACGAGAAAGTTCCCCCCACATATTACTAGATGACAATATTCACTCACCTGAACACCTGGAAAGTCATTGCTTCATTTCCAGCCGTGATGAACTTTTCACGATATAGGTGACCATGGCTAGTGCAATCAACAAGTGACAGAGATCCTAAACGACCTGTTAATGTCAGGTTACCCTCAGATCCAACTGAACGGACCAAGACCTGAGAGATACTTGCACGAGCCAGTTCACAGTCTGTTTTGTTGAAGATGAGGGTGAGGGAGCGCACCTGTACTTCCACTATGGTGTTCAGCTCCTCTGTAACTACCAGGTAAATTTAGTTATGAATATATCCTTTCCTTTGAGGATGTAACAAATTCCTAAGTTAACTCTATTTCACACTGATGTTATAACATGAAAAAAAAAAAACAACAAAATGCAGATTTTGAATTAAAACAGAAAAATGTCAGACTTTTTTGTGCTATACTGCATTTCTACACTGTGTAATAAAAACAATATACGCCTACTATACAGTATAATAAATTGGTAGGAAAAAAAGCCGTTTTTGTCTAAAAACCAGTTTTTGTGATGTGGCCCAGAATGAGACTCCTATGTGAGGCCCCCTTTGATTGTCTTGTAAGCCCATATGGAAGATGTCCATCTGTTTTCCCAACCCCCTAGATGACCCAGCTGTCTGGCTTCATTGGAAGGGAGAAACTCAGATCCTTCCAAGGCAAGGACCTCTTAATTGCCCCAAGACCCAAGGGGACCATACTACATGTAATTATCAAGGATGTAGAGCCACTTGGATTACTGGTCGAAGCTAGTTTGATTAGGGAATTAAATTCTATAAACCTTAGTGATGGTCAGTACAAAACTGATATGTTACACAAATTTATTTGTCAGTGGCCCAAGGTTAAAAATGCTTAGAAAACCTTGGAGTTAAATGTAGGATAGCTGATTAGCAGATCCCATATTTTTTACCTGACCTAACTAGACTAGTCACGTCGCCCTTTCTCTTAAGCTCCTCTGCGTGTGTGTTGGTGTTGTGTGCGGAATAGTGGATGTCATGATTATGACCTGACCTCATGTTTAGTAAGGTCACCCTGTGTAATTAAGCCTCTCTCCGTCCATGTAATTCAGTTGCCTCTGAAGATGTCTTGAATAAAGACGAAAGCTAAGGTGCTCCATTGTTTCCCTTTTCCCTGTGTGATTTTATCATATATATATATATATATATATATATATATATATATATATATATATATATATATATATATATATATATATATATATATATATATATATATATATATATATATATATATATATATATATATATATATATATATATAAAAGTGTGGCCTGACCCTAAATGTATATCTTTGTTATGCTCCTGTTATCATGTCATAAAAATATATTGAGTGTATTTCTGATTTGGAATCTTGTCCTTTAAACCTTCACTAACTTCAATCTAAAATTTCAAACACTCCATACTTTGCTTACTTCTTTTGCCAAGTGAGTGATGCAGCATCCCCATTTTAATCAGAGTAATTTTGAATCATAAATGATATACCTGTATAACCAAAGGTCTTCACAGAGTTTTGCCCCTTTTCTTTATTCAATCTTTTCCATTGTTGGAAAAACTCGTACAGTAGTACTATACAGTATTTGAAATAAGTTTCACACTAGAGTTCCCAGAAGACCTCCTGAGATATCATTCTAACAACTAAACAATATTGTGTGGAGAGATTCTAACATTAGTACACATTGTCATGAATAATCATCTTGAATATGTATGTGTTACAGTTAAAGTAAAATAACTTAATTTGACATTGAGTATTAAGTATTACATAATGCACTGAAATGAGTACTGTATTAGATATTACATAATGTACTGAATACATAAATATTCTAATAATCTTGCTCAGAAAAGAAATAATAGAGTAACAGTTGGTATGATATTTCTACTTGTTATCCCTTTCATGCTGCAATATACACTATTGTAATTTTTCCCTTCTTTGAGGTTCCTGGATCCCTTTATCAATCCATACAAAAGTGGAAGAGTAAAAATAAAAGATTGACAGACATAAGGGTTTCAAATGCAGTTTCCTTACACACTAGTACTCATGCCTTCCTTTTTTACCCAGTTTCTCCCCAATATCCTTAATTACTTCCATGGTTTCACCACTTTCCAGTTTCATAATCCAGATACAACCCCATATTATAACTTCTAAATGTAGTTTAGGTAATTAATGTTATATCCACAACATACAACTATGAACATGTTCATTAAAAACAACTAACCTCTAGGACCAAACTCCTTGGAAGTGTCTGGAGTAACTTCTCTTGAAGTCATGTTAAGAACACTATCATCTTGGTCCGTGCTGAAGAAGTCCAGTACCATAACCCAAGATGAGATATTGACGACTGTAGTAAGACTGTTGAAGTCAACATCAACGAACCTGTTAGTCTGTAAAATAGAGGCAACAAATGTTTCCTTACTCCTTGAGCCATGAATAATATTGGTTGATGCCACTAATTATAACTAATGAGAAATTGCTCCCATTTTAAGTGGAATTTCACCTTTAGCAGCTTTTCAAAATGAAGAGTCAGATGTAGCAACATTAATTTTGCTTCTTTTACACAGTAACACATTTTGGTCTTTACTGACATACTTCCCCAAAACATTTAATCTATTAATTACTCTCATCATTTTCTACACTCAAGACTTCCAACACTCCCTTCTTTATATTCATGTCCATCATCACCCTACCTCAAAATAATTCTCTACTGAAAAACACATTTTATTCTTCATTCAACTAATTTTCACTTTAATGTCTATTCCACCTTTGGTATTAACACAGTCTCGTCTTCTTTCTTCCCAAATATCACTTGCCCCCAAATTTATCTCATAAATTTTCTAACTACAGGTGACAACCTTCTATTTTATGCTTTTGACTCCCTTTTCCCTAACACAACTAACTTTTTTTCGTATACAAAGGTAACATATTAATACAGGTATGGACCCCCAAATTTGGGACCCTCATAATCAAGACTGAGCCAGTTTTCAGGATTTTCTGGATGTGGGGAGGGACCAACATAGGGAAGGAAAAGATGCCATGTATGACAATATTGGTGATTGCAGTCATTGCAGGACAAAACGCGCTCATCATCTATTTAAGATCACGGTTGTTTAAGGGTTAAGCAGTAAAACAAACTTTTAAATGAATAAGTGTGAGGGCACAACTTGTAGCTTTGGAAAAATATTGAATTTTTCTAAGATCCAGTTTCAAGGGTCAGTACTGGCATCTATTTTCTCTATACTGGGTAATGCAACTTACAAATGGCAGTCATGCATCACTGACATATGATCCCACTCTCTTTAACATTTTCATCATCATGATGTAACTTTATTGACAATAACCTTTCCACAAACCCAAGTTCACCACTCGACCACCATTCCCAACAAGTTGCATTAAAAGTTGTGACAAACCTAATATCAATACAATAAGTCCATTCACACACAACCTACACTGTGACAAAATGAATCAAAATTTCAACATTGCTTTAATGGCCACATGAGCTTTACACAACCAACCAAGCCAGTTGTATAATTGCATTTTTTCTTGCATAAAGCCAGTGGCGGAGTGGCCCACCGGGATACCGGGAAGTTTCCCGGTGGGCCCCATAGTGATGGTCTATCACTTTGGAAATAACGGAAAAAAGAAAAAAGAGTGGGCCCTTTTGGACCCTTTTGAGTGGGCCCTTTTACAAGTTTTCCCGGTAGAAATTTTTGACCCAGTCCGCCACTGCATAAAGCAATACGGTATAGTGGGAGAAATTGGATGTTAGCATCATAGTTAAATCACATAGAACGAGGGTCACCTGTACTTCCTATGGTAATGTTGGCAATACTCATCTCTGCTGTACTCATTTTTTATTTATCAGTCCTGTGGCAGCTTCACATCCATACAGAAGGTCTGGACTAAAATGACATAATTTCCTATGATTCAACTAATTATAAAAACATATCCTCTAACCTTTTATTTATACTTACTCCATCATATTTACTATGATATTCTGGACATCTCTTGTCTATGTCTGAAATGGTGATGGTGACAAGAGTAGTGTGAGGCCGATGTGCAAAGTGTGGCTCCTCTCCTGGGGTTGGTGATGGAGGTGGAGTGCAAGGGCTCTTTGTACACGTGGCATTACATTTTGTACTGATGTGTGGACTCTGACTAGACAATCCTGAGGGATGATTGAGTAGTAAAAATCATTAAATTGAATGCATAATATAGACAATTAATGGCAATTTCACAAAAACAATTCAAGTTTCATATACGTACTGGGTATAACACAATGGTATCAAACATGAACGAATAAAAGAATAATACTGTATAATTAAAATACTAAGTTCTTAATATTATGGACACCCATCACAAATGTCAAAGGTTTCAGAATGAGTACAATTTTCAAAGGAAAATAAAAAAAGGGGAGAAAACAAAAGCTCAATTAAAGATGACAAAGAAAACTTGAAACCAGTCAGTTAAGTTAAAGAAAAACGATAAAACCTTTATACAGGTACTTGTGCATCCTCCTACGCTCCCAAAGTCTAATTTTGGGGAAAGAAATACTGATTATACCTATACATTTGACAGTAAAATATATGCCTGCATAGGAAATAGGTCCTTGTAGCAAAATAATGAAAATTACACAAAAAAATCCATAAAACCTATGAGGTAGAGTCATGGAATGATTCACTAATGCATATATAAAGCACTGGAGAATTCCCAATGTATCATTTACCTAACTCCTGCCACTTCCTTAATATGCTTACATAAGGTATCTTTGGGGCACAAAGCATGAATAGAAACGAGTGTGACAGCCAAGACAGCCCACACGGCTGCTAGACGTATGAGAGAGCTCAGCAACACCACCTGATTGGTGACTTGCCGAGTACAACTGTACTGAGAGCCAGAACCAAGCTCCCAACAGAAAATGAAAGACCATGTTTTTTTTTTCCCCACAGATGTTAAAACCCAAAGCAGCAAAAAAATTTCAAATTGCATATGAAAACCCTGAGGGTGTTATTTCTAGGCTAAAAATACAATAGGTTTGGTGTTTTTATTTAGCTTAAGTCAGAAATCCCCATCCTCTGGAATTTTCCACCTTGCTATATTTAAATTGCAGACTTCTGCTCAACCCAGAATTTTGGCCAAACTGGACAGGCCTTGCCCCCAATTAGTCTGGATTAGAGAAAGATTACTTTATAGTGAATGAGGTTCTCTTCATGTAGCAACAAAAAAAAATCTAGGGGTACAATAGGCAAGCCCAGGACGAAGGTTAGCCTACAGCGTGCATGTACTTGGTACCTATCGCTCACCGTAAATGGCAAACAGACAGTACATATGGAGAGGTTTGTTCGTATCTCCAAAAAATTTTAAGTAGAGGAGCACCCGTATACAGCAACATAAATAGTATATAAACTAAGAAACTTACCTCTTAAATTTTTCTTGGGAGTAATAGTTGGTTTTTGTAGTGCTTTAAAGAAAGGTTTTTCCATTTTCAATTCACTGGGTAGTGATGAGGAAGCTAAATGAGCAGCATGATGTTGCCAAAATTCAGGACAAGAAGTAGATATAAACTCTGGAACATGGTGCTCATGAAGGAAGTGACTGTGTGAGTGGTAGGATGGGTAGAGGCTAGAATGCTGAAACTGGGATTGGGTATCAGATGCTGTATCTTGGGGTACTGTATCGGAATTCATGAGGAATCTATGCTGGGTGCTTGTGTCTGACTGCTGCAGATCTTCCATCATCAGTGAACGAAGTGTTAACTGAAATAAAGAATATATCCTGAGACATTGGTAACTGTACATTTTAAGATGTTTGCTCACCAGCTAATGTTAATGTTGTTTATTTCTAATTCAAAATATACAACAACCTTCACAATTGCTTTATCCTGAATTTTCAAATCAACCAATTTTTACCCCAAAAATCAAAATAGTATTTATTTACAAATTTCTATGGCTGCATGCTCATAAAATTATGTAAGTGCCTAAGGGTTACAATTTATGACTATTCTTATAATACATCAGTGTCATCTGTAAAAGAAAGATGGAAAATAGATACCCTTTTCCCTAATGCATCACTCACACTTATCCTTTCACTTTAGTCACATAAGTATTTTTTTTTTTTACTTTTTACTTTTATCCTCTTCACCACTAATCAGCTCATTAGCCACTTGGGCAGTCAGTCATGTCTCTGTTCTGCACTGTTGGCACGTACTGGGTATGCAATGGTTCCTGAATGTATCTGAACCAGCTCCAGTGCTGGTCAAGTCTGGTCTTGAAAGAGCTCACACTCGGTGCCGTCACAACACTCTCTGGCAGTCATTTCAAGAGTTCATAACTCTCACTCCAAAGAAGTTAGCCCTCACAGTTTTCTGGACTTACGGCTTCATAAACCTTGGGCTGTGACCCCTTGTGGGGTGAGCGTCCACCAGCTCCAGGTATGAACATTTGACCAAGTAGTGCCCTTTAAGATGTTTATCCACCTCAAGTACACCCCCTCCCCCTTGCCCATCTGTAATATAAGCTAGGCAATTGCAGGTGCTCTAATCTCTCAGGGTAGCTGAGGTGCCAAAGTGCAGGCACCAATCTGGTGGTCCTCCTTTGGACATTTTCAATCATCTGACAATCCCGAGCATATCTCGGGGACCAGACGGGGTGACAGTACTGCAGGTGGGGAAGCACCTCACTCTTGAAAATCGTTACGAGGGACAGACTGTCTAGATATCTGAACGACCTGTCTTATAAGACTTAATAATTTAGTTGCTTGATTCACCTTCTTCTCACAATGGCCTGAGAACTTTAGTTCATTGTCAACATACACACCCAGGTCCTTTTGCATTCAGTCTCAAATATGATACACCCTCTTACCGTTGGTATGTCCCAGGTGCATCCTCTTATACTTCCTGACTTTGAATCTTAGCAGCCATTTCTTTGACCGTTCTTGAAGCTCACATATATATTCCTACAGCTCTTCACAGTCTGCTTGGTTCTTAATTTCCCTAAATAGCTTGGCATCGTCCGCAAACATTTGTCTGGAGGAGTGTATAGCTTCTGGCATGTCATTTATGAAGCAAACAAACAACAGCAGGCCGAATACACTGCCCTGTAGTACCTTGCTTGTCACGGGTACATATGACGATTTCGTACCATTAATTAACAAACGCTGCTTACGATCAAAAAGAAAGTCTCCGATCCACACTAGGACACTTCCCCGAATCCCGTACCCTTCCAGTTTAAATTTTAGCCTTTCATGGGGTACGCTGTCAAAAGCCTTGGCAAAATCTAGGCATACAGTATATTGTCAACTTTGCCACCCTGTTCCAGAATTTTGGGTCCAAACATCCAGTACCTTGAGTAATTGTGTTAAGCAGGAGCGTCCCAGCATAAAACTGTGTTGGCAATCCTTTACAAGGTTGTTTCGTAGTAGAAGTTCCAACAAGGCATCTCTTATGATGCTCTCAAGTACTTTACATACTATTCTGGTTAGGCTCACTATGATATTATTCGTGGATTCTCGATTGCCATTCTTGAAAATAGGACTCACATAATCCCTTTTCCAATCACTGGGGACCTTTTGCTCATCCAGGCATTTACAGGACAGGATCTTCAGGGGTTCAGCAAGCTCATTGCACAACTCTCTTAGCACTCTGGGATGCACCATGTCAGGACCGGGACTCTTATGAACCTTTAGCTTTGACAATTTATTTCTTGTAACCTCTTCTGAGAGCATAACGTGGGTCAGCACTGTGTCCTCAAACACAGGAAGATTGTTCGCATCCTCCCTTGTAAACACCGAGGAAAAGAAACTGTTCAATGCTTCCCCTTTGTCCTGGTCAGAATCTGCGTAACTACCATCTTCAAGCCTCAGGTCCAATAGTCCTACTCGCGTTTTTAATTTTGACTTTGCATAGCGGTAAAATGCCTTTGAGTTTGACTTGACCTGGCTTGCAATCTGCCTCTGGAACTCTTTTTCAGCCCTTCTACACTCTGACTTTGCTTGGTTCCTGGATCTGGCATACATCTTCCTGTCCTGCTCATCGTTTGTCCTTACCCACATATCAAATTTCTGGGGCCAGATGGAAATTCCAAACATTCAACAGTCTTCTACAGACGCTTTAATGAGTGAAAACTTCTCAAAGTCCATTTAAATTCATCATAGAATTTTTTCAAAGTCAATATACAGTACTGTATTCAGAAAAAGTATAAAACTTTCAAAAATAATCTGCAAAAGTACAAATAATTCAACCTCGCCAACTCTTCCTTCTCTGAATCCTTCCAGTTATTCATCAATGAAGAGTTCTGTTACCTTCAGCACACAAGAAGTGTAAGCCTTGTCTTATAAAGCTTTCATTGTGGCATCCATACCGAAGAATGGACCTAGTATTCCTTCATACATATTTTTCTATTCTAAATATACATTAGCAGGAGACAAAGTTCTCTCAACTCTTGAATCTCTTCTGTACTTTACATATATTTAAAAATTTCCTTCCACAGCAATACCTATCAATCACAATTCTATGTACAATATATAAATTCATATATACTGTACACTCTTGTTCATTTGCTATCAAAATTAATAAACTATATTTTCTTTCAAATACTAAAACATGTTTTTTTTTCATCAATATTCCTTTGTGGCATGCTTCCCTAAAACAGTTTCTTATTTTACTAAAACAACAAAAACAAAGAATTTTAACTGTAAGTTTCCACTGTGCTTCACCATTATGTAAGAGTAGCTCACTATCATCCTCTATTTCCTTAAACATTATATTTACAAAGTATTGAAGTAATCTTCTCTGTTTAGAAGCCAAAGAGATGCTGGTGTCAGCCAGCAATCAGACAAGTTGGAAAAGTATTATATTCTCTAGGATGTGCACATGATTGCCATTCTGAAGACTAGCTAATCCTTATTGAATGTAATGAGTTAAATTACACATGTGGAATAAATGATTTCATAGTTTAGCTCTAACTTCTTTTATGCATTACCATACACTATCTTATCTGCATCTAATTCTAAGCCTTTATGACCTTTCGTGTACCATATCAATTTTTTAGTATGAGTACAGTACAGCGTGCCCTTCATATAAGCGTATTTTTAATTTGCGGACCTCGATTATTTGCGAATGACACCCTGGATGTACCCAAGAATATCTAAGGGTAGTTTTAAAGTTGCTGGCATTTTCGTGGTTGGGACAGGGAGCCATTCATTCTAGAGACAGTAATTTCCTTTACCTGTATTGTATATATGTGTGCGTGTGTGTGTGTGTGCAGACACACACACACATATATAAATAAATAATAATGGGAAAATCCTCTCAAATAATAAAAAACAAATGAATTAAAAATCTTGAGACTACCCTCAAGTCCACTCCGTGCTTTATTAATAACAAAGCACGGAGTGGACTTGAAGGTAGACTCAACATTTTTAATATACAGCTCCTCCCCGACTTACGACCTACTCGACTTACGACCACCCACACTTACGACCTGCCTCAGTCGTACAAAAATTTTGTCAAATTATGTATTTTCAAGTCCCAACGTCAGTAATTGCGCTGTGTACTGACAAAATTTTCGTTTGTACAGTAAAACCTCGATTAACCGACCACATATGAGGGGAAAGGACCGACGGATAATCGAAAAGGTCGATTAATAGTACATAAATTCTACGGAAATAAAACATACATTTTCAAAGTACCTTTCCCTAACCGACTTCATTTAAGTCCCTCTATTCATTTTTGCTCATTTGCCATTCATATTTCAATAGAATTTGCTTTAAAACATTAACCACTTTAGTAAATAATTATGAACCAGCACAGAAACTGTGAATAAAAAATGGAAAAGTCAAAGAACATCTCATCACAAAAATTGTGACCAAGTCCCAGGTTGCTGATCTGACTTTCTGCCTCATTTACACACAATTGCAGGGTCTTAATTGTTTCTCTTACTATTGACAACACAACATATTTACAGGTACATTGTTTCTCACCCTTGATTTTTTTTTTCATTTTTGCATTTCTTTATGGTTCTTTATTACTATTATTATTATTATTAGCATTATCATTATTAATATTATTACATTATCCTCCCCCCAGGTCCCGATGTGGGTCACTGACCTGTGCTCGGGTGGGCTAATCACCGCAAAAAAAAAAAAAATATATAGGGGTTCGGGATTGACGGTTAATCCGAAAGTCGGTTAATCAAGGGTCGGTTAATCGAGGTTTACTGTAATTCACTTTAAAATGGCTGGCATGCTTAAAAGTGAGAGTTTTGTGGTGCTGAGAAGAAAAGGAGACACCCATTTTACATTTTCTACGTACTATTTAAGCATTTTCGACTTACGACCATTTCGACTTACGACCTGGATTTGGGTCCCTAACCCCGTCGTAAGTCGGGGACAAGATGTATTTGTTTCTGATTATTTGTTAGAGGAATTTCCCAGTATTATTTACTTGTACAGTGGTCCCTCGGTTAATGAACACAATTTGTTCCAGGAGGTCATTCGTCAACCGAAGGTTTCGTGAACCGAAACCATTGTTTCAATGGGATTTTGGGTAATTGGTTCCAGCTCACAGAAAATTACATACAAACTAAAAATAAATGCAGTAAAGTATTCCTACTTTGAGGTGTGCATATAGAAGGCTCCTGGTAGATGTAGATGATGATGATGATGATGACGATGATGGGAATTAGAAGTGGGGGTGGAGGGGAAGGGAGAAGAGAAGGCAGTGGGGGTGGAAGAGAAGTCATCCCATGCCTCATGCCACCATTTCACCCATAAAATTTTAAGTTCACTCGGTGTAATTTAAGATTATTTTCTTTAAATCAACACTGCACTGCACTATATATTGTCAATATGTAAAATAAATTTCAGAATGACCAATAATTGTACTGTAAAAATTTAAAAATAGTTTATGTTCAAGAAAGTCTCGAGCAACATGCTTCCTCCACTGAGCAGGGACACAAACTGACACCATTCTGGGTGAGTCAAGTAGCTGTTTGGTGCACTAAAAACTAGTTCCCTGTACTTCAATTATGTTAAATAATTGCTAAAATGACTAAAAATTTTAATATAAGACTTGGAAAATTATTGAATAGTACAACCTTCTTGATATTTACTCAAATGGTAACGAATTTAAGCCCTAAAACCGATTACTGTATTGGCGGACTAATACGCCAGCTGGTGAGAAGGCGAAAACATGTTGACATGATTTCGTAAGGATTTCGTTAACCAAATTTTTGTTCGTTAATCGAGTTGAAGATTCTTATGGAAGGTAATTCGTTAACCAAAATTTCGTTAACCGAGGGATCAATGTGTGTTTTGTGTGTGTGTGTGTCTACACACACACACACATATACAATACAGGTAAAAGAAATAATTGTCCTAAGGGCAAACACATAAAGGGAATATACATTTCTTTGTGCACAAGTAAGAATGTACCCCCCCCCCCCAATCAGGAATTTAAAGTGCATGCTGTACTGTATTCTGACAGCCTTTACATGATAATGCTTTCCACCAACTAATCTGGTGTTCTCCAATGAAATTAAATACTGTACATACTTAGAAACAGCTAATAATATTGGTTCTCACCTGAGTTTTTGTTTTGTAAGGTTCACATGACTCATATGTAGCTTTTAATTCCTCCAAGAGCAGGTTGACAAGAGGCTTCTCTTTCTCTCCAACATCCCCACGAAGCTCAACACACAAGTTTGGTACAGAAAAGGATCCTGTTAGGAAGAACAGCTTTCCTACATAAATACAACTACTGTACTGAATATTGAAATTTTCATTATACAGTAATATACAATGATATTAATTTTAAGATAAAACCTCTTAATTTTTTATTCTTAGTGTGTGTGTGTGTGTGTGTGTGTGGAATAAGTGAAAATTTGACTATACAGTATATGCTTAATCAATATACATGTACTCTATATACTCCAATATACATGTACTCTATATACTCCAATACACATGTACTTTATGCACCATTCTGAAATGAACAAAAGATATAACAGTGAATTTACACATAATGAAAAGAAATCCTGGTAATATTTCTGTAAAAAAGCAAGATAACTAAAAGAAGAACAGTCCTTGCTCTTCTTGGTTTCAGCCATACAGCTCAGAAACAGATAAAGTCGTGCAAGAATATAATAGAAAAAATTAAAAACAATCACCAATTTGATCATTTACCCAACAACAAAACAACATACCTTTTACTGCAATTAATGTGTTATCTGCCTCAACTGGGACCTGAGAACTCTTTGGTCGTTGTGATGTTTCTGTTTTTATTACTGTAGTGCCTTCCTCAACCACAGAACCTGTTAAATAAATAATTAAGCATTTTAACTAATGGTCCTTTGCTTCATCATCAAACTTACAAACTTCAGTATAAATAAATCATTATAAAAGATAATTTTAAAAACTTTTAATGAAAAGTACAGTAGAAGATACTTTTAACTTTGCTTATTCATATGACCTAAAGTTGATGCAAAACTATATGCAATATATACATCTGTCCATCTGCATGTATAATATAACCCTTCTACTGTACAATCAGCCAGACAAGTGACGTCACACTTTTCAACATGATTTGCTTAAACAGCGATATCTAGCAAATTGGCGGGAGCCAAGCGAGTGACGCCATTGTAGCAAGATGGTATATTAATGAGCTCCTGAGCCAAATTTCTCACTACATAACGTTTGTCTGGCATTCCCTCATATTTTTGCAGGTAAAAGGCTTCAAGACAGGTAGTAAAAGAGGTATATCCCAATACCATGTTTGAAAGCCAAAGAAGATACATACAGGAAAAAAAAAGAAAAAGGACAGCACTTCTAGGTGTAGAATATTCTGCATATGGCTGATTTACTTGTTTAGAAGTTGTTTTATTTTTATAACAATATGAAAGGTGTATGTTACTCTAAAATAATTATTTGTTGAATAAGGTTTCATAGACATTAATAATTTAACAAAGTTTCTCTCACGCACGCACGCGTGCACACACACACACACACACACACACACACACACACACACACAAAATAAAATAAATAATAATTGGAAAATCCTCTCAGAAATACTCAAACAAATTTATTAAAAATGTGAGTCTACCCTCACGCCCATGCTTTATTACTTTATTAATAAAGCACTGACTTGAGGGTAAACCGTTACCCTTAAGCCCGCTGGGATAAATTGAGAGAAAATCTACTTTTCAAAAAAATTAGTAAATAAAAATAAATAAATAAATAAACAAATAAAAAATAGGCAGACGTTCTGGAACGTCACCCGAGGCCAAAGGGTTAATAAATTTGATTATTTGTGAGAGTATTTTCCCATTATTATTTATTCATATGTGTGTCTACACACGCACACACATATACAATACAGGTAAAAGAAATAATTGTCCTAAGGGCAAACACGAAGGGAATATACATTTCTTTGTACCCAAGTAAAAATGTACCCCCCCCCCCTCCCCGGGGGCAAAATTATTCGTGGATTTGGCGATTCGCGACCATTTTGAGAACCTAACCCCCGCGAATTTGGGGGGGCCCACTGTATTGTAGAGTATCATAACTTTCTGTTGTGAATAAGTGGAATATGCTTTGCATATATTGAATAGGGGTGCTAAAATATCAATTACAGTCAACCATCACTTTACGCGGTCCCACTTTACGCGTTTCCACGTTTACGCGGTACCCTGCCGAACATGGAATGCTCACTTTCTGCAGTGTGTGTACCCTTTTACGCGGTGGGCAGCGCGAGCAGGGTGCGTACAAGGTCGCCTAGTCATCAAAACATTACCGAGTTCTTCACCCGCCACCCACCACAGTCGGCACAAGTCAGTGATAGTGATAATGATAGTGAGGATATGGGCTTATATGGACTTTGAGGGGTTTGACAAAGAGGCCCTGCAAGACTCTGTGGTGGATAGTGATACAATTGATACAAGTGATACAGGCGAGGGCCAATAATCTGCCCTCTGCCTCGGAACCAACCCCCCATCCCCGTGTGCCCAGCCATCTTTTCTACTAATGTAAGTGTTAAAAAACCTAATATTACTGATATTTCTCTTAATTATTAATTGCGTGTGCATACCATCATAAAATTAAGAAGTTATTTTTACTACAACGTAGGTATTGTGTCTGAAAAAGTGGAGTTTGGGGGTCGGCCCGGTCTCTATTTCAATTAATCCCATATGTTATGTTGTTCACTTTACGCGGGCCGCCGTGGGTTCAATTGACCGCGTAAAGTGAGGGTTCATTGTATAGATAAGTGGGGTTGAGAATATCGGGGTTGAGTATAGCAAGGTATTCCAGTACTGTAACTTCAGAATATAAATGACCATTTTCTTATATTGCACTGTAATTAAAAGGTCAAAAGGTATCAAGAAATGTTTATTTAAACATATAGTTCATCTAAAATTAAAAAAAAAATTTGGTGAATGTTTCCCGCTTTATATCATCGTCCGTCGAGGCGGTGAATATGGAAAATATTTGTTTACATATTCATTAAAGACATGGTATAAATATGGTGACTATGAATATTATTTCAACTCATGTTTTTTATTCAATATTCATTTCAACTTAACATAATTATCGTATAGAATACCATTTTAATTTGATGTCCGATTCTACCTTCGAAAATTATTCCTTAATGTCCCTGAGCGACAATCTCGTTCGTCAAATTATTTTGTTTCAAAATTTTAAACTACATGACTAATCTTAAATATTCTCATGAAAAATTGCTTTAACATTTATTAATTACTATCTGCTACGATGTCACAAAATTGTGTTCCATCTCAAAAAATAAAAGTGATACCACTTTTTGATTGAAAGTTTATGGAAATCATGACATCATTCATTTGGGCAATTGTACAACATAAGAGAGAAATAGATAGGATTTAATAATCCTACAATGTATGTGAATGATAGAAGAACCTTGATACCAAGTGGTTTATTGTAATATTACAACAGTTACAACAAATGAATGACAAAAAATGAAGAGTGTGTTACTGTTCACGCTTGGCTTAAGGCACCTTGCAGCATACTGATAGATGCTATGCAAGAATGGAAAAAAAATTACACATTCCAAAGATGGCTATGCCCAATCAGCAAAAGAATTAAAGAAATGCATCAAATTAATCTTTATTAGTAAGATAAATATTCAACTCACTAAGACCCTGCCGATTTGTAGTGTCTTCCATAGTAGCAACTGACAAATTGGATAAAGTCTTCACCACTTGTCTGTACTGTTGACGAGAAACGCTAATTTTCAATGGTGTTACAATACCACCATCAATCTGAGGACAAGATATTTAATGTCATAAAGAGATAAAAACCTGTTAACATATAAAATTTTATATGCACATGACAAATGCATTAAAATGAAATAAATATGTTTGGACATACCCGGTAATAATCTGGACAAAGTTTAAAAGCCCATACAGCAGCAGAGAACTAGACCCAAGGAAGAAGTTACCTGTCATGGAATTATTCTACATGTTTAGGTGGATGTACAGGAGTGTTGAATATGAGAGTGACAGGTATATGTGAAGTCTTGTAGGAAAACAATTATAGCACACAAATACAAGGATCTAATGTAACATTTGCTAATAAAGTAAAATGCAGGTATAAGGAGGAATGAAAACAGTTTGGGAAAAAGTATACAGTAAACAGAATTTTTGGTGAACTAGAGGTTCAGGTGGCCCTCATATTGGCCCACTGAGCCCAACTGTGGGGGCTTGCCTATCCCCTTGCACCCCCCCACCCCCTCTGGAAAATTTCCAGCACCCCTGTAGCTACATTCCTCTACCAGGCCAAACTGTGTTTTTGTTATTTTTCAACTCGTATTTCCAAGCAGATACTGTATAAGTTATAATTTTCTTCTTTTTTTTATTTACATGCACACACAATCATTAGTTGATAATCTTTCTTCCCTTTCTCTTCGCCGCAATGTTGCTTCACTCTCTCCTTTTTACTGGCACTTTAACAGGCAATGTTCAGTGGATTTGGCATCCTGCGCACCGCTGGCAAGGCCATGGGCTCCTAACACTCGTCATGCCAGCGGTGTCCAACATTTCTCTCTGGATGTCGGTCACACAAGAATAGCCCGTTATAGTACATCCTTCTTTCCTCACACAGCCAAACTGTGGAATGCTCTGCCTCAAGAAGCTGGTTTTTCGGCATATTCGTGGTGTTGATTAACTTAAGTCTTTTTCTCCTCTAATTTATATTATTCATTTATTTACTTTTTTCTTACTTTTTTGCCCGCCAGGCCCTGTTGTGGGTCAATGATCTGTGCCCAGGTGGGCTAATCCCCGTAAAATAAATAAATAAATGATTACCATGGCAGTTACTGTCGGATTGTGGGAGAGGAGGGGGAAACGAGAGGGGGGTGTGGTGACGGGGACCTCAGCTTGTCCTTACCAATCCAAACTGTGAGCTGATATATATTGTTAATTTTTCAACTAATAGTTTCGGGTCGATATACGAAATTTATTTATTTATTTTTATTGACTTATTTATTTATCTATTTATTTTGCTGTAACATACACACACAACTGCTCATACAGAATGCACAAAAAATTAAAAATAAAAGAAATGATTATCATAAAGTCGCAAACATAAAAGAGAATAAGCATATCATACAGCCACTGAAGTTAGCCCACGGTCGTAGGAAGGAGGAGCACACTTCTGGTCTCCTGTGACCTTAGTGAAACGATTGCCAAAGGCTTTGCAGTATTTTTTATTTTCCTTTATTTATTAGCATTAGAGTATTTTTATTAATTACTCCCATTTACTGAGAATACATTACACTGCAGGGGGATAAAGATGTCACACTAATCCACGGATACTTGAAAATGAAGGCCGTGGTTGGTGAAATGATATAGAGTAAAAACTGTGGATACACGGAATCTATGGATGGGAAATCCATGGTTGGCGAGGGTCTACTGTATGTAAAAATACAAAGAATGGGGAGAGATGGAATAGTATAATTTTTAAATTAGTAATCTTCAAGGAATAGTCTGGGTTTTTTATATGATTACGTACAAGGTAATACAATATGTATTACTGGAGTGGATATGTGACCAAAGAAGACGGTCACTAACAGATGATAGAATTAACACGTGCAACAGCAAAGAGAAAGCATCTGTTTTCTTGTGGGAGGACAAAATCTTGGAATGTTTACTTATTTCTGATAACTTCACTCAGTCTGAGAGTCTTCCTTCAATAAACAGTCTAAATTCTCTCACATGATCATTCACATCACAGATACAATAGCTACCACGAATTAAATGCAGATATTCTAATGGAATCTACTGACAACTTCGTATTTAATCAAAGAAATACAAAATGACAATAGAAACTTTTTTCTTTTGAAAACACAAATGACAATAGAACCTTTTTTCTTTTGAAAACACAACACCAAAACTCACACTTTTAATCACTTAATCTACTTACACCCAAAACTTTGAAAGAATTACTGTACTGTACCTGTAATGAGTCACGAGACGTTGTTGGATGGAGATCTAAAAAGATATCATTGGGGAAGAACAGGCCAGATTCATGGTCTGCGAGAAGAAAACCTGCCTGCTCATGTCTCAGTCGTAACTCTATGGAGGTGCTGTGTAATATAGGGCGCCCATGGTCCCGGCAACTATACAGCTCTTCAGCACACATCACCGTTGTTGACAGTGGACTGTAGCAAATAAGAAATATTTCAACAACTCTTTTTGCATTTTTATTTCATAAAGCAGGAGTCCCTATAAAATGTTTGGTGTTAACAAGGTTTTTCAGGGAGTCTTAACAGGATACACTCAAGGCAGGTTTCTCTGCTCATGAAGAAAAAAAATTACATAATATTTATTAACAGAAGTTACTCTCATTAAATGGAACATTATCAATAATAAACCATATAATTCCTGGGATGAATAAACTTGTACTTGTTTCTACAATTTGTTACAATTAACAAAAATATCAAGATATACTGTAGAGGAGCGACACATTCTACTTCCCTCCTTAACTGCACGTTTAGTTTTGGATCAAAGAGTGACCCCGTGTCTTGCTGAAAGCATAACACACCTACCAGGGCCTATGGGTTAAGTAGTTAATCATTTTGAAGAATATATATATATATATATATATATATATATATATATATATATATATATATATATATATATATATATATATATATATATATATATATATATATATATATATATATATATATATATATATATATATATATATATATATATATATATATATATATATATATATATATATATATATATATATATATATATACACAGTGACCCCTCGTTTAACGAACACCTCGGTTAACGTAATTTCGATTAACGAACTGCCTTCCATAAGGATCTTCAATTCGGTTAATGAAAAAAAATTCGGTTAACGAAGTTCTTACGAACCGACCTCAACATGTTTTCGCTTGCACTGACCGGGCAACCAGCTTTAGTATTAGTCCGCCAATACATTAATCGGTTCTAGGGCTTAAATTCCTTACTATTTTAGTAAATATCAAGAAGTTTATACTATTCAATAATTTTAAAAGTTTAATATCCAATTTTTTAGTCATTTTAAAAATTATTGAACATAACTGAAGGTAAAGTGACTAGTTTAATGCGCGGCATCCAGCCTCTTAACACAGCAAACAGGAGTTAGTCTCTCTCTGTTTTCACTGGAGGTAACATCTTGCTTGAGACTCTCCTCAACTACACGCTTTTTTCTGTGTTTCCAAGCAAATTATTGGTCAGTTTGAAATATATTTTACATATTGACAATATATAATGCAGTGCAGTGTTGATTTAAAGAAAATAATCTTGAATTACACCAAGAGAACTAAAATTTTATGGGTGAAATGGCGCCATGGGGTGACTTCTCTTCCACCCCAATGCCTTCTCTTCTTCCTTCTCCTCCACCCCCATTCTAAATCCCATCATCATCATCATCATCCAGGAGCCTTCTACAAACACACCACAAAGTAAGTGAACTTTTCTACCATTTTTGTTGAATTTAGGAAATTTTCGGTGAGCTGGAACCAATTACCCAAAAACCCATTGAAACAATGGTTTCGGTTAACGAACTTTTCGGTTAACGAACGACCTTCTGGAACGGATTGAGTTCGTTAACGGAAGGGTCACTGTATATATAATCTTCAAAATGATTAACTACTTAACCCATAGGCCCTGGGTGACGTTCCAGAACGTCCACCTATTCCCACCAGTTTAAATGCCCAGCACGGGTTATCAGGTTCCAGTGTGACTGTTTGCCTCTCACACCACATGCTCGGCCGCAGGGAAGCTTCCTGAAGATAATTATCAACTTTTGTTCGTTTAATTTTCATTGTTTGTCTATTTTATCTTGTATCAAAGTAATATTGCTAAAAGTAGTGTAGTTGTATTGTAGTGTTGTAGCATTACTGTAAAACAATGCTATGATTATGTTATAAATGTATTTATTCGTGGAATTATTATTATTTTATGAATTACTTGCTCCACCAAAGGCAGACTGGCGACCGACTGGTGAGTGTTGCCAGGCACTTTATGAAAAATAATGCAAATAAAATATTCTAAATTAATTATTTATAGCAAATAAGTATTAAGATCAGTAAATATATATCATTGGCCACCTCAGACACAAAGGCAAGCTAAAAATAGCTGCTAAATGCCGAGGGACCACGAGGGTTAGCTGTCAAACCAACACTGTCTCCTTATCTTTCCCCCTCTTCCCTCCCTCTGCGCGGCCAGAGAAGTTTCTCGAAGGTCAATATACAGTTTTTGTTCCTTATTTTTTATTGTTTTATCACTTTAAAAGGTTAAAAATTATCTTTGTTAAATTAGATTTTTATTGATTTATCCCTGCACGGGAGGGTGTTACTGCCACCAGCTCCCTAACCCGGGACTTAAGGATTAAAGTCTTTAATTTCATGCACAGCGTTGATTTTTGTCATGTTTAACTCTTCCATTATCTGGAATTATCTAAAAAAAAAAACTTTTGGCCCGAGCTCTTCATTCCCATATTTCACCTGTTTCTGACGAGGAAAAAATCTAACTCAGTAATTCTACTAACAATTATTTTCAGTAAGCACTCATACCATCTTAACAGGCTTGTAGTGTATACCTGTAAATGTGTACACAGTATATAATCACCCAAAACCATTTACCCTAAATTTCCAGCTTTCTCCTATTTTCTTAATTCCACAATATTTTGTAGGTTACCAATTTTTTATGCTTTAATTTCTATATTCTTGTACAGTAGGAAAGCTATGGATTCATTTCCACTCATATCAGACAAAATTGGCACTTTTAACTGCACACATTAAAGTACCGGGTACATTCCAAACTTGTTCACACTTAAGAACATTCAAGGAACACCTCCACATCTTTCAATTACTGTATTTATTGCACCACATCAAGATTTTATTTATTGGACCCCCTTAATAGCTTACATCCATACAGTGTATAATCACTGCCTAATATTAAAAGAAATTAAGAAAAAATTAGTAGCCATAGACATTAGAAGTTATGTAGTTGGGGTCACATATACTGTAGCATACTACAGTATATGTAACATTCAAAAAGACATTATCTTGCATTGGAATGAGGAGGATATGGAAAATTATCCAGCAAGTGCAGCCAGGGACACATATGCAGAAAGTTCACAAAAGAAGCACTGTACAGACAAATAAAAGTTTAAAAATGACAAGCAGTAGAATGATGGCAGATACAAGACTCAACTTGATAATACAATATTTTTACTCACGCTATGATCAACAGCTGGTTGCTAAAAGAAAGAGCAAGGTCAAAACAACTACAGTTTTGTAGTGGTCTAAAACATTACACTTTCACAAAATGTACCTGACACTCACCAATTAATGCTATGTAAATGGATAATACCTCTATCTCCTACTTGCTCAATATTTTCTAAAGTTCTCTACAGTGTATCAAACTCATCACAATGTATCATGTATCAATATTGATTTTTTTTTACCATAAACAAACATATGCAAGTCCCTATAACAATGAGTAATAAACAACATAATTAAAGAAAGTCTTTTATATAATGCTACCAGCTTTCTTAGGTAGTAGTTATGCATTGATCCTGAGTCTCCAAGAACTATGTTATGAAGCAAATTAGGCAATTATAAATTGTAAAGAGTCTAAACAAATAAAAATCCATTAACTTCAATGAATCACACATGCTGCACTAGAAACAAAGAAATGAGATAATCCACTACCTACAGAATTAAATCTCTAAGCAAACTACAAAGGTTAAACTTACAGTACTGTACCAGTAATGTACACCCAATGATAAAAATAGTGATTGGATCTATCAATTTTGGCAAAGGACTCTATAATTAATATGAATTACAGTATACAGTACTGTACATGACCTGGCAACAACACATGTACAATAATATAAATATTTCTTATGCTTTTGAAAACCTATATTATTTTCCATTCAGTGCATATCATAGTTTATAATTATAAGAAATTCCAATGCTAAAAACTAAAATTCTAAATATACCAATTATTTTGGGTTATGATATTTAATCTTGGGTCATTTTGTGATATAGGGAGAGAGAACATTCACTAAATAAATTATTGCAATATACTGTATAAATACTGTACTTGTAACTAAATACAAAATAAGGGGGTTACAGATTGGAGGCCCAAAAAATTTACCAAACAAAGCTTAAAATATTTATTTACTTACTAAACACAATCAAGAAATATACATTGTTCTGTACGCCATCAAAAAATAAAGGGAACTATACAAAAATGAAAAAAAATAGAAAAAAAAACACAGTACAGTACATCAGCGCCACGATGCTCTGACCGACTCAGCAAGCCACAAAAATGGCAGTAATACTGGAGGACGATTATTTATGTTAACCAGAAACTGGGTTAACCCACCCAGGTACAGGTCACCGACCCACATTGGGGTGAAGGAGGGAGGGAGGGCATTAATATAAAAACAAATGAAGAAAAAATAAAATAGATAAAGAGTGAGAAATGATTGAGGCCCTGCAAATGTGTGTAAATGGAGCAGAATGTTCGTCAAATCAGCAACCTGGAACTCTAGTCACAATTTTTGTGATACCATATGACAGCAGGGTCTACAATTAGGTAACACATTGTGAGGATATATTTCTTTAAAAGATAAATGCATTTTTACCTCATGAAAAGCTCTAAAAAATGGGAAGAAATAAGTTTTCCCTTAGCATGGCCACCTCTAATGAGTGGTCATTAGGTAAATAAGGTACAGGCATCCCCCGGGTTACGGAAACTCTGGTTACGGAAATTCGCTCTTACAGATTTTGTAAATTATGACCAATAAATTCGGGATATGGACAAAAAATTCGCCCTTACGGAAATTGGGTAATTTTTGTTTTCAATACTATTAGAAAAAAATTCACAGAAATTATAAAATTTATTTCACGTGAATTTCTTGGTGGTTGGTACAATACTGAGCAGGGCGAGGCAGGAGTCATTAGTGCCCCTCCGTCTCCCTCCCAGTAACTCCGATTGCACCACCTTACCTCACCACCTCACCTAATGCAGCACTCAACATTGTTTGTGCTAAGTCAAATTCAAGTGTTTGTATATTTATTATCATATTATATCATAAAATAATCAATGTACATGTATGTGTTAAAAAAATATATTTTCATTCATAAATGTGCTTGTATTACGTCTTTTTGTCGAAAATATTTCCTTGGGAACACATCTCCAATTATATAATGGAAGTCAATGGGAATTTCACGTTACGGACAAATTTTCAAGGACACACACCTTCCGTAATCCGGGGGATGCTCTATGCCTGCACAGTAAGACCCCTATAAGTCATAAGCCCCCAAAAGTTAATTTATTTTTCAAAGATCAGAGCACATTATCAAAAGCTGAGATAGGTATAATATTGCTTAATCCTTTCACTGCAACTCCCACACTTTGTAATTTTATTCTGGCTACTACCAGACGAGTTTATTCAGCTTAGGGAACCTTCAGCTGCCAAAAGGTTAAATGATTATTCTGTTTACCTAAAATTTCAAAACAATTATATTATTTTTATAAGCACCAGCCCATATTTTTCAAGTAAATGGGTGTGTCTGTATAATTATGTACTACAAGATATCAAATAAGGTGCATATCACTCGGTTGTACAGTCAACAAAAAATTATTGCGCCCCCTCGGTCCATTGGAACCGGGAATGAGCAAATGTCACTCATGGAAAGTGTTGAGTTAGCATAAACATTTCATCCAGTATTCCAGAATGATAAGTACAGAAAGCGGAGCAATAATTTTTTGATGACTGTATAAGGCTTTGGTTTTATCTGATGCCATTAACAGAATAAAATTAACCACGAATGCAATACATGTGAAATCACAAGCAAAACTTACTGGAACCACTGGAATGTGCTGTCCCTGCTCTTGAGTCTCTCCTCAACATTCAGTGAGAAAAGGCTCATGTCTCGCACCATCACTTGATACTCAGCAACTCTGTGGGTAGTGATGATGATGTGAGGTGCACTTTTTTTCACTAGCTATTCATGACTGCTTACTCATTAACTATTACTACAATATCACCATCTTCTCAGAGAATCTTAAAGTATAATAAGTTTCTACTGCCTCAAGAGTATGCAACATTTACATAAACATTTCACTATCCAATCAATGCAAACTTTATCTGCTTATCTATATCTTTAAGTTCTTCCTGAAATTTAAGAGGAAGCCACATGTTAAATCTTCCCAAAGCATTTCTAGCCTCCCTCCCTTCCATGACAAATAAAAAACGTCCACTTCCTTACTACACCAAATTTTACAGTCAATGTTACACTGAAATTCTAACCATCTCCTCATGGTCATTAGATCCTTAATGCTCCCTCTCCTCATTACCCAATTGCCTGTCATCACCACACATACACATAATCCCCCCTCCTATTCATAAGCATGTTCCTGCATTTTAATCCCAGTACCTTGCAACAGTGAAATTCCCTCCCTGCAGACACCTTTCTCCCGATTAATATTTATGTCAATTTTCAAAGGAAGTTCATATTAATATTTTATTTATTCTAGGAATTAGCCACCTTCTCTCTTACTATCTGTACTGTATATACAAAGCAAGCTCTGTCTAGATGTGTATCATTAATAATATATGATCTGATCGTCTTTCCTTGCTACTTTTAAATAAAAAAAAAGAAATCAGAACACAAATCCATAATTATTAAATACACTCATGGTTTTTACCTTTGCAAATAATTTCCAATCATGATGCAGGCTTGCTAAAATCAAGGACAGACAGACTTTTCTATTATTTGCTGTCAATCATTCTCTAACTGTTATAACAGATGCATTCTGCTCTAGTTTTCTCTCTCTCTGCAACATGGCCCAAAGGCTAAAGATTTCTACATAAATCTTTCATCATTTAATACAAATACAAAGGTAGCATTACTCCCAGATACTGAACTTGAAACATTAGTATATGTATTAAATAATACTCACTTGCTTGGAGGAAATGATGAAAATGCTTCTAGTGGAGAGTGCTCAAGTGGGAAAGCATTGTTTATGGAAATTTGACCAAGATGAGCCACTAAGACATCAGGGCTGTTTGAAGACTCAGGCAATACAACCACTGGAGTCTCCAGAATAATGTCCAAACTAGAAAATCAATAATGGTTTCATTTTATGTAACATTATCTCACTCTCCTTGTTATTTTATGTCCTACTGTGCACAAGAGCATTATCAATATTACTGTATATCCCCACATACAAAAATATAAAAGGTTAATTACTATTGTTAACTCTTCAACCTTTCATGAATGTAAATCATCTTACTTGAATGAAAATGGAAGGTCAGTGGTCTCGTCATGTGCGGGACTAAAGCGTGACCCAGAAGCAGATGCTGGTGGAGGAGCTGGCAGGTTTAAAGTATCAGTAGATCGTGAAAAACTCATTCTTCGCCGATGACGAGGCGATGCTTCCCATTGATTTAGGGAAAGGCTGGCAAATGACTCAATCCTAAAAATATAATACAGTACATCTTATATTTAAATTAAGAAGATATGAATCTAATGAACACACTAACCTTTATCTACTTAGCTACTCCACAAACCACACATAAACATATACACTGTACCCAGATACAAATGTCCACATCCCCTCTATACATGTACCAAGAAATTACACTCAAACCTCGCTAATTCATCATCCTCGGGGCTCTACCTCATTTGAATTAACCGTAGAATAAGAATTAACAAAAATGCTGTATCGTACCACATAGAAACATTACCTTCATGCACTTAGGTAACATGAATTGCAACTGCAGGAAGACTGAGCTGACATTAATAGAAAACACATGGACTGTATGTACCAGAGAGGGGCTTGGCCCACTGGGTCAAGTGCTAAGTTCACCCCAGCTTACGTTGCAGCAAGCAGTGCTTAAAATTGTGAGAATATCATTGGTTTAAATAGCAGAAAAAAATGTCTTCTCCTCGTACAGTTATCCCTCATTTAATGATTGGAATGCATTACAGAAAAAAAAAACAATTGTTAAGCAAAATGATTGCTAAATGAGGTACCTGTATACTGTAATGAGAAACAATGTCCTTAAACGATGAATAATGAGGAATAATATGTAATCGCTACCCAGTAACACTCAGAGTGGGAGAAACTGAAGTGTGAACTATATTAATGTTTGACTCGCAATTTTGGGAAAATATACATAATTTTCTCCATATTCTTTTACTCTGTTAAATGCACACACAATTATTCATTCAAAATGTGCAAAAAAGATAAAAAATATTTATTATAAGGTCAAAAACATAAAGGTAATAAACAGTTCTTATGTACTCAGCAGATAGCCCGCAGAGCAACACAGTATTCTTTTCTTTTCTTTATTATTATTATATATTACAGTAGTACTGTACTGTACAGTACGCCCGGATAATTCGCGGATTTTTATTTTGCCGTCCTCTATTATTCTCGAATGACACCCTGCATGCACCCAAGAATGTCTAAGGGTAGTTTTAAAGTTGCTGGCATTTTTGTGGCTGGGACAGGGAGCCATTCGTTCTAGAGACAGTAATTTCTTTTATCTGTATTGTATATATGTGTGTGTGTGTGTGTGTAGACACACACACAAAACACATACAGATAAATAATAATGGGGAAATCCTCTCACAAATAACAAGAAAAAAATTTATTAAAAATGTTGAGTCTACCCTCAACTCCATTCCATACTTTGTTATGAATAGAGCACGGAGTAGACTTGAGGGTAGACTCAACATATTTAATAATTTTTTTTCTGATTATTTGTGAGAGGATTTCCCCATATACAATACAGGTAAAAGAAATAATTGTCCAAAGGGCAATCACATTTCTTTGTACACAAGTAAAAATGTAACCCCCCCCCTCCCCTCGGTCAGCAAATGTTATTTGCGGATTTGGCGATTCGCGGCATTTTGAAAACCTAACTCCGGCGAATTTGAAGGGCATGGTGAATCTTCATTTTTTGTATGCTTCATTATTATTATTCTCATTTATTCCTCACATTTCCTGGTACAGCATACACGCAACACAGTTCATCTGGGCAGTCACCCAGCTGACTCAAGATATGTGTGTGGCTGCTGCATGTATACTGTGACCTCACATACAAGGAAGGGAGAGTACAGCTGACCACAATTACATGCTCACTGCCTCAATACAAACATTCATTTGCCACATATACTGTACACACCCATGCTCTTCATTTTTCTTATTTTATAATTTTATAGTGTATACTAAAAAACTAAAAAATACTGTACTGTACTGTACTGAACATTTTGACATTATTCGACAACTTCTGAATTTTTTTGATTGATTATTTGTTCACTTTCTGTAAAGTTTTTGTGCCTTATTCTGATCGTTCTGTAGACTGTTCCTCATTATTTCAACCAACAAACATACTCAGTTACCATGCCTTGGTTGCCACATAAAATATTCTATTTATAATTGCTGTGCAAACAAATATTTTTTAAATGTTCAAACAGTACAATAATAATAAAGTAAGTACAGCATGCCCTTAAAATTGGCAGTCCTTTATTATTCGCGGATGACACCCTGGATGTACCCAAGAATGTCTAAGGGTAGTTTTAAAATTACTGGCATTTTTGTGGCCGGGACAGGGAGCCATTCGTTATCGAGAGAGTAATTTCTTTTACTAGTATTGTATATTTCTGTGTGTGTGTGTGTGTGTGTGTGTGTGTGTGTGTGTGTGTGTGTGTGTGTGTGTAGACACACACAGAGACATACACAAAACACATACAAATAAATTGTAATGGGAAAATCCTCTCATAAATAATCAGAAACAAGATAACATAAAATTTATTAAAAAATGGGCTACTCAGAAAATTTCAAATCCGGCTGTCGGAGAGCTCCAGGTTTGAGGGATTCCGGCTATCGGAGATATTACTAATATAGTAATGAATAAATGTGACATTTACATTGCAAGGTGAGCTGATAATATACAGATGATATTCCAAAAGTGTAATAGTCACACTGGTAAATGAAATCCGGCAGATGGGTGTGGACTGAATGCCCTCTCCCCGTTCCTGTGCCAAGCACGCCCCTCTAACCTTATTAATACAACATTACTCAATTTCACCATAATTACCATATTATTTAGGTTAAATTGGTACAGGGTTAATTAAACATTATCATAAAGTAATAAATTTTCACACAAAAAAATCCCAAACTCGACCCCTGATGAGTCATTATGTAGTACAGTATTAAATTCCTGGTTCTTTGTTGACATAGTGTGGTCACAGCCAGCCCGGCACCTGCCTGTCTGAGCCATGTTGGTATATTGGTGTAACCCACACAAAATTATGACAAGGAAATGAGCTGTTTATGTTGTATAAACCTACTTTTTGTATAATATCTGTATTCCTATATTTTCTGTGTATTATGTACAATGTGTATTGTTTATTAAAGCAGTTTTGAAGCAGTTCATGGGTATTTCTTAGCCTCTGGAACCAAACAAATTATTTTCATTTAAAACAAACTATAATTCGTGATTTGATAACTCACGATGTCTTCTGGTACCTAACCCACAAATCATCGAGGCTCCACTGTAAGAGCATTTTTGGTGATTTTTTCTCGTTACCTTTCTAAAATATTTGTTTGTGCAATGAAATTAAAGAAAACATGAAAGTGTAATCACTTACAAATAACATTATTATTATTCACATTACTATCGCTATATTACAAAAGTTGCAACCACAACAATCAACCCCCCCCCCCATCACCTTAATACTTGCCCCTCTCACCACAACAATACTCATCCTACAGAACACCACCACCATATTTACCCACAACAACACCTCAATACTTATCCCAACACACACACAAAAAATACATATATTACTGTATATTAGTGGTAACATGACTAGTGGGATATCTGAGCATTCCACCAAGGACAATATTCTTGAATTGTTTCCATTTATTTCAATCCCTCCCCTTTCACCCTATTTAAATGTGCCCAACTTATCAATATCTGTTTAATTATTTTATTCACTTTCTCTTTCTGCAGCTCATTCACTCTTATAACTATACCATATTTAAGCTTCATTCATTCAAAACTTTATCCTGTATTCATATTTGGTCTTGGTTTTATTAATTAATGGTCAGACATACCTTTTGCTGTTCTTTGTAGTACTGGGATCATTAACATCAATCAACTTACTTCTATAATAAAATTTATATATAAATTGCTATAATCATCTTTATATCACAAATAAATGTGCCAAAATTCATACCTCTTACTGACTAGGCCCATTGCCATTTCAGTAGCAGCATGTTTGATGGATAATGCAACAACAGCCATGTAATGCTTAAATTCTGTTGCACATGATTTCAGTTCCTGCAGGAAGAGTGGAGAGTGGGTGTAGCACACAGATGCCAGTCGGAGCTTTACAGTCAAATTCTCACTCTCTGCACTCTGGGCAGCCTCAAACACTACATCAAGAGTGAAAAAACGAAATAATATGCCAGTTAAAGCAAGAATGTCATACTCAGCAAATGTCTTCATTATACAGTACATATTCACAATCTGGTTATTTGGGATAACATGAGCAACTACTGTATCATCACCGACAATATTATATACACTGTACAATACAGTACTGATATTACTAAAATAACATTAAAATATTAAAAAATACTTACTCTGTGAACCAGGACTGGAGAAAGCAAGAGGTCGAATGATGGTAAAGCTGAATGCTCTAGTTGTGCTCTCTGATGTTGAGCATGATCGATACAGGTCACTATTCAGCCGAGAAAACAGATCCTGCAAGGTTTCTCAATTCAATGTTCTAGTTCATATTACGGAGATAAATAATTTAAACTGAAGAGAATAGCAACCTTTCCTAAACAGGGTAGACTTGAGGACTAAATATACAGTATAGTGTTTGGGAATAGTTCAAGATCTCCATACAATTCACATCTGCTAAAGGTTCCTCCTACTCAGCCATACAAAAGGCAGTGAAATGCATCAATTAACTAAGTGAGCAATACATCAAGCATTCACCCAATTCAATACCTTCACCTGGGATTTTAAAACTCCTATAAATGTCCTCGGGCCTCGGCCATCTCTTACTCACATTTCAGCCATTTGTGAAATTCCATTTTTGTTTCTATATTTATTTTTACAGTGATCCAACCTCAAGTATCTTTTCCTTACAGTATACTCCTTATCAGCTATATTTAAAACTATACACCGGGGGTTCTTTGTTAAAAGTGTCTTCATTATAAGTAGTTTTGCACTTAAGTGGTCAAATAATTGTGGACCTAAACGCAAAAAGTCCCCGAAGTTAAGAGGATTCTAAGGCTGAAATCCGTAAATCCTTGGGAGCACAAGCGTTTGAACGATTGAAATTCCCACCTGCCTCCCATTCTCTTATAGGTCATCCTTCTCACATGTGCTGTACATGCTCAGTACAATTATGTTTTTTTTTCCGACAGTGTAAAAAATACCAAGATTTTCACCTGTGAGCGTTCCACTATGGGATCTTGACCAACACTGATGATACACTGGTGTTTGTTACCTTCTGGAGTCACATCCCGAACCTGGAACCCTCCCAGGGAGCCTTCAACTGTTAGAATGTCACTTTCTGTTTTAGGAAAGAAAATATAATACATAATTTCAAGACTTTCATTATGAATCATCCAAAGACCAAATTTATCATTTCAATGATGTTTAGGTTGGTTCCAATTGTTCATTAAACAAATCTTCACTGATAATAGAAAATTTAAAAACATTGTTAGGTAATCACTACATATGTCTATATAAATTTCTTAACTCGGCATTGCTATAATTTGTCTTGTTTGTATAATGTTTTACAGAAAATAAGTAATGACCCCATTGATCCCTATCTCTTCATATCATCTTTGGATCTTCCACCTAAATATTTAGCAAAAACCCACTAATTTTAAGACTTGTTTACTTACAATACCTGTATATCTAAACTATAAAAGCTCATAAAATTCACCATACTACCATATGCAGGAAGGTGTGCTTTAAATACTACATGGGTTTGGGAATCTGTAACTGTTCACTTATAATATAAATTTCATAATTTGTGCTTAAGGCCACAAAAAAATCCTCTTCAGTTCCACAAACACTTCCATTATCTTTAGATTAACTGGATAAAAGGTTGGGGGGAAGACTGCCCAATAAAACGTTATTAGGAATTTTTCCCACGCACTTGTTTCATTACGAGGTTAATTAATATCATACAACAGAAATATCATCAAAGACATATTGTAAATATTAGAAAAAATTTGTGTTTATACACTAGAGTCTCTCAAGCAAAAATTCCACATAACAGTAGACACATTAAGTAAATCAAATGTGAAAAGAATGTCCAGCAAAAGGTAAATAAAAAATATCCTGAAACACCTGCACTATACTGTACTTATATTTTCTAATTACTCTTTATGATTTTTCAAGGATTACAAATGCAAGTAAATACTTATATATCACTCACCAACAGTGGCTTGTATCTTGGCATCTGAGAGAACTGCTGTGCCAACCTTTCTCCCTACCAAGTCTTTATCCTTGTAGACTCCCCTTAGCAGAAGTACAGTTAACTTGTGGAAGTCAAAGCTGACTTCAGCTCTAATTGGGTTTTTCTCTGGGGCTACATAACTCAAGCTTGCTCCGTGTGACATACTACCAATATCTTCCTTCTCTGAAGTAGCAGTGGTTATGGTCATGGAACCCGGTGTAGTTGTGGGTATATGAGGAAGCATACGAGGTACAGTTGAAGGAGGCTGATGAGGAAACAGCTGATGAATGAAACCTACCAGTTCCACTACTGTTTCCTGATTGGCTGTAAATAAAAATACAGATACAGTAATTCTACATACATCATACAAGAAATATAAAGACTGATATTTTTTTAAGTTAGTAAAATATCTGGAGCTTTGAAGAAAATTGGGAGAAAATTTAAACAAAGTAACAGGTTTTACTGGAATGATAGGTCTGTTATAAATGAACTGCCAACACAGTCCGTATAGCTGAAATGCATTTTGGTGTATTCTGATGTTGGATATAGAAAACACAAAAGCAAAACAAACGGCTATTGAGTGAGAGACAAAAAAAAAAGGAAGGAATATTGAGATACCATTTATACATGAAAGAATGGAAGACATTAGAACAATAAAGGTATGGGAGTATGTATACATATTAAGTAAACATGGAAAAGCAAATTGAGCCTCAGATATTTACTTAGTTAACTAGGCAGGAAGAAATGCATAACCCCTCAAAATATGGTTAACTGAACTTAAAAAGGGAAGCTACAATACTAAATTACAGGCTATTACAGAGTATTACAGACTTGCTCACAACAAATGTTAAACAGGATAACATAGTTGCATAAGTTATTGGAGGTTTCAAGGTCAAGGTTTAACTTTACAACATCCATTATTCAAAAATTTGGTTCAATAACAGTTTAAGTCCAATTTTATCAATTTCATATTTTTTCTTTCTACATACTTGTAGCCTTTATGTTTCCATGATGCATTTCAGTATTAATTTGTTTTCAGCAAATATCAGTTAATATCAACAAAATTCCACATGCAGGAGAACCTATGTTCACAAGACTTCAAATTTTTCGGACTCTCTGAAGTGATCTGGATCACCCCTCTATTCACCAGAAATATTTTAAAAGCCCCAGAAAATCTAGTATCAATCCGGATGGTTTGTGTTTACATGTGTGCGGTTAAACGTCTGTATGTGGCATGTGTCTCAGTCTGTGTCCCGCCTCCATACATCTCATATTGGTACACTGCACCTCACTACATACATTTATTTATGTGACTTTTTTATACAGAGCATGTAGGTACAGTATTACCCCGCTTAACGCGCTTTCACTTAACGCGTTTTCGCATATACGCGGTGCCTTGCCAAAGCTGAACTTTCACTTAACGCGGCATTTTTCATCATATACGCGGTGAGTGTCCGGCTCGAGAGCTATTTTTAGATTCGCACCACCCCCCACCCGCCACCCTGCCTGACTGCCTGTTTTAGCTCATAAAATTCATACAAATTACCCAGCCAGAATATAATTTACATTGCTGGAATTCTTATAATTTGGTGATCATTTTGAATATAAACAACATATATTTTGCATTAAACATACAATTTTTAGATAAAAATTGTTCTCTAGGTAATTATGTTATCTTTTGTCCAAAATATATGACATTTATATTCAAAATATTCCTGGTCTTACAAGGAATCCAGCAATGTCAATTATATTATCCTAACTTTAGTTTGAGGTATTATTTATTAAAATTTAGTGGTTATCCCACACATCTCCTTGGGACGGTTGGTGGGGGGTGGGGGGGAGGGAGGGACCGACCGACCATCTGTTACCCTGTGAAGAATTATTATTTTTTTTTATTAACTGAAGATATTTGTTTTAGCTCATAAAATTCATACAAATTACCCGGTCAGAATATAATTTACATTGCTGGAATTCTTATAATTTGGTGATCATTTTGAATATAAACAACATATATTTTGCATTAAACATACAATTTTTAGATAAAAATTGTTCTCTAGGTAATTATGTTATCTTTTGTCCAAAATATATGACATTTATATTCAAAATATTCCTGGTCTTACAAGGAATCCAGCAATGTCAATTATATTATCCTAACTTTAATCTGAGGTATTATTTAATACTAAATGTTAAAAACTCTTGAATGGAGGATTGGTGGGGGGTGGGGGGAGGGTTGGGACTGACCACGCGGTTGGAAGAGGGGGGGAAGGCAAGGTGGGGTACTTTGATTGACAGATAGTGTCGAAGAATATTTTTTTTTTTTTATTAACTGAAGATATTTGTTTTAGCTCATAAAATTCATACAAATTATCCGGCCAGAATATAATTTACATTGCTGGAATTCTTACAATTTGCTGATCATTTTGAATATAAACAACATATATTTTGCATTAAACATACAATTTTTAGATAAAAATTGTTCTCTAGGTAATTATGTTATCTTTTGTGAAAAATATATGACATTTATATTCAAAATATTCCTGGTCTTACAAGGAATCCAGCAATGTCAATTATATTATCCTAACTTTAGTTTGAGGAATTATTTATTACTATACCTGGTTTTCCCCAAAAATTTCTCAGAGGGAAGAGCCAGTGAGTGTAGTGTGAGAAGAGGGGGAGGGAGTTGAGTCCATTATTTGAATGGACATTAACTTGGCGACTGTATTTCTCTATTTCTCTTAAGTATTAATTGTGTGCATGTACCATCATAAAATTAAGATGTTATTTTTACTACAACATAGTTATTTGTCGTCAAAAAGTGGAGTTTGGGGGTCGGGCTGGGTTCTATTGGAATTAATCCCATATGTTCTGTTATTCACTTAACGCGGTTTTCACTTAACGCGGGACCCTCTGGGTTCAATTGACCGCGTTAAGTGGGGTACAACTGTATTGTCTTTAATGGGTATATTTGAGGGCTTTAAGAAATGGGTAAAATTATATATCCCGTACATATTTTAAGAAATAGGTAAAATTATGTTAAATACTTATTTTAAGAAATAGGTAAAATTTAAAAGAAATGCTTATGAAAAGAACAATGAATACTGTACAGTGATCTCACCAGGTAAGTTGTAGGCCTAATGAGAGCTTACAATAAGCATGAGAGCTAAGACACTGCACATGCAAACAGGCTGGGAGTGAGAGGGCAGGTTTATTTATTGATTCAATATTACTCTCTCGTATAATCAACTTCTTATGGTGTACGAGTCATCATAATTAATGTATCTTCAATAATAAAAAAAACCCAAAAACAATACAGTCGTGTCTCATTTAGCATGGGTATACCGTACTGGTATGCGTACGTGCATCAGAAATCTGTGCATGTGATGCCCTTTAACATGTGTTAAAATTGCTATATTGTACCGGACTCACCAGGCCATTAGTCTTGAAGGACTTTGTGTAACCAACTTAAACTCCCCCCAAATAACACAATGTCACAAACTGCATCTTTTTCTCTTCCTTTTATATGGGGATTAGCCCACCAGGGCACAAGTCAATGACCCACATCAGGGCCTGGGAGCAAAAATATAATAATAATAATAATAATAATAATAATAATAATAATAATAATAATAATAATAATAACAATAATAATAATAATAATAAATATTAAATTAAAATATAATACTGTATAATATAATGGTGATAATAATGATGATAATGATAATAATAATAATAATAATAATAATAATAATAATAATAATAATAATAATAATAATAATAATAATAATAATAATAATAATAATAATAATAATAATAATAATAATAATAAAAATAATAATAATAATAATAATAATAATAATAATAATAATAATAATAATAATAATAATAATAATAATAATAAAGGACCACAAATAAAAAAAGAAAAAGAAAGATCAGTAGTGGAAAATTATGTACTGTATGTATGTTGTGTTGTCAAAGTAAGAGAAACAATTGAAACCCTGCAACTGTGTGTAAATGAGGCAGAAAGTCAAATCAGCAACCTGGGACTTGGTCACAATTTTTGTGATGCCATAAGACAGCAGGGTCTACCATTAGACAACACATTATGCTTCCAATATCTTCCCAGGTGGTAGTACCTTCCTGTTTGACAGCTGCCAACTAACTTGCATCTACATTATTATATAAGTATTTTAAGAAAGCTCAGAAAGTTAATTATGCAATACTCCACCAAATAGTAGAGGTGTGGGACCCCTCACTACCTCCTACCTGCTGCTCCCAGATACACCCTCATCTCCCCATTTTCGGTTCATTCATAAGGCACATGAGCACATTGAAATGACATTTCCACAAATTCTGTGGTTACCAGTACAAGGGGTCTTCACTGTATGTCAAGGATGTGTTCCAGAGAAAAGTGACTTATAATGATACATGTTATAATGAGGTACAGTATATGCATTCCAATATGTAAAGAAATATCCATTAAAATCTCAGCAAATTAGCTTACAATGGAGTCATTATAACATACTGTACTGTATAGTATTTGATATTGAGATACATTCCTGACAACATTATTTGTTACCTTTGAGTTATACATGATGGTTTGATATGGATACTTGTTACACTTAGACACTTACAACATTATTTAGTCAGTGCTGATAAATACACTACAATATTATTTACCAAGTGTTGAAGACAGTTGTGGTACGGACCAACCATCTTGAGCAGTGACAGCAGAGATGCACGAGAAAAGAAGAGCATTGGCAACACTGTTTGGAGGGAAGCCGCCGATGACAGTCAGCTGGTTAGCTTTGTAATCAAGCACCAGTGTTAATACAATACAATAAATCATCTGGGGTTGGCTGTGGGATTTTTCAGGAAGTTTTATTATTTTAAAATAATATTCTAGTAACCCAACACCAAATAAGCATAAATTAAATGAGAATTGTGGCGAAATTGCACACTGTCATGTTAACCGGGTTGAGGGTGGAAAAGTCCACCAACCCTACCTCCCACACAATTTATTTCCCACTCAAAATTGTCTTATTTTAGTTTATTTTCTTTATTTTTAAATTGCATTTCATCATAGAAATGACATTTCCATAACTTTTATGTTTTTTTATATAACAATGGTGTGTGTGCAGCCTTTTCACAACTAACAAACATATGTGTGTTATGGTGATTTCTATACTCAATATTCTCCCACACAATATACCCTTACTCTTCTTTTTTCTTATCTTGTATCTTTATACAGTATTACCCCGCTTTACAAAGCTTTACACGGTTTTACAAAGCTTTACACGGTTTCACGGTTTCACTTTCCGCGATTTCTCATTTAGATTTCTCATTTACGTGGTACCTTGCCAGAACCGTGCATCTACTCATATACACGGTGAAGTGTAATTTTTTTTTTTTTTTTATTTCGCTCACAAAATTCATACAAATTACCCTGCCAGAATATAATTTACATTGCTAGAATTCTTACAATATGATGATCATTTTGAATATAAACATGATGGATTTTGCATTAGACATACAAATTTTAGATCTAATGTATTAATTTGGTTTACATAAAGCAAATATTTTATCGTTTGTGCAAAATATATTAAGTTTACATTCAAAATATTCCCTGACCTGCAAGGAATCTAGAAATGTCAATTATATTATCCTAACTTTAGTCTGGGTTATTATTTATTACTAAAACTTTAAATATACTATTTTCTCCCAATCGCTTCTCTAGTAGGGAGGGAAGGTGGGGGTGGGGGGGTTGGAAGGGAGGGAGGGCAGAGGTGGGGTATTTTGATTGACAGATAGTGTCCTTGAAGAATATTTCTTTGTTTATTTACTAAAGATATTTGTTTTAGCTCATAAAATTCATACAAATTACCCGACCAGAATATAATTTACATTGCTGGAATTCTTACAATATGATGATCATTTTGAATATAAACATCATGGATTTTGGATTAGACATACAAATTTTAGATCTAATGTAATAATTTGGTTTACACAAAGCAAATATTTTATCTTTTGTGCAAAATATATGAAGTTTACATTCAAAATATTCCCTGACCTGCAAGGAATCCAGAAATGTCAATTATATTATCCTAACTTTAGTCTGAGGTATTATTTATTACTAAAAGTTAAAATCTATTTTTTTCACCCAAACATTTCTCTGGTAGGGAGGGAAGGTGGGGGGTGGGGGGGAGGGTTGGGACCGACCGACCCAGCTGGCGTGAGTGTGAGGAGGGGGGGAGGCAAGGTGGGGTACTTTGATTGACAGATAGTGTCGTGAAGAATATTTTTTTTTTATTACCTGAAGATATTTGTTTTAGCTCATAAAATTCATACAAATTACTCGGCCAGAATATAATCTACATTGCTGGAATTCTTACAATATGATGATCATTTTGAATATAAACATCATGGATTTTGCATTAGACATACAAATTTTAGATCTAATGTAATAATTTGGTTTACACAAAACAAATATTTTATCTTTTGTGCAAAATATATGAAGTTTAATTCAAAATATTCCCTGACCTGCAAGGAATCCAGAAATGTCAATTATATTATCCTAACTTTAGTCTGAGGTATTATTTATTACTAAACGTTAAAATCTAGTGGTTTCACCCAAACATTTCTCAGAGAGGTAGGGGCCAGTGAGCTGGGAAGAGGGGGGGGGGGATTTGAGTCCATTATTTGAATGGACATTAACCTGGCGACTGTATTTCTCTTAAATATTAATTGTGTGAGCATACCATCATAAAATTTAGATGTTATTTTTACTACATCATAGGTATTGTGTCGGAAAAAGTGAAGTGGAGTTTGGGGGTCGGGCCAGTCTCTATTGGAATTAATCCCATATGTTCTGTTGTTCACTTTATGCGGTTTTCACTTTCTGCGGTACCCTGTGGGTTCAATTGGCCGCGTAAATCGGGGTACTACTGTACAGGTATTACTGCAGAGCATACATTATTTTCTTTATTCATAAAACACATTAGCACTGTGATGATGTTTCCCCAAATTCTGTGGTTACATAACACATAACAATGACATTAGTGCTCATTCATGTGAGAGATGGCTTAGGTATTTTGGCATGGTAGAAACTGAACACTTATAGGGCACTTTTAATACTTATTATGATTATTTTTAACAATATCACCAGTTATGCATCATATTCGGGTACACATACTTAGTATAAAACAGTGGATGATGCGGATGACATATATGTGAAACACTCGACATATAATGAACATTTCTTCCAATATTTATTAGTGAAGTACAGTAAGTCCCCCCTTAACGTTGGGGTTACATTCCAGAAATAGCGACGTTATACGAAATACAGGTATACGAAACAACGTTAAGCGAATCAATTTTCCCCATAAGAAATAGATAAAATATGAGTTACGCTCCTGAGCCTCCCTTTGCCCCATGAAATACTTAACATATACATCAATTCAAAACTCCTTGTGTGATGCCCGGTGAGGCTTACGTATGCATTACTATAATGTCACATTAATTGAGATTTTATAAGAGAAAAACTCAAAACTCCTCTACATGACAGATAAATAAATACCTCTAGGTAACCTTGGTTGGCCGTCGGGCTGGCACCAGCTGTCATAATACAGGGTGTCCATAAATGATTACCCTAAAAACAGCATGCTTTCATGCTTTTATCAGGGTAATCATTTATGGACACCCTGTACATCACCTCACCCGCACTTCCGGCAAGATTGAAGGTGGTTTAGGCTTAAATTTTTTATCTTATACAATGGCACAGACTAAATTTAGCAGAATATAAATAGCATTGCTGGAATCCTGTAAGACAGCAAATAATATGAATATAGACATCATATATTTTGCACAAGAGGTAAAAATTTTAGTCCCTTAAGTACTGTACATGTTTTTCAACTTATTTTTCGGAAGATATAGTAACTTTCTTCATTTATTTTTACTCATTTACATGCACACACCATCCTAAATACATATTGTGAAAAGGGTAAAAAGTAGTCCTTGAATACTCAAACGATAACCAAATTTTTTTTTCTGATTTTCTTGATACAAATCAGATAAACAGGATTATATCCAGAACCCCCCCCCTCCTTGGAAAAGAGGTAGTGCAGAGGTTATTACAGATGTTTTTGGTTAAGGACCAGAAGGATGTACTAGAAGAAGATTTAGTCAGGTCAGTGGTCTTTCTTTTTATTAAATTCCGCTTGGCCCTACGAAGACTAGCTTACAACGATTCCTAGAAGTAATGAACAGATTTTAATATAGTTTACAACAGAAAATATGATTCAACATCATAAGAAAAAACTGCTATGCTGCTATGTCAATCAGGTTGATATATTTTTTTTTTACTTAAAGAACCTTTAAAAAAAATATCTTAATATTTTCTATTTCTACACACAAATGAAAGGTTGAGATATTACTTGGTGTTCACACTAAATAAAATGTACATAAACATATATACCCACCAATGATGTCAATTGTGTTGAACTGCACTGAAGCCAAGAGTAGTGCTCCAGCACCCTGCTGTGAGGGGCAGAGTGCTGACACATATGTCACCTCCAGTGTAATCAGAGCTTCCATGTCCCTATTTTCTGTAAATGGCAATGATCCTCCTCCACCACTTCCCAGTCCACCAAACATCGGTGAACTAATTAATGGTGGTGATGAGATACCACGTGGTGACTGTGCTGAAAGATGTAAAAGTGGGAGTCAAATCTAAAGAAAGTATTTTAGCTGGGGAATTTTACCATCCAACTTGCAACAAAAAATGATCGAATCCACAGAAATATTAAAGAAGAGATAAGAAGAGAGGCCTGTAGATGTTACAGAGGACATTCACAAGATTTAATTTTTACATATTTACAATTCTTTCCTGCTATGATGCAAAAGTAGCTAGAATCAAGAGTATACACAGATTTGATCTTCATCCACTGTTAACTTATCAAACAACTGTAACCGAGCATTAATAACAAGGGTAGTCACCTCTAGATGCTGCATAAGATGAAATAGCATGACTGATGGTAACAGGTGAAGTTGGCTTGAAAGGAGCATTGTGATCTGGAGAAGCAGGTGATGTAGGGGAACATGGCTCACTGTCCAGAATGCTTCCACTCACACTATCCATGCTGAAAGAAGTAAAAATAGTTGAAGTACATTACACAAACTACTTTACTGAGATGGCACGGATGTGATTTACATGTGATGAACGATGTAGTGGTGAAGGGGTGAAGGTGATTTAAAATGATGCAAAAGTTGCAAAAATGAGAAGTATAGCATACTGTACTAAGAAATGAATTGAATCAGTAGTCAAATTAATAGGGTTATGGGAAAACCCCATAGTCTACCAAGCAGAACCGAGAAAAATTAATTAAAAAATTAAGTGTAAATTGACAGGGGACCTAATTTTTTTTTTCCTCTTCTGGAGCCCTATCTGGTATGGTATATACTGGCCAGAATCAAAGGAAAAACAAGCCCTCCCTCTTTCACTGACAATTTGTTCTTTTTAGGTACCTTACCAGAGGGTTCTGCTATTGTGTTCCCCTTTCACAAGAAGAAACCCAAAACATCCATCCGGCTTACCCACATCACTTCACAGACCCCCACTGAGGGCACCAAAAACCAGCAGCCTTAACTAAAGTTGTTTCACTGAACATGAGATGATATCAAACTGACTCACAGTATTTTAATTTTTGTGGGGAATTGTGCACTTCTTTTAACCAATTTAATTACAAAAATAAATGAGGTACAGAAATATATACAAGTACTGGAGATAGCTAACTTAAATTTTTCCTTCAGAAAATTTACATATAGCAAGTCTTCAGGATAATGAATACTGTATATAATTGATCCCAGTTACAATGAACGCCCTAAACCTATTGGACAAACCCTTAGGATAACAGGTATCCATTATCCAGAGGAGATATCCAATAGTTCGTCACTGCATGAATACTAACTGGAAGAACTGTAATATGTAATAATGTAAAGAATATATTACTGGAAAAATAAAATACAGTGCAATTCCTTTTATCTGAACTCATCGAGACCAATGATGGTTCGAATACATAGACGTGCCTACAAGAACATGCAATAATTAATGTTATGTCAAAATTTGGTTTAACGATAGCTTGACTCACTGGGGGAAAAAAATGGGGAAGAGGTGACCTGTGAGCTGGCATGTTGCCATTGTTACATGAAATGAAACTAAAATATTTGGAAAAATCATCACAATACAGTATACAATTGAAATTTTACTCTACCTTTTATATTCTGTAGTTCAAATGGTCAGTGCAAGAATACTGATGCTGTATGAGTATGTACACTTGTATTTATAATGCACAATTGTACCTTTTCACAGCACAATACATATGTACACACTTATTGAACCACTGTATTGTACACCCACTGTTACATTTACATACTATATACACTTAAATTGTCTTACATAAACTACAGGGTGTCCTACATGAGTCTCTACTGTTCCTTAATCAGTATCAATGTTCCCACAATGATGATGCTAGTGTCATTCCCTTAGATATGCTAGATCGTATGTGTTACACCCCATTTACCCATGGTGTCGACACAATACTCCCTCATATCGATCCTGATGTCTTTCTACAAAACTCACTGGGTTACACCAACCCAAACTGTAACTATTACTTTCCAGACTCCCCCGAGTTTAGTTCTAGTCTCCTACTACTTCATTCCTTCTCCTTGATTAGCCATAACATCAGCAGTATTCCACTTCATCTAGATACCTTTTTAGATCAGTGTTTATCTTCTATTGCCCACAAATTTGATATACTTGGATTCTGTGAGACCAAACTCACTAACGATATTGACCATTTGTATAACATTCCTAATTATAATAGACACTGTGTCAACATGTCACGACACCGTGGTGGTATCGCCCTATATGTTGATATCAAGTATATCACTTCTGTAAGAGATGATTTAAAGGTTCAGGAGGAGTACATGGAGAGTGTTTTCATTGAATTACGTAACGACACATGAAATATCCCAGTAGGAGTAATCTACAGAAGACCCCACACTAATGTCAGGAATTTTCTTGATAAATTTTTGGAGCTTATCACTATCATAGCTCATCACTATCATAAGTTCAGAGAGGAAACATTGCTACATTACAGGAGATTTCAACCTTGATCTATTAAAATCAGAAACTTGGCACCTCAGTATTAGACCTTCTTGCTACCTGTCATTCTAAACTCTTCTTCAACACTATAACCAAACCCACTAGAGTAACTGCCACCTCTGCCACAGTGATAGATCATATCTGGACTAACAACACTCCTAACAATCTTGCAAGTGGAATTATTTATAACAATATCTCAGATCACTTCCCAGTTATTGCCATGTATAAAACAGCCGCAAGACCTGAAAGGTCTAGTAGAGTCTCAATACAATACAGAGACTACTGCGCCGACAACATGCTCCTTTTTGAAAACAACCTAATGAATGCTAACTGGGATCTTGTCTATGCCTCCAACAACCCTAACGTGAACAGCTGTAACTTCGCTTGCATCTTCAATGCTTGCTTTGATAAATGCTTCCCGCTCAAGACTAAGTCAGTGAAAACGGTATCCATTTCCAAACCCTATATCACAAGCAAAATTAAGATAACGATAAAGGAAAACACAAACTCCAAAAAAAATTTGCAAAAAGACCCATAACTTTCGGTGATGCTTACCGAAGTATCAGAAATGGAGTAACTCAAGCAGTTAGAAATGCCAGACGTAACTATTATACATATAAGCTCCAGTCAGCAGCAGGCGACAGTAAGAAAACCTGGAATGTCATAAATTCTATTCAGAACAGGAACACTCAGTCTTCGGCTCCCCACTCAACTTTTATGATAAATGATTCAGTTGTAACGGAACCCTCCCCCATTGCCAACCACTTCAATGAATATTTTATTAATGTTGGCAAAAATCTTGCAGAGAGCATCCCAGATCACCGTGGGGAAGTTAGAGCCTACCTGCAAAACAGACAGCAAAATGAGCTGCACTTATCCCATCACAGCAGATGAAATACTGGCCATCATAAAAATGTCCAAAGATGCAGCAGCAGGTGAAGACAATATACCAATGAGCATCATTAAGAAAGTAGCCCACTTATTACTACCTGTTCTCCTACACATTTGTAACTCCTTCACTAGTGGTGTCTTTCCTGATAAACTGAAAATTGCTAAAGTTCACCCAGCATATAAAAAAATCTGAGGACAAAGGTCTCTTCAAGAATTACCACCCCATATCAGTCCTCCCAGCCTGGAGTAAGATACTGGAAAAGCTAGCATGAAATAGACTAAATGCATTCTGCAATGCCAATAACATCTTTACAGACTCCCAGTTTGGATTTAGAGCTAGAAAGTCAACTGAGAGTGCTCTGCTATCCTTTACTAATGACATCTTAAATTCCTTTGATGACAGTCAGTTCAGTCGGTATATTCTTGGACCTCTCTAAAGCCTTCGATACTGTCGACCACACCATCCTCCTTTCAAAGCTTGAACATTACGGCGTTAGGGGCCTGTCCCACAATTGGTTTACCTCATATCTGTCCAACAGGATGCAGTATGTCTGCTATAATAATCACCAATCTGACTCCTCTCCAATCTTGTATGGAGTCCCCCAAGGTTCCATTCTTGGTCCAGTACTGTTTTTGTTGTACATAAACGACATAGTCCACGCCAGCTCACTCATAAAATACAACTTATTTGCAGACGATAGTAATCTCTATGCCAGCAACTCAGACCTCCATTCTTTGATGAGAACTATGAACACTGAATTAACTAAAGTCAGGAGCTGGGTAATACGTAATAAACTGACCCTAAACCTTGAGAAAACCCACTACACGATCTTTCACAGAAGGAAAAACTTACCCCCAGACTTGGACCCCCTGTACCTTGGTAATACAGTCCTCAAATGCGTACGAAATACTAAATTCCTCAGAGTTATTGTTGATGAGAAACTTAACTGGAGAAACCACATACAAGCCATTCACAGTAAAGTCAATAAACAGTGCGGTATCATGTACCACACTCGACAGTCACTCACTCTCACAGTAATGAAAGAAATCTATCATGATCTTGTCTACCAACACCTGATACACTGTCACACACAATGGGGGGCCCCTGGCTCTTCAAAAACACAATCTCTGGTTACTGCACAAAAGAGAGTTGTACAGACAATGACCTAGTTGAAAAAACAGATCACACAAACGAGAAATTTGCTACATTGAAAATTTTAAAATTCGAAGATATTAACACCTACTGCTGTGCCCTCTTTACTTACAAATATATCAATCACTTGCTTGACAATAATTATTTCCAGTTCCGGAATAATCAGAGATACAACTTAAGGCACCCAGAGCTACTAAGACCACCCCCATGCGCTCCTCTCAGTCCTAGACCTCCATAAAATATCACGGTGTGAAGGTGTGGAACAACTTACCCCCACCCATCCGAGCAAAGACTACGCTCCCTTCCTTTAAATTATCTCTTAAAAAATATCCATTGTCTAAGTATTAATATTTCTTGTAACACCTACTATAATTACAGTACCTGCTTTTATTGTACCATCAAAACCGTTTTATCGGAAAATATCATGTAAATAGATAAGTAATTACCATTGCAATAAACATATTTGCCAACTAGTCATAATCCTGACAGCTCTGTCCTCTTGTTCAACCTTAATACTGTACAACCCATGTTGTACTGCTCCCCCATTCTACTAATGTTTTTCATTTCAACTGTAATTTATGTATATATATATATATATATATATATATATATATATATATATATATATATATATATATATATATATATATATATATATAAATAATAATAAATAAATAAATATTGAAGTGATAACCGTGGTAACATTATGAGATGTTCTTATTACCACCATGCTATTGTACTATTCCAGATGATACTAAATGTTACATAATACTTCCTTGAGATAAATGTATAGTATATATCAGGTGCCTAAAAAGAGAGCTCAGGTTCTCAACTGGCTCAGCCATGTTAATATTGTTATTATTATCCACTCTGTATCTGTGTTTTTCTGGCTAAATAAATGTTTCAATTCAATTCGATTCAATTAAACTTTCTCCACTATCCAGGGACTTGACATTAGCTTGTAGCTTCTCTTTAGCCTAAAAGATGTCATATAGTGAGGCTCTTTTCAGACTGTACTTCTGCATGAACTGGGAAACAGGAGCAACACTCTCATGTTCCTTTATAATTTCCAACTTCTTATTTACAGACAGTATCTGACAAGTTTTTTCAGGTGTTGGAATATTGCCGCTTTCTCTTGTAGACATAGTGGAGTAGGTAATTAGCAGGTAAGTGATAGCACAGCAGTGGTGATGTTTACAGTGCATGCGGCATGTTCAAACTGAGAAGCCGGTATGACCTCTCAGATTTTACTTCTAGTTAATGGATTGTTTACATCTCATTGGGGGATTGTCAGAAACTCAGTTTTTTGGCTATAACATACATGGTTTCCCCCAATAAGTCCATTATACTGAGGGTTTACTGTAAGTGTAGAAAATAGATAATTACAGAAAAGATATAATTACAAGATAAACATGTACTTGCAGTATAAAAACTTACCTTACATGTTTATGACTTGCAACTAGAAGCTCAAAGTCAGGTCCAAATGTTTGTAAAGCATCTACAAGAAGTAAGGAATGGACACTAAGAGTGGCTGTACTGTCAAAGGGACGCTTGTTTAAGTTTGCTCGTACACCTGTGACCTGCAGTTCAGCTATGCTTCTTCCACGTGACTGCAACTAATTACAGATGAAAATAGTGGAATTAGGTTAAGGTACAAAAATATAAAAAAAAAATCCTAAAAAAGGGTAATTACCTTTGTGAAGTTAATCCTGTATATACAATATTTCAAACCCAATACCTCAGTACCTCTTTTCTGTAGATTCCATCTGTTTATTGACTTTACAAATCTGCCACTATTATGTTGAAGGCATCAACAGATACAGAAACCTCAAAGATTCAATCTTCCTAAAAAATTATTTGAGAAACAAATTTTTAGTTTACTATTAAATAATATAGATACAGTACAGTGGTCTCTTGGTTAATGAACACAATTCACTCCAGAGGGTCATTCGTTAACCGAAAATTTCGTTAACTGAATCCATTGTTTCAATGGGATATTGGGTAATTGGTTCCAGCTCACCGAAAAGTACATACAAAGAAAAAATAAATAAATAAAAATGCAGTAAAGTACACTAACTTTGAGGTGTGTACGTATGTAGAAGGTTCCTGGTTGATGATGATGATGGAAATTAGAAGTGGGGGTGGATGAGAAGGGAGAAGAGAAGGAAGTGGGGATGGAGGAGAAATTACCTTTCAGGGGACCCATGCTTGATGAAGTCATTTCACCAATAAAATTTTAAGTTCACTAGGTGTAATTCAAGATTATATTATTTAAATCAACACTGCACTGCACTACATATTATCAATATGTTAACTAAATTTCAGAATGACCAATAATTTCAATGTAAAAATGCAAAAATATTCAAGACACCAACAAAATAGATGTTCACTCCACTGTCAACAAAGCCCAACTGACGCCTGGTGGCTAAGTCAAGCGTCTGATGGGTGCACAAAAAACTAGTTCCCTGTACTGCACACGAGGTCTGTAGTGAAAGTGTTCAGCCATTTACTATGAAAAAAAATATTGCTTACCTAGGACAATGGTGCCTTAGTCTCCTTCAAAGTACTCCCCTTGGGACCTCACACACTTCTCCCAGCGTCCCTTCCACTTTTCAAAACAGTCTGCAAAGTCCTCTTTCAAGATCTTCATCAGCTGCCTCGTCGCATTCTCCTTAATCTCGTCCAAGGTCTGAAATCTCCTCCCTTTCAACGGCGATTTTAGCTTTGAGAAAAGCCAGAAGTTGTAGGGAGCCAAATCTGGGCTGTAGGGGGGCTAAGAGACCTGGGTGATGCGATGTTTTGCCAAAAAACCCTGCACGAGACATGAAGAATGGGCAGGCACGTTGTCATGATGAAGCTGCCAGTCACCACTTGCCCACAGCTGTGGTCGTTTTCTTCTTACCGCATCCCTCAGCCGGCGAAGAACTTTGATGGAGTACTCCTTCATTATTGTTTGGTCATTGTAAATGCGACGGTCACACAGTACCCACGCTCACTCAACAGCGTCTGCTGGGCAACTGAGTTGTCCCACGGGAGTGTGGCTGTTCACGCATACGCAGTACAGTCCTCTCTGTGTGGCTGCCAAGTTACATCAAGGCCACGCGACCAGTTCTCACAATATTCACAATGGCTGGATACTTTCCGGACAGACCTTATATCTTATCAATACAGTGGTCCCTTGGTTAACGAACGCCTCGGTTAACAAAATTTTGGTTAACGAATTACCTTCCATAAGAATATTCAATTCGGTTAATGAACAAAAATTCGGTTAACGAAATTCTTAAGAAAACATGTCAACATGTTTTCGCTTGCTCACCAGCTAGAAGATTAGTTCGCTAATACAGTAATCGGTTCTAGGGCTTAAATTCGTTCCCAATTGAGTAAATATCAAGAAGGTTGTGCTATTAAATATTTTTCTAAGTTTTATATTAAAATTATTAGTCATTTTAACAATTATATAACATAATTGCAGTACAGGGAACTAGTTTTTGGTGCGCCCATCAGCCACTTCACTCACCCACCAAGGCATCTGTTTGTGTGTCTGTTCAGTGGAGGTAACATCTTGCTTGTAGCTCTCTTGAACATAAACTATTTTTACGTTTTCACTTTACAATTATTGGTCATTCTGAGATTTCTTTAACATATTGATAATATATAGCACAGTGCAGTGTTGATTTAAATAAAATAATCTTTAATTACAGCAATTAAACTTAAAATTTTAGTGGTGAAATTGTTATTGAATCCAGCATGGGTCCAAAGAAATCTAGAAAGGCAATTTCAATCCAGGTGAAACAGGAAATCATAAAGAAACATGAAGAAGGCATTAGAACAAATGTGCTTAGTAAAGAATATGGCATGCTGGCATCAATTGTGTCGACAATTCTTTCGCAGAAAAACAAGTTTAAAGGAGTGAAAGTAAGACGAATCTACCAGAGTGTTCAAAGGTAGATCCTTAATTTAAGAAACAGAGAGGTTACTTCTCATTTGGATTAAGAAAAAACAAATGAAAGGAGATTCAATTTCGACTGAATTTATTTGTGAAAGAACCAGGGAAATTTACGAACATTTGAAGGAAGAGCAACCTAATTCTTCTGGCACAGAGTTTGAAGAGTTTAGGGCCAGCAAGGGCTGGTTCGAAAAATTTAAGAAAAGAAGTGACATTTTTAGTGTTGTTAGGCATGATGAAGCTGCCAGTGCAGATAAAGAAGGAGCAGCAAAATTTGTAGTGGAGTTTAAGGAACTGGTGGATGAAAAAAATTATCTTCCACAGCAAGTGTTCAATGTGGACGAAACTGGGCTGTTCTAGAAGAAAATGCCCAAAAGGACATTCATCACCAGAGATGAAGCCTCTTTACCTGGGCATAAACCCATCAAGGACCGTCTCACTCTATTGCTTGGTGCCAATGTTTCAGGGGATTTCCGACTGAAGCCTATGCTTGTCTACCACTCTGAAAATCCCAGGGTGTTCAAGCAACAAAAGGTGGTAAGAGGAATACTTGGAGTTTATTGGAAGTCCAACCGTAAGGCATGGGCAACAAGACAGCTCTTTAATGAATGGGCTGTTGAGGTGTTTTGCCCTTCTGTGAAGAGTTACCTAACCATCAATAAACTCCCTTTAAAGGCTCTTCTCCTTATGGATAATGCCCCTGGTCATGACCCTGAACTTGCCAGCACTTTGGAGGTTCGATTTGACTTTGTCAAAGCGTTGTTTTTGCCCCCCAACACTACATCAATTATACAGCCAATGGACCAGAATGTAATCAGCAACTTCAAGAAGCTGTACATGAAGAAAATGTTCAGGAGGTGTTATCAGGCAACTTCCACTGATCCTGAACTAACACTGGCACAGTTCTGGAAGACACAATTCAACATCCTGGAGGCTGTAAAATTGATTGTGTCATCATGGCAAGAAGTCTCCATTAGATCCCTCAATTCTGCATGGAATGCACTGTGGCCATCAGCAGTCCATGATTTTGTGGGATTTCAGGAAGAAGCGGAGTTGGACAAGGAGATTGTGTCCATTGGTCAGTCAATGGGACTCGAAGTGGAGAAGGATGATGTGAAAGAGCTTGTGATGTCTCATGAGCAAGAACTTACTCCTGAAGACTTGAAGCAACTGGATGAGATGTTAGAAGCTGACAGTGGTGAGGAGGAGAGGGAAAGTGATGACCATATGTCTTCTTCCAATTTAAAAGATGTTGTTCACTACTGGGAGAAGTTCAGGAAACTGGTATCAAGGCACCCTGATGTGGAAACAACAGAACTTATTTTGTGTAATGTTGAGGACACAGTGGTCTCCTTCAAAAATCAGTTAAAGATGAGGAGGAGAAATGCCCCACAAAGAAAAATTGACAGTTTCTTCTCTAAAAGGCAGCGGGAGAAAGATCCTACCCCTCAGCCTTCCACTTCAAAAAGGAGAGAGGATTTTCCTGCTGGAGAATCTGTCAGTCCAGAGGTTCCTGACATTTTTATGGAAGGTGACTCGCCTTCCAAGAAGTAGTAAAATGCCTCTCCTCCACCCCCACTTCCTTCTCTTCTCCCTCCTCCTCCTTCACCTCCCACTTCAAATTCACATCAGCATCATCAACCAGGAGCCTTCTACATACACACCTCAAAGTAAGTGTACTTTACTGCATTTCTTTTTTTACTTTGTATGTAATTGTCGGTGAGCTGGAACCAATTACCCAAAATCCCACTGAAACAATGGTTTCGGTTCACAAAATTTTCGGTTAATGAATGACCTTCTGGAACGAATTGAGTTCGTTAACCGAGGGACCACTGTATGTTAAATAAATGTTAAAATGACTACTAATTTCAATATAAAAAATGCAAAAATATTAAACAGCACAACTTTCTTGATATTTACTCCACTGGAAACGAAGGTAAACATAGAATAGATTACTGAATTGGCAGACTAACCCTCACAACAAAACGTGATGTTCATAAGGATTTCGTTAATCGAAGTTTTGTTCGTTAACCGAATTCAAGATCCTTATGGGAGATTGGGAGGTAATTAATTAACCAAAATTTTGTTAATCGAACCGTTCATTAACCAAGGGACCACTGTAGTCTATTTTAACAATCACTCTCAAAATCACTTGAGATCTATCACTTGGACTGCCTAAACAAAATTTTTACCCAAAATAAGAAACGCCTTCCATGATTTTATGAGGGGAGGGGGGAGGAATTTTGGGGGTAACAGAAATAGTCACAAGAAAAAAAAGAAAAATAACAGGAAAAAGACACAATTTTCACCAATATACAATCAATTATGCAGAGGAAAAAACAAAAAACAAAAAAACATAAAAAGAGTGGACAATGCCCTTCCAGAGTACAGTATACTCTACTATATATATAAGAGTATGAAAAACCCTCAACTTACCTCCAAAGACAATTTATCAACAGTGAATTGTACAACCAGTAGTTTTCCTTCATCTGTTGGGGATGGAGCTTCCTTGCTAGAGTCATCTCCTTGGTCATCAATGGACATTAGTGTGCTAGATCTCCTTATCTTACCAACACTATGGTTTAACTCTACAGAATCTTTCCTGTTTAAAAATAAAAAACATTTAATCTCTGTAACAGAGCATGGTAAGGAAGTCTATGTTTTCAATAAATAAGAGTCATTCTATTCACCTCAAATACTAATCCCATTGCTGTAATTTTTAATTTGATTTCTTCCTCTTGTCCCCAAAGTTCATACTTTCAATCCATCTTTTAAACAGTAGACATATTTTCAAAAAGCTTTGCCATCTCAAAATTAAAGTTAAAGAAACCTATTCCACCAACAAATATTTTAAAACTGTAGATATGTTCCTGAAGAAAAATTTGGCCCCAAGACACTCAAAAATGCACCAGCAATTCCCAACTAATATCACAATACTGTCACTTTATAATAAGCATCATATTGATCTATAATAAGCATCATATTGATTTATATGTTATCAATTATCTTCACAGTATGAATTATTTAACTTTATGTTTAAAATTCTAACATAAGCAATGCCTTTTCTGACCTTTTTGGTTCAACAGGTTGGTCTCCGTAAAATTTTGACACCATTGTACGTAAAGCTTGAACCTTCTGTTCATTTATATGCAGCACAAGCCTCGGCAATGTGCCAGCAAGTGTAGCGCTTGGCCATTGCTGCTGCACATCGGGCATAACCACCACACGTCGCTCAAGTTGTAAGTTGATGCTAAACCGATCCAACACATGCATGTGACCTAAGAAAAATTAGTTTACAAATATATACAGCATACAGTAAATCCATAATTTTTTTCCTAAGAATAAGTTACTTTTAACAGGATGAAAATGTTTCAATTCATATACAGTGGCCCCTCGTTTAACGAACGCCTCGGTTAACGAAATTTCGGTTAACGAACTGCCTTCCATAAGGATCTTCAATTCGGTTAACGAACAAAAATTCGGTAAACGAATTTCTTACGAACCGACCTCAACATGTTTTCGCTTGCACTGGCCGGGCAACCAGCTTTAGTATCAGTCCGCCAATACATTAATCGGTTCTAGGGCTTAAATTCCTAACTATTTTATTAAATATCAAGAAGTTTATACTATTCAATAATTTTAAAAGTTTAATATTAAATTTTTTAGTCATTTTAACAATTATTGAACATAATCGAAGGTAAAGTGACTAGTTTAAAGCGCAGCATCCAGCCTCTTAACACAGCAAACAGGCGTTAGTCTCTCTGTTTTCACTGGAGGTAACATCTTACTTGAGACTCTCTTCAACTAAACGCTTTTTTCTGTGTTTCCAAGCAAATTATTGGTCATTTTGAAATATATTTTACATATTGACAATATATAATGCAGTACAGTGTTGATTTAAAGAAAATAATCTTGAAATACACCAAGAGAACTAAAATTTTATGGGTGAAATGGTGCCATGGGGTGACTTCTCTTCCACCCCAATGCCTTCTCTTCTTCCTTCTCCTCCAACCCCATTGTAATTCCCATCATCATCATCATCATCCAGGAGCCTTCTACATACACACCTCAAAGTAAGTGAACTTTTCTACCATTTTTGTTGAATTTAGGAAATTTTCGGTGAGCTGGAACCAATTACCCAAAAACCCATTGAAACTATGGTTTCGGTTAACGAACTTTTCGGTTAACGAACGACCTTCTGGAACGGATTGAGTTCGTTAACCGAGGGGTCACTGTATTTAGGTGAATCAAATGTTGAATACACTGAAAGTAAACATTAAGTTTTGATTAAAAGAAATGATATATAAAACTGTTTTAATATACTATACCATATTTTACAACATACAAGACACACTGAAAAAAAATGGCATGAAAAAAATGAAGTGCTTTTGATTCTACCCTATGTAACAGTTGGACAGAAGAACCACCACAGATATGAGAGCAGTATGTACTCCAAGTTAGGATGAATGAATCCCTTATAAACCGAATCTATTATTTCAATGGGTTCCAACTCACAGAAAAAGTACATACAAAGTACTGTGTTCCGGTAGTAGAATTAACAAAACATTAAATATAAACTAAATACAGTACTGTACTGTACAGTATACTTTAAAATAATAAATAAAAAACAATAGAATACTGTATTTTAACTTACTTTGAGGTGTATATGTCATATTACCAGCAGCTTTGCTTACATATCAAACAGCTGATTGAAGGGGCAGTCGATGATGACATGCCATATTCTTTACAGAGTGCATTGGTTCTAATACTTTCTTCATGTTTCATAATAATTTCTGCATTGTATATTATCAATATGTTAACTAAATTTCAGTATGACCAATAATTTTGTTAATTGAACCGTTCGTTAACCAAGGGACCACTGTAAATCTTCTCAGCTAAAGTTAAGTTTGAATTACAGTACCTGTATGCTAACAATAAAATTAAGCTTCAGCTGCATACCTGTGCCTTTAACATAAGCAAAGCGCCAATTGTCTCGGACTTTCCCCACTAGTACCTGCATGTCACACAGACGGAGATCATACCTGAAAAGAAATGCATTTGCTTTTGCTAAATGTAATTTGAATAAAAACAATTTAAGAACAAGTTAGTTACAGAAAGAATACGATAAAGTGATCAGAGATGGACTTTTTAGAAGATATGGATCATTATGGCAGGTGAAGAAGACTGGTGAATGCCATTATTAGCTTCTGCTCAGGAAGGTTATAAGCAAAGCTATAATCAACCTCCTACAGTATATCAATTTCCCATGATTTGTGGAATGTTATCTCAACGGCAAAAAGAGTTAGCTTAATTTGAGGCACTGACAGTCATGACACTGACTACACAAACCCCTTCATAAAATGCCCATCAAATCAGTGTGACTACAAGACTGAACCAGTGTGTCTCAAGTAAGGTGTACAGAGAATGATAAACAGAGCTGTAACTCAGTATATTTCCATACAATAAAACCAGAATACTGTACAGAGCTTAATTTAAATAAGAACCTGTAGGAATGCCTACATGATTACCTATAAAGTTGTCAACAGGATGAATAACAGTTCCTTTCTAAACAGATTTATGACAATCTTCTGCATTTAGTGTCAAGCGCTCTTTAACTCATAAGTACTTACTTGTCATACATTCTGTCATGTAATAACGACTCAGAGATTTGGGGATGTGACTCTAGAAATGATGATTTTCTCTCAGTTTCATCCTTTTCTCCATCAACAGGTGACATGGTTTCAAGTCCATCCGGAGTAGAACATGGAGTGGCAAATTCATCTAAGGGAAATTATTACATTTAAATAAAACAATGAAGGTAAATAAAAATTGAAGGCCAGCCTTTCAAGGGAGTCCTTATTGCCACAAAAATCAATGTGTGATTTATGGGCAAAAAAATGTAGTCAAAAGAAACTTGAATATGATGACATATTGTATAGCACAAAAAAGGAACTCTAAAATCTTCATACTAATCATGTGAAATTTCTATTCATCTAGTACAGTACAAGCATTCCAGATTTATGAAAGGGTTCCTGAAAACCTTTTGTAAACAGTTGCTTTTCCTTGGGTATTCTTTATTGCAGCTAAAAACCAAACAGAGAGAAATAGGTATTTACAGTAGTATATGTGTGTGGACTCATTGGTCCGGCACCGGTCAGGTCCCGAGGTTGCCGGACTAGAGAGGTACAACCTGTATGTATGTATGTATGTATGTATGTATGTATGTATGTATGTATGTATGTATGTATGTATGTATGTATGTATGTATGTATGTATGTATGTATGTATGTATGTATGTATGTATGTATGTATGTATGTATGTATGTATGTATGTATGTATGTATGTATGTATGTATGTATGTGTATGTATGTATGTATGTATGTATGTATGTATGTATATATATATATATATATATATATATATATATATATATATCTTGATAAAATCACACGGGAAAATGGAAACAACGGAGTACCTTAGCTTTCGTCTTTATTCAAGACATCTTCAGAGGCAACTGCCTCTGTTGCCTCTGAAGATGTCTTGAATAAAGACGAAAGCTAAGGTACTCCGTTGTTTCCATTTTCCCGTGTGATTTTATCAAGATTTATCTTATCCACGTTTTCATTGTGGATTTACATGAAATATATATATATATATATATATGTGTATATGTATATATGTATGTATGTATGTATGTATGTATGTATGCATGTATATATATATATATATATACATATATATATATATATATATATATATATATATATATATATATATATATATATATATATATATATATATATATATATATATATATATATATATATATATATATATATATATATATATATATATATATATATATATATATATATATATATATATATATATATATATATATATATATATATATATATATATATATATATATATATATATATATATATATATCATGTAGATCCACAATGAAAACGTGGATAAGATAAATCTTGATAAAATCACACGGGAAAAGGGAAACAACGGAGCACCTTAGCTTTCGTCTTTATTCAAGACATCTTCAGAGGAAACTCGATTACATGGACAGAGAGAGGTCAGGTCATAATGATGTCATCCACTAATCCCCACACCAACACACAAGTAGAGGAGCTTAAGAGAAGGGGGGTGACATGACTAGTCAGGTCAGGTCAAAAATAAGGGACCCACTAAATAACTATCATACATCTAGATCAAAGGTTTTCAAAGCATTTTTAACCTTGGGCCACTGACAAATAAATTTATGTAACATATTATCAGTTTTGAACTGACCATCACTAAGGTTTATTGATTTTAATTCCTTAATCAAACTAGCTTCAACCATAAGTCTTTCTGTGACACAAGATGATTTAAATACTTCTAAGCTTTTTTCCCAAGCAATGGGATGATTATTATTCCTAACATGAACGAACAGGGCACTGCTTTCAGATGCTGTTCTGATATTGTACTTATGTTGTTTGATTCTGAGCTGCAGTGTTTTTCCTGTCTGTCCTACATAATTACAATTATATTTGCTACATGGAATACAATAAATACTTCCATTTACATTCCTCTCAAACCAGGCAAATTCCTACACTTAAGAATATTTTGACTGCCCTATCGTAATGAATTTGTCCCGTTAGTTCGGTCCCTCAAGCTACTAAATATTAATGTTGTTTTCAAGTATGACTCAACAATTACCACTATGTTAATAAGAAATAGCCCAAGTTAATCGAATTTTTTTTTGTTAACCGAATTGAAGATTCTTATGGAAGGTAATTCATTAACCTAAATTTTGTTAACCGAGGCGTTCGTTAACCGAGGGACCACTGTATTATGTTATGTACATTCATTGGATAGAACTCGTGTAAATCGAATTTACTGTTACAGAAATAAATACTCTCTGCAATATTACCTTCATCATCACTTGCCATATCTAGTTCATCCTTCAGCTTGGTTTCAGACAAGGGTCTGGCTGAGCTGAAAATCAATTTTCCAAAGTCCAACACAACGAGAATTGCATTTTTATCTCGAAAGTGCTCTGGGATGATGATCTGTGGTGCTGAAATATCTAGTTTTATATCCCAACGCTTTCTTGTCATCTGGTGGAGGAAATAATTTCAAGACGAGTTAGTTTAAAAACAATGTTATGACGCAAGCCACGGTTACACAGGCACTTTTATGAACAATTTCTGGATTGAAAGATATTTTGAGCAATTTTTTGAGCAATTATATACTGGACAATCGTGATCGTCATTTTTTTTATAATTTCAAGGAAGATTACCAGGTCAAAACATGGCTAATACTATATTTAATGACCCGAAGCTTATTTATCAAGTGTCAAGTATTTCTACACTGGGGTCGGCAACCTCTGACACGGGAGAGGGTTGAGCATAGCATGCCAAGTGATTATTAAAACATACAGAGGGCCCCCCCAAATTTGTGGGGGTTAGGTTCTCAAAATGGCCGCGAATCGCCAAATTTGCGAATGACATTTGCGGACAGGGAGAGGGCTACATTTTTACTTATGTACAAAAAAATTTATATTCCCTTTATGTGTTTGCCATTAGGACAATTATTTCTTTTACCTGTAGCGTGCGTGCGTGTGTTTGTGTGTGTGTGTGTGTGTGTGGACACACACACAAAACACATAATAGAAAAATACTCTCACAAATAATCAGAAAAAAATTATAAAAAATGTGACAGCCTACCCTCAAGTCTGTGCTTTAATAAATAAAGATTTTGTGTGCATGTAACAGTTAAAGAAAAATATATATACAGTACATAAAAAAATATATAATAATAATAATAATAATAATAATAATAATAATAATAATAATAATAATAATAATAATTACATATGTTTACCTTGCTCTGTGTTAAGTCTCGTGCACATGAGAAATGTATATTTGCTTTATGTTTTTGATCTAATAATTATTATTATTATTTTGTTTGTTTTTCAAAAATTCTGTTTGAAACAGTGTGTGTGCATGTAACAAAGAAAAAATAAATTAAATTACCTATGTCTACCTAAAATTACTTGTAGTGACAGCTGGGAGTTTGCAACTTACTACTGCACTGCATAAGTACTTAAATTATCATGTACGGTAAATAGAAATAAATCTGTTTTTTTAATTTAACATTTTTGTCTTTATTTTGTATAAATTTATTGATCTCATATCTATTAATAAATTATTTGAGTTATTTAGACATTATTTTATCATTAAAGCAGCAGGGCAAAAAACTCGCTTGGGATCTTCAGGGGCTCAGGAAGGGACCTATTTTTCCCCATAAATTATTAATATCCATATACAGTCTCTCCTCAACTTACGACGGGGTTCCGGACAGACGCCCAGGTCGTAAGTCGAATTGGTCGTAAGTCGAAAAGGCGAAAATAATACAGTGGGGTATGCTATAACGAATCTAATTGGTTCTAGAACCTTGTTCATTGTAGCATTCGTTCGTTATAGGATTAATCCGTTCCAGGCCCCCAAATGCAACCACTTAACACTGAAAAATATAATATAAAATAGTAAAAATTGTAAAAAAGTGCATAAATATGCATCTAAACCCCTGAAATAAAGAATATCATTAATACTTGTAATAAAAAAACAATAAATTAGTAAAAAAAAAAAGAAAAAAAAAAAATTAAATAATGTTCGTTGTAGGAGTTTCGTTCATAATAGCATTCTCAATTTTATAGGTAAAACCATTCGTTATAGGAATATTCGTAGTAAGATCCGTTCGTTATAGCATACCCCACATAGAAAATCTAAAATGGGTCTCTTTTTCTTCTTAGCACCACGTGAACTCTCACTTTTACGCTTGCCAGCCATTTAAAAGGGAATTAGAAACGAAAATTTTGTCAGTACACAGCGCAATCACTAACATCGGGACTCGAAAATACATAATTTGAAAAATGTTATACGAATGCGGCGGTCGTAAGTCGTGTAGGTCGTAAGTTGAGGGGTACCTGCATGATCAATCACTTATTGATGACTTGTGAGATCCCTAATCTCCATCAAATAATGGTTATTGCCTATACCTGTACACAACTGAGTTTATAATTTGGCTGCTGATTTGACGTGTTTGTTTCCAAAACACGAGTGCACTCAGCCGTTCACAGTCCACACACATGCCTACTCCCTACTGTAGCTATGATAGTCCAACCAGTCTATAATAAACATTTTCAGTCCACCTCCTCGCCAGCCACTTTCCAGTCCACAATCGATTTTTCTTCGATTTCTCTCGTTTCTTTTTAATAATAAAAAGCCTTGTTGTTGTGATGTTCGGTTTCCCACCTACTCACACAACAGCGTTTGCATTTTTTTCCGTAGAAACTGGAACGATAGCCATCCTCATGACTACATTTTGAAGAAATTTATCATATTTTCTTGCTCCAAAATTATTGCGTCAAATTAATTGCTCATAAAGGCGCTCGTGTGACCTCGACTTAGTTACTCTTTAGTTAAAAAAACTCACGCTTACCAAAAGGTGAGTGAATGAACAAGAGATGCTCTATTGGATAAGCAAACAGATTCCCAGAGCTGCCATGTTTCCTGGAAAAAACACAACCTAAACAAATCACCCACACCTGTCCTTTCTGACAACTTTTGCTCAATTTAATAGATTCACCGTCTCTGTACAATGTAAAAAAAATATGTATTTTTTTTAATAAAATAAAAAAATTAATTTTCCTAGGGAGACCACCCATAAAAACAATTATACTGACCTGTCCAAAGGAATATCTTTCCCAAGGTTGACTAAGGATAATTTGGTAGTTCAGAAGTCAAATATATGTACATGACTCACACCAGGTGATACAATATATCAAATATTAAAATTCATCTTGGCCTAGAACTATGCAAGTTAAAAATAAGTTCAGGGCAACTCCTCGCTTCCCTAAATAGACTTTAAATAGCTAATATTCTTAATAAAATATTGAGTTATCATAAATAAAGAGAACATTAGAAAAAGATAACTGATTATTACCCACAGAATAATCATACAGGCAACAATCTTAAATGGAATTATGGTTAAGCAATTCATGACCAAATATAAACTTGGCTTCCTGTCTATGATACTACCACAAATACCAATTAAAATATTAATTAAATTTTATTCATAAAAAAGCATCCCCTACATCCTATCCTACTCTCGTGTAGCTATGCTTTAATGAGAACCTGACCCCATATGCCCTAAGAACCTAGCTAATAACTATTTCTCACCATATATAAAAGAATTTCACTTACCAGGTCTCCTTCCATAATTTGCTCCCAGTTCCTTTTCAACTCTTGCTTTGTTTGTTCTTTCAATTCTTCATACCTTAAAAAAAAAAAAAATAGGCATTACATTAAAATCTTAAAAATAAAGATTTATGAAGCCATGATATACAAAAATTTGAAGTTCGCCCGGAAAGACTGAACCCGCTACTGAGGACATCAGAAATAAAGTTATGAAGAGAAAAACTCAAATCTAGTCTTTATGCCGAGAGCAATTTTAATTATAATAAAAGAAAACCGAGGGCGGAAGCCCAAAGGTTTTTTATGCGGTCCGACTAATTACCCAAATGTACCCAAATGTACCCAAATAATGGTCCTACATGAATAATTCGGACTGCTAATCACTTCTCGACTAGTATTTGGTGTCAGAAAGTCACAAAAAATTGGAAAACTTACTTTAATCTGAGTTAATAGATCGCGTGCATGTACCGAGGGAGAAAGGAATTACCCAAATGTACCCAAATGTAGCCGCAATGAAGTCAAATGATGGTCGTACAAGCGTAATTCGGGCTGTGAATCACTTCTCAATTATTATTTGGTGTCATAAAGTCAAAAAAAATTGGTAAACTTAATTTAATGAGTTGTGTTGTGTTAGGTTAGGTTAGGCTAGGTTAGGTTAGGTTAGGTACATGCACTTGATCTATTAACTCAGATTAAATTAAGTTTACCAATTTTTTGTGACTTCGTGACACCAAATACTAGTCGAGGTTAGGTTAGGTTAGGTACATGCACTTGATCTATTAACTCAGATTAAATTAAGTTTTTCAATTTTTTGTGACTTTCTGACACCAAATACTAGTCGAGAAGTGATTGGTAGTCCGATTTATTCATCTAGGACCATTATTTGACTTCATTCCGGCTATATTTGGGTACAGTTGGGTACATTTGGGTAATTAGTCGGACCCTTTTTTATGAACGAACATAAGAATAGGAAGAGAGACAATCATGGCATTCATACTAGCACGTGACTAATTGGGACAAAGAAAACTGTAAACAGTCTACATATATATTTATGTATATATAAATAGATATACTGTATTCACATATTCTCTTTCAGTGAAGTCGAGCCAGTGAGGGCGCAGCGACATTCACTGAGTGACTTAAAGGCAAGGGATAGTCACATCGATCTAAACGACTTCACAAAGAAGACGTGTTGTTGTCGCCAAGACTGACCAGAGATCGTATAAGAAATTGTCCCAATTACAATAATTGAGACACATAACAAAATAAAAGTCACTCTACTTCATCACTGTGCTAATAAGTACAAATACCATATATAAAATCCTCGTGGAGCTCAGTATTTCAGCAATTATAACACAAAGTCGCGGAGCTCTATATTGTGTTTACTTATAGCTGACTTGCCAGGCAAGAGATGAAGGTGGCAGTGCGTGCGATGGGGGGTGAAGGAGGGGGTTTCGACAATTTCAATTAAATGCCAGGTAGCAACGTGTCCTCCTAACATTACTTATTAAGTAATTATTAGATGTTTTAATTGCCTGTATGTTGGCCTGGCAAGTTATTGCTTGGCATTAACATACCTAGGTTAAAGCTAAGCGTCGCATTCTGGATTGAAAAAAAAAAATGTTTTATGCATTCATTTATGAAACAAAACCCGAATGAATAAATGCTAAAAGTAGTAGTAGTTGTTTTTTTTGTTTTTTCGTTTTTTCTTTTATCCTCTTCAACGCTGATCGGCTCGTTAGCCGCTTGGGCGATCGGTCACGTCTCTGTTACTACTACTATGCTTAATTATTCATTGTGTGTTTTTTTATCACATATCAGCAGTACCCGATTAAGGGGTTGGGGGACCCTGGGCTACACCTAGCAGTGGGAGCCCCCCTGCTGACAACTGAAAATGAATAGAGGTAATATCCAAGGTCAATAGAAACAATAAAATCTAGTAATAATGACACATTTACAAATTATTTATTCCATTCAAAGAAAGCGTATACATTCACTTACAAATGCACTTTTCGTGATTTTTTTCTAGCAAATAAACGTATCACATTGTCAAATGGAAGTTCTTTTGAAATGTCCGACTCGGTGCTTAATAGCATCAGATTGTTGAGTCTCTCCTGACGCATCGTGGTCCTCAGCCTGTTTCATTTTTGAGAAGTAACGCTCCCCAGTAGAATTGCAGACCATTAACACCAGATATATCCTCAAAACCGTTACTACATTTGGAAATGCTGATTGTAAGCCATCGTTTTCCTTTATAATTCTGTAATAAAACGACTCATTGGGCTCATCCACGGCTTTTGCATACAACTTTACCAGACGAAAATTGAATCATTTCATTGGAGATGTTTTCATCAATATCTTTTCCATAAGTTTGCAGAAGATTTTCTGAAGCAGAATGAATGGCATCGGCCGACATGGTTTCCAGATTGCTTTAAAAGCCGAAGTGATCCTTCACCAACGTGTATGCAGAAACCCTTTCGTTTAGGGATACCACTTGGTGATCAATGACTGTGAGGAAGCATTTTGTTCAGAAATTGTCTCTGGACTGAGATCCACTTCACTTGAATGTCCATAATCCAGTGGAGCGAGCCGTACATTTGATCGCCTCTGACAACCTGAATGGACAAACTCGGCTTCCTGCCAGAGCTTTTGCTTTTTCCTCATAGGCATCAAAACTGTCTCGCTTTCTTTCAACGAAACATTTCAAGGAAACCAGCGAATATACTGCTGATTGAAGAATTAGTTTTGTATCTTGAAGAGGTTTGTGTGGTGTAGTGTTCACTTATTTATACAGCCTTTCTATTATTTTATTACAATTTCTGTGTTAATTAAGTTAGATCAGTTCACCAAACAAGTTTTAGTAGGAAATATTTGTGGAGGCCTGGTGGAGTTACGGTAAGTAATGCACAGTGAGTGTTAGGCAATCTGTTCCACTTGCTTATCGCTCTGTGATAAAGGTTTTTAAAACTTTTTTTTAATGTTGTAGGCGGGCCCTAGATGTGGGGGGACCTAGGCCTGCGCCCGGTATGCCCCTCCCATAATCTGGACCTGTATATCAGAGTAAATAGTATAATGCTAATCGGAAGTACAAACACATGAAGAAACACAACAACAGAGCCATACAGTTATAGGTTAAAAATTCCCCTTAACCTCATCACTAAAGGGATGCCAATTTTAATATTTTATTTGACTAACACCAGACAATCTTATTCAGCTCAGAGGGAAACCCGTACACAAGGGGCTAAATGGTATTTATGATATACTGTAGTATTTTCTTTAAGTGCCTGTCTGAACCATTTTCTTTGGTATTTCAAGTACTGTATGCCATTCTCTGTGTACAATACTGTATCTTAAACAATAAAAGCTTGCATACGCCTAGATTTTATGTAAGTTCTTAATTACATTGAATTACTGAGGTACTGTACAGTACTGTACTGTGATATAATTATCAGAATTTGATTTAGCATTTCATACTGTTCACTTTACTTCCAATCTTGTCCAGTTTTTCGTAAATACTGTACAGGTATTATATACAGTACAGAATAATGGTTGAACCTCCCTAATCCGGTACTCTATTGTGAGGTGAGACTAAATACAGGGATACCTCTTAAAACAACGATTCGACCAACAACTTTTCATATTTAAAACCCTCGTTAATTTAGGACCCAATTCAATTTACGTCCTTATTTCATTCGTATTTATGACCAAAATGTATAAAAATAAAATAAAATTACATTTTCATATAAATAATAACTAAATCTCAATATGTATTATAAAAAAAATTTACAGCAAAAAAAAGAGCGCCTTGCACAAAAAAGTTGCCGGGCTAATGAGTGGTAATGCGCATCACTGGTAAACAACAGTCGAAGCGTGGCGATCCCTTTGTTTCACGCATCTGAACAGCAACAGGAGAAAAACTTTCTCAGGTTTCTTACGACATTTTTGAGTCACTATTCAACATGAGCAAGAAAGCAAGTAATGGTAGTGATGGTTCGAAAGCTAAAAGAAAGTGTACAAGTTTAGCCGAAAAACTAGATGTGTTAAAACGCTATGAAAAAGGCGAGAGGGGTGTGGATATTTTGCGTGCTTTGGGGATGCCGGAATCAACAGTGAAAACTATTCATAGAAATAAAGAAAAAATGAAAGGAAGTGCTCTGTCTACAACTCCATTAAGTGCAAATAAAGTTTGCCAAAGCAGGAGTGGGGTTATGGAAGAAATGGAGAGACTTTTAAGTATATGGATTGAAAAAAAAGACAAAAATCAGAAGCATACTCCATTGAGCACTGTAATTATTCAAACAAAAGCCCTAGCATTGTTTAATGATCTTAAAAATTCAAGTAAAAACGAAAGTGCTAAAACAGAAAACTTCAGTGTGAGTCGAGGCTGGTTTGCTAGGTTTAAACAACGCCACGGATTACATAATTCAAAAGTCACTGGTGAGGCAGCAAGTGGTGATTCATCTGCTGCTAATGCTTATCCAGAAGAACTATGCAAAATAATCGAAGAAGGCGGCTACTTGCCCAGTCAAGTTTTTAACGTTGATGAAACTGGACTATATTGGAAGAGAATGCCTTCCCGGACATTTATTTCCATGGAAGAAAAGCTGCCCCAGGATTCAAAGCAGCCAAAGATCGTATTACACTCCTCTTCGATGGCGGTGACTTTAAACTCAAACCTCTCGCTGCACAGTATATCACTCTGAGAATCCTAGAGCATTCATAGGTGTGTGTAAACAAACTTTACCAGTAATTTGGCAGTCAAACAGTAAAGCATGGATGACAATGACTCTTTTGTTGATTAGTCCAAAAATTATTTTTGTTCAGCATTAATGGAATACTGTACCAAGAAAAACATAACACACAAAGCAATGCTTATATTAGATAATGCTCCAGGCCACCCAGCTCACCTAAATGAATTGTCTGAACATGTACAAGTCGTTTTTCTTCCACCGAATACCACATCCATGCTTCAACCTATGGACCAAGGCGTTATCTCATCATTTAAAGCCAATTATTTATGCTGTGCTATGTCTCAACTGATTGAAGAAACAGATGGTGCTGGAAAGCCATCCATATAAGAATTTTGGTGTGGATATCATATTCTAAAAGCTGTTAAAAACATTGGAAAGTCATAGAAGGAAGTAACAGACGACAACATGAATGGTGCGTGGAGGAAATTGTGGCCGGAATGTGTAAAATCCTTTAAAGGTTTTGAGGTTTGAGGAAACCATGCTAAACATTCAAAGAAATATTGTTGAGCTTGCCAAGCACATTGTAGGATTTGAAGAAGTTGATGAAGAAAATGTTCTGGAGCTGTTAAACAGTCCAGGGAAGACCTAACCAAAGAAGAACTTATATAACTTGAACAAGAACAACACGACCGGACCCCAAACACACCAACAGATACCCCTACCTCATCTCACAAATGTATGGCTAAGCATTTGGCAGAAGCATTTGCTCACATGGAGCAAGGGATGATCATATTTTCTGAAGTGGATCCATTAACAGAACGATAAATTAAAATAAACAGGGAAGTGAAAATCACATATGACCTCTACATAAAGATGAATAATGAGAATAAGAAAGCAGCTGAGCAAGGATCTTTAGACAATTGTATTATTCGAAGGCCTAAACTATCAACTTCAGCTACATCATCAACATCAGCTACACCATCAATAGCAGCTACAGCTTCTTCAGCTGCACCATCAATAGCAGCTACAGCTTCTTCAGCTACACCATCAATAGCAGCTACAGCTTCTTCAGCTACACCATCAACATTAGTTACAGCTACTTCTATGTTTGTCTTTGATACCCCCAAAATGTTCTACACTACTGAGGGTATACACAAACACTTGTTATCTTGAAAATAGGTTCTTATTCTCGTACGGGAGATATACAGAGGAACTAATAGACAGTCGGCTTCCTCACCTTAAGGACTAGCGATCTCAACTACCTGTATCACTCCGAGCTGGCATGTACAGATACCAGCATTCACAAGCTGAATACATAATATGTAAATATGATAATTCACATACATAACATGGTGCATAATAAATGGAAATATTACATAGGATTAATACATGTTCTATAATACTTTACTATACATAATTAATAGAGTAATATAAGGATACACAGCTTAAAGTACTACTTCATGTCCATATTATACACTACTGACGTTTATATTCAAATTATTCGCTGTCTTGCAAGGATTCCAGCAATACAAATTATATTCTCCTAACTTTAGTCTGTGATATTATAAAAGATAAAAACTTTAAGCCTAAAACACCAAACACTGGCTGGGAAGATAAGGAAGATGGGGGGAGGCAAGTGACAGTGACATGTTTGACAGTTGGAACCGAAGGTCTAGTGAAGTATTTATTTGTTTATTTATGTCCTTTAGCTTGAGTTTATGTTTTTTGTTTATAAAATGTCACAGAAGTGACCAGAGAGAATATAATTTACATTGCTGGAATTCTTATAAGATAGTGATTAATTTGAATATAATCATGCTATAGTTTGCACTAGACAAATTTTTTTTAATCATTTAGTACATTATTTTGAGTACAAGTACAGTAGTACAGCTTTGCGCTTAGGACAGTGTAGCGTGCCCAGAGAAACATTAGGCGCAAAATTTTAAATATGATGCGCCAGATTGGCGCATCAATAATTCTATGTATTTTACAAAGACCACCTGTGGTTCGGAAAATTCTATAGTTCGGCACTGGCCAGGTCCAAAGGGTGCTGGATTAGGGAGGTTCAACCTGTATTACTTCATGTATCTCACATATTGTGTTTACTATTTGATTAGAAATTTGTTTTTGTGGTATTTTAAGATTTTTTTTTCTTCATAGAAATACTGTATCTCAGCTTTTATAATGAGAATACATAACAACCCACTATTTCCTATTTTTTTCTAAATTAAACTACCGTACATACTTTGTCAGTTTTATGTAAACAAGACAAAACAAGAAACAATGTAAATCTAAGATCCAAAATATGAAGCAAAGAAAAATAAGCTCATATACAGTAAATGGGGTGGTAATTGTTTGTAGATTCAGTATAAGAAGTGTCATGAAACTAGATGTGTTGTGTGTGATTGTAGGCAATAAATTATATTTCCTCTGCAAGCACAGCACAACATATTTTGAAGAAAAATTTTTTTTTAGCAATTTTCAGTAGGCAAGGTATTTCTATGTCCTGAAACTAGGCGAAGGTAGCTTTTGAATAAGTTTTAAAGTAAACCAGTTCTGAAATTCTTCCTGCCTCACCATTCATTCAATTTTTAACTCATTTAGTTACCCCTGAAGACTTGTTTTTACCCTTTTTCCTCTTCCTTCTTTGAACACATTTTATGCAAACCTTATCAACTGAAACCTACGGTGCATGATAGGTCGAACAGCTTAGGATTGGCATTGCTTAATTATCTATTCTAGGATAACTCAAGGTCCCCAATATCTACCTTCAAGACATGAGAAGGAGTGGAGGAAATCATGAGATTTATTGCAGTTACATCTACAGCAGCTTGTCCTTTGCAGTCTCAAGTTACAGGCATGACCATGTACAGTACTGTATCTAAAAGAACTGAAGAATTGCAAAGTAATCTTGGATAAATAACTAGGTAGTAGGTACTAGGCAGCTACCAGACAGGGAGGTACTACCTCCTGGGAAGATATTGGAAGCATAATGTGTTGTCTAATGGTAGACCCTGCTGCCATATGGCATCACGAATATTGTGACCAAGTCCCGGGTTGCTCATCTGACTTTCTGCCTCATTTACACACAATTGCAGGGTCTCAATTGTTTCTCTTACTTGGACAACACAACAAACATAATGTATATCGTTTCTCACTCTCGATTAATTTTTTCGCTCTTGTATTTATTTATGGTTATTATTATTATTATTATTATTATTATTATTATTATTATTATTATTATTATTATTATTATTATTAATTGTTGTAATGATAATAATAATTTATTATTATTACTATTATTATTATTATTATTATTATTATTATATTTTCACCCCCCAGGCTCTCATGTGGGTCAGTGACCTGTGCCCGGGTGGGCTAACAGGGCCGGATTCAGGAGTGGGCAAAGTGGGCAGCTGCCCAGGGGCCTCCACAATCTGAGGGCTTCCACATATCAGGGCTGGTCGACTTGAAACCAAATGAATGACTCGAGTCATGTCTCACTTTTGTGTGTGTGTGTGTTGGGAATTTGCACACTATCAATAAATATACAGTTAATTAAAAATTTCTCAATGTTCTAATTTCCTCAATATAACTGCATATGGCTTCAAAATTCTCCAAAGAAGTGTTCAAATTTACAGCGCCCCCCAGAACTCCCAGATGTTTGGGCTTGCTTCACTCGCCACCCCACCCTCTTGGGTAGTGGGGGGCCTCCACAGGTATAAATCCGGCACTGTGGGCTAATCCCAGTATAAAAAAAAAAATAAAAAATCTATTTTTAAATGATGAACTTACCTTAGAAGTTAAGTGAGACAAACTATACTATCTCACCTTTTCTTAGCAGCTGATGTCAGAGCTGTCATCTGAGGTACATATCCAACATCATCCCTCTTCTGGTATGGAGTTGTAAAGAAAGCTTTAATGGCATCCAAAGCTGAAGGATTATATACAATGTCCAAAGCTGAAGAGTTGACAATCAGCCTGAAAAAATAAAAACAGGGTAAATAAATAAAATATATATATATATATATATATATATATATATATATATATATATATATATATATATATATATATATATATATATATATATATATATATATATATATATATATATATATATATATATATATATATATATATATATATATATATATATATATATATATATATATATATATATATATATATATATATATATATATATAGATATATATATATATATATATATATATATATATATATATATATATATATATATATATATATATATATATATATATATATATATATATATACATATCATGTAGATCCACAATGAAAATGTGGATAAGATAAATCTTGACAAAATCACACATGAAGAAGGGAAACAACGGAGCACCTTAGCTTTCGTCTTTATTCAAGACATCTTCAGAGGCAACTGAATTATATGGACGGAGAGAGGCTTAAGTACACAGGGTGACCTTACTAAATATGAGGTCAGGTCATAAACATGACATTCACCAATCCGCACACCAACACCACCAAACACGCAAAGGAGCTTAAAAGAAAGGGCGACGTAACTAATCATGTTAAGTCAGGTAAGAAATAGGGTCCTCACCTGGGTGGTGAGGAAGGGAGGTAGCGGGTGGTATGAGGCATGCATAATGTAGAAGATGGGAAGGAGATGCTTGGGATGTGGATGGTTGTGGTGAAGAAGTGAGGGTGGTATGTTGTTGGTACGGGGGGTGGTGGTAGAGGGTGTCTCTGGTGGCGAGGCGTGTGGTGCAACCAACACAATTTCTCCCCCAGATTCATGACTTTCTTTGTTGTTATCACGATCATTTTCACTACCAGGCTATTTATTATCACTATCCACTTGATCCCCACTGTCCCTAAACAGGAGTTCTAGAAAATCATCCTCTTTCAGATACCGTTCCGAGACATTGTCACTATAACAAGGTTTGTATTGCCTGATACAGTGATCCTCGGTTAGCGAACGCCTCGGTTAACAAAATTTCGTTTAACAAATTACTTTCCATAAGAATCTTCAATTCGGTTAACGAAATTTTTACGAAATCATGTCAACATGTTTTGGCTTGCTCACCAGCTGGAATATTAGTCCGCCAATACAGTAATCGGTTCTAGGGCTTAAATTTGTTCCCATTTGTGTAAATATCAAGAAGGTTGTATTATTCAATAATTTTCCAAGTTTTATATTAAATTTTTTAGTAATTTTAACACTTATTTAACATAATTGCAGTACAGGAAACTAGTTTTTGGTTTGCCCCAACAGCCATTTGACGCACCCAGCAAGGCGTCAGTTTGTATCTCTGGTCAGTGGAGGAAACATCTTGCTTGTGGCTCTCTTGAACATAAACTATTTTTACGTTTTTACAGTACAATTATTGGTCATTCTGAAATTTATTTTACATATTGACAATATATAGTGCAGTGCAGTGTTGATTTAAAGAAAATAATCTTGAATTACAGCTAGTGAACTTAAAATTTTATGGGTGAAATGACGGCATCAAGCATGGGGTGATTTCTCTTCCACCCCCACTTCCTTCTCTTCTCCCTTCTCCTCCACCCCCACTTCTAATTCCCATCACCATCATCATCAACCAGGAGCCTTCTACATACACACCTCAAAGTAAGTGTACTTTACTGCATTTATTTTTATTTTGTATGTAATTTTCGGTGAGCTGGAACCAAGTACCCAAAATCCCATTGAAACAATGGTTTCGGTTAACGAACGGCCTTCTGGAACGAATTGTGTTCGTTAACCGAGGGACCACTGTACAGTAATGACTTTTGAAAACTAAACACTTCACCTGTAAAATGAAAAAAATATTACATTACACAACCATCACTTCTCTAACACTAAAAATTTATTATTTCAGGGGGTAGGGTAAGCACTGTAATCCTGAAGCTGAGGCAGCCCCCATGGAGTTATGGAAATTTAAATGGACGTAGCTCACACTCACTGTCTGACTGCTGAGATAATACAGTGCATTTATCGTTTCGGTCTTCCCTTCCTATGGGTCTCGAGAGTTGCCAATTAGTTTATTTGAAAAGAAAAGCAAAGAGGAATAATGAACTGGAGGTAGCAAGGGAGGCGAAGTCAAACCCCAAGGGATTCTATCTAATGTATCAAACTAAAACACGAGAAAAGATTAGGACCAATACAGTCAGATACCGGCGAGCTTACTGATAACGATGGAGAAATGAGCAATATTCTGAATAAATATTTTTCAACAGTTTCCACCACCGAAAATTTAAACATGATACCCGAGGTATTGACTCTATACAGAGATAGTGAAGAAAATAAATTAAGCAAGATAGTAGTGACTAGTAACGACGTTAGTAAGCAAATAGACAAACTAAAGCCTAATAAGTCACCCGGTCCCGATAAGATATTTGCCAGAGTATTAAAGGAATATAAAGAAGAGCTTAGTATGCCCTGAGCAAAGTTGTTTAACATGTCCTTTAAAACGGGTGTAGTACCAGAATCCTGGAGGATAGCGAATGTAATACCGATTTTCAAGAAGGGAGATACAGTAAATCACTATCCTCTAACTACTGTCCAATCAGTCTAACATCAATTGAAGGCAAATTACTAAAAGCAATCATTTCAAACTCTATTCGAAATCACCTGGAGAAGCACAAGTTGATCAATGATTCCCAACATGGCTTCACAAGCTGGCATTCACGTCTAACTAATCTATTAACATTCTTTTCATCTTCGACAGAGTCCCCCACGAAAAACTAATAAGAAAAGTGGAGGCTCATGGCATTAAAGGAGATATTCTAAAATGGATTAGGATGTATTTACAGGACAGGAAAAAAAGAGTGAGCATTAACAGCACAAAATCCAATTGGACCGTCACTAGTGGAGTTCCCAAGCTCAGTACAGGTGCTCCTCTACTTAAGAACGTTCAACTTACAAATTTTCAGAGATACAGTACAAACATCATCACTGAGGGGGGTTACCTGCCAGAACAGGTGTTTAATGTGGATGAGACCGGATTATTTTGAAGAAAATTCCAGATAGAACAAACATTACCTAAGAGAAGAAGAGTGAGCCAGATTTCAAGGCTGTATTAAAGGGTATAGCTGTACTAAATATCCATAATCTTTTCATTTTTTACAATATGTTTGGTATCTACAAGAGTAAAGTTGGACTTACAAACAAGCCTCAGGAACGTAACTCGTTCGTAAGTAGAGGAGCACCTGTACTTGGACCATTATTTATATTATATGCATAAACGACATAGATATCGGCATAGACAGCAACAAAAGTAAATGTGCTGATGGCACTAAAATAGGGAGTGTAATTAAATCTGACGAGGACTGTGCAAAACTACAATAAGATCTAAACAAATTTTTTGAATGATTTGAAAAATGGCAGATGAAATTCAATGTGGACAAATATAAAGTACTCAGTATAGGAGATGTAAACAGGGAAACCAGATACTAGATGAACAACGATGTTATTGAGAAATCAGAAAGAAGGCTAATAAAGTACAGGTAATTGGGTTCATACAAAGGAGTGTTAGTTAAAAGACTAGCAAGGTCATCTTAAAACTATATCTTGCACTTGTGAGACCTCACTTGGATTATGCAGTTCAATTCTGGTCACCATATTACAGAATGGATATAGAATCCTTGGAAAGAATTCGGAGGAGAATAACAAGACTAATCCTGGGCATTAGGAACCTTGAGTACAGAGACATGTTAAAGCATCTTAATTTGCACTCCCTCGAGAGATGTTGAGTGAGGGGCGATATGATTGAGGCGTATAAATGGAAGTCAGGGCTAAACAAAGGGGACATTACAAAGATACTCAAACTATCCAACCAGGAGCAAACTCGTAAAAATGGTTTTAAATTAGACAAATTTAGATTTAGACACGAAATAGGTAAACATTAGTTTGGAAATAGAGTAGTGGACGAGTGGAACAAGTTACCAAATATCATCATTAACTTGAATATGCTGGATAGCTTCAAACACAGGTTGGATGGATGTATGAGCAATAGGGGTTGGGTGTAAATGGGACTGCCCAGTATGGGCCAATAGGCCCGCTGCAGTTTCCTCCATTCTTATGTTCTTATGTACTATGACGCATCAAAATTTTACTCAATTCTATTGAAAACTTAATTTTTGGTGATTTTTTTTTAAATTTGGCGACTCGATTTGCGTCACCGTGAAGTTGGTCTTATCATGAATATTACGCAAATTGCATCATGGCCGAGGGGGGTTAACACTGTCATGTGACTGCATGGGATGCTTGTGATTGACTGATACATCTCCCAGTCTATCTCCTCAAACCTTAGCATCATGATGAACTTAATTCATATACCGCTGCCATTGTACAAAGTTGTTCCTTCACATGCTGTTGTTTTTGCATTCAATCTATTTTGTGCAGATCTGTACATTACTGTACCATGATGCAATCAGCCAAGAATACAGTGTTAAACCAGTATTAAGACATAAACAGTGATTGCAATGTACACCCACTAAAAAATTATTCAGCACCCTTGGCTCTGATTGATTGGTACAGAAGTCGTGATTACGTGGTGTGGTTGGTACATTCAGGGGTACCAACCACACCACGTAATCACGACTTCTGTACCAGTGATCGTTGAGGTGGTGTATCAGAACCAAGGGTGCCAAATAATTTTTTAGTGGGTGTACATACAGTATACTGTAAATTTACATTCAGTAAGTGTGAATACCATACATATGGTACTGTGCATAGCAGAGTGGACAGTGTTTGCACACAATAGCCAAATGTGTAGTGTTTGTATGTACTTTACTGCACGTGTACAATGCCAAAAGCTACAGAAAAAGCCTGTGGTACCAAGGGTTGAGGAAAGGTCCAGCAAAAATACTGCCCCTAAAGGAAAATTTAGACATTCTGAACAAACTTGAAATGAATGTGACGGTAAAAGTGTTAATGTTGGAGTATGGAGTGGACATGTTGACCATATACAAAGTGAAATATGCCAAAGGAAAGCTGAGGTGGCAAGAACAGAAAGGTATGCCAGGAGCAAGTGGCCTCACCCATACTCGTCTGGATACCTTGAAATACAAGAAAGTTGAAGCTGCAATGTATGACTGGTACAAGCAGCAACAAGCCAATGGTGTTCCTGTTCGCAGCATTGAACTCAGTGATGTCACACAGTGATTTGCAACCCTGCTGGAAATGCTTGACTTCCATAGGAGCTTTGGGTGGCTCTATAAATTTTACAGATAGCACCGGAGAAGCAACTGTTGAGAGTATTAGTACTGATGTGGTGAGTCTCCAGCCATTCAAAGAGGAAATGCAACAACTTAGAAGTATGAAATATATAATGCTAATGAGACAGGCCTCTATTGGAATTCCCTGCCTAACAACACCATGGCATCGTGGTAGGAAAGCAGCACCCTTGGACTAAGGCCAGCAAGCAGCGTGGGTCAGTGCTGTTGTGTGCCAATGCTGCTGGTATGCACAAAATAAAAGCCATGTTGGTGGAAATGACCAGCGGCCTAGAATGCTGCACCTTTCTATGGATCATCTTCCTGTGTCCTGGCCTGGTTCATCATGGAAATATTTGAAGGCTGATTCCACCATGTTTTTGTCCATGCAGCCCAGACAATTCCATATGACAGTCCATGGCATCCCCAAGCAAGAGGTCAAGACTTTGCTCATCCTTGACAATGCACCTGCTCACCCTCAGGATGATATTAAAAAGTGCTGATCAGTACATCAGTGTGAAGTTCTTGCTGCCCAACACCACCTCACTCATACAACCCATGGACCAGGGCTTCATTCTGGCCTGCAAATACCATTATGGGCACCTTCTCTTAAATGATGTTTCGGTGGTAGAACCAGCGGCAGAGGGGAACGAAGACACTTGGGGGACCAGGACACTGAAGAACATCAAGGACTATAACATCCAGGATGCATTGTTCAACCTCAAGGCATCCTGGGACAACACTGAGGAATGAGTGGAAGAAGCTCCTGAATGGCAGTGGTGTGGTGGTGGTGGTGTGGTGGTGGTGGTGGTGTGGTGGTGGTGGTGGTGGTGGTGGTGGTGGTGGTGGTGGTGGTGGTGCTGCTACAGTAGCTCTGTTACTGCAGAAGAATGTGAACTTCAGAGAGGAAGAGGCCCACACACTTTTCCGTGTCAGTGGTGACAGTGCTGTGACAGCAAGATGCGAGTGAGTGGTTTTATGTGGATGCTGATGATCCTGGCTATGGTACCCTCACCTAGGAGGAAATAATAGCTAATGTCATCAGGTTCTACGATGAAGGACAGGAGGAGGAAGTTCCCACCACCAGTCTTGAGAGGAAGGGCACACCTGGATGCCCTCCTGAATTTTACAGCCACCACTGATATCTTCCACTTCCTCCCCCTTTTACCAGAACCTTCAAGAGACGAAAGCAGTTACTGTAGATGAACTGCAGAAAAGGACCAAGATAAAACAGTATAAGATTAAAGACTACTTCCCCAAGGTCCCCACTCAGTCCCAATGCATCCTAGTGCTGTCTCCTATGGCAGCTTCCCTAGTACCAGTGGTGACAGTGTTTCTGGCCCCAGCCCTCAACATCAGAGATGGCACACCTACCATCACCACATACCTTGTCATCACCACAACCTTTGTGTCAGTCCAGACTTTTGATTCAAGACCAGCTAGATAAAGGGAAAAGGCAGCAAAAAACAGTCCAGTGCTACCAAGCACTTGTACTTCACAGGGGATGGAACTGAACATCACAGTAAGGAATCATCACACATCTTACAAGCTCCTAATTACTATACAACACCCTGCACTATCTTAGAACAGGACCCAATTTTCAGGACACTTTTCTCTCAAAAAAGCCAACAATGTTGCAAAGCCCCTTAGGTCATTAGTTCTCAGATAACTGCCTGATTGTGTACTTTGGAAATGTAGACTTTGGACATTCCATATTAAGTCTGTGACTTAAAAATGCACCTGCCGATTTAAACTGCCTTGTGATACTAACAAAACTTGTATAAACCTCTTAACTGAAAATGGCAAATGTTGAGATCCATCATAATTTTTCCATGCTTAAACTTAAAAATCCCTCAAGCTAAACCTATGAATCTTACTCTTCTAAATGAAATCATTCTAAATGAGAGTTACTTACTTATGGTCAGCCTTGGAGTTAAATGGCCGACACTCATACACAAGAGAGAAGAGAGGGCCTTCTGTTTTGCTTGACATTGGAGACATGATGTTTGTTAGCTTAGCATACATAGTTGAAGTTCTTGACACTGAAGAAGTTAGTGATGATCCTGATGCCCGGGTTTGGGGAGTTATCAGCAAAGGAAATGCAGACTCTTGGGTAACCTGATGACAAAATAATTTTGAGAAATTAATAATCTTTTCTTTTCTTTGCTTGAGCAGCACTGATACAAACCATTGCTTCAGTCAGCTCTCAAGACCAAGTCTGGACCAAGAGTACCCCTGGCTAGACAAAACAAAATTCCCCGAGTTTTCCAGTTGTAAATTTGAAAAACTCCAGGTACCTGTACATTAATTTGGTATTTTTTACAACATAATAACAAAATTAAAGGTTTTCAATACATTGGGAGCATAAGACAGTAAACCTCTCTACATATTTTAAAAAAATACAGCAGATTCTCTGTTGGGTCTCAATATTGTAGGTCACTTGCCCATAAATTTTTTTATTGCCACTGGCTACTGGACCGACTATTTTACTTAACCAACTACGATCAGGATGATCGTCATGCCTAATGATTTACATCAGCAAAACCTTGACCCCCACCATATTTTTTTCCTAGGATTTACACGATTCAAGCGGGTCAACCTGGACGTTCCAAAAAAGCCAGAAATCAGACTCCTGACCCACCTATATGACTCACGATGCATATGTGAAATAATCCACTAATTATAAGAACAATTCATCTCTGACAGTTCGTTCCACAGAGTCGTTTGTTAACCGAAAATTTCGTTAACCAAATCCATTAAACCTAAACCCCGACTTACGACGGGGTTAGGGACCCAAATCCAGGTCGTAAGTCCGATATGGTCGTAAGTCCGATATAGATAAAAAAAAAAATAAAAAAAAAAAAAAAATTTTCAAAAAAAAATTCAAAAATTTTTTTTTTTCAAATTTTTTTTAAAAATCTACAATGAAATACAGTACACTAAACGTAAAAAATAATGAGGAATGGATACAGTACAGTAAAAGTAATAAATAATGAGGAATGGATACAGTGTGCCTCAGCACTTACCTTAAATGTAGTCAGCTGAATGCACACGGGGCCCCCATAATTTTCTATTTACAGGATACATGGAGACTATATTAATTGGAAGAAGCAGAAGAGGAGACAGGGCTGGGTGGGTCATCAATGTCGCTTCCTTCAGACAGGTTTATGTACAGGGGTAACTTGCTGGTTGAAGGTATTGGATCATCTTGAGGGAGTGAAGAGGCAGCACTGGTGGGGCGTGAGGAGCCAGTACTGGGGGACTTCTTGAAATAGGTGTCCAATTTAGACTGCACAGTTTGCTTTTTCTTTTCATTATAAATTTCTCTGTAGCAAGCAAGTGAATCTTGGATCATTCTGTCAACTTTGGCATAACGCTCATAATTTTGATCCATGTCATCAAACATTTGCATTGCTTTATTAATTGTAGCAAATGCCTCTGCCATATGTTTCACTGAAAACTTTTTGGGGGGTGCAGGCTCTTCTTCTACATTTTGTCTCTCTTCTTCCTCTGCAACTTTCTGTGCATCTAGTTCAATAAGATCCTCGTTACTGAGCTCTTCTGCTACACTTTCAACCAACTGTCCAACATCTTCAGTATCAATTTCTAACTCCAGCTGTTTACCTAAGTCCACTATCTTGTTACTAATATCCAAAATAACTTCACTTTCATTAAATCCTTTGAAACTGTTCACATATCTTTTCAGGATTTTCTTCCATATTCCATTCATGCAATGTTTTGTAACCTGATCCCATGCTGCACTAATGTTCTTTATACATGACAAAATGTTGTACTCCTTCCAAAACTGTCTGAGCGTTTTCTCACCTTCAGTAGCAGCAACAGCCTGAGCGAAGGTCGTGCGTAAATAATATGCTTTAAAGGCAGAAATAACACTTTGATCCATGGGTTGGATGATAGAGGTAGTGTTAGGTGGCATGTACACTACCTTAACATCAGGGTGCATGTCGTCCAGGTGTGGTGGGTGTCCCGGAGCATTATCCAAAATCAGTAAAATCTTGAATGGAATCCTTTGTTGCAGACAATACTCCTTGGCTCGTGGAATGAAACAAGTCATGAACCAATCCTCAAATAGTACTAGGGTCATCCAGGCTTTCTTGTTACTGCGATAAAACACTGGCAGTGTGTGCTTGCTGACATGTTTAAAAGCCCTGGGGTTCTCTGAATGATAGATCATGAAGGGCTTTAGCTTGAAACCAGCAACATTCCCCCCCAACAGAAGTGTAATTCTGTCCTTGAATGCCTTGAATCCGGGCATTTTTTTTGCCTCTTTGTGGATGTATGTCCGGTCAGGCATGCGTTTCCACAATAATCCAGTCTCATCCACATTGAATATTTGCTCTGGCAAATAATTCCCTTCCACAATCACATCATCTAACTCCTCCTTAAAAGCTTCGGCAGCACCAACATCGGCACTAGCTGCCTCTCCACTCACCTTAACACTGTGTAGACTGTAGCGTTTTTTAAATCTATCAAACCACCCTTGACTTCCTGTAAAGGTTTGATCACATTCATCTCCTGCCTGCTCCTTCAGGCTTTGGAACAGGCTTCTTGCTTTAGCCTGTATGGTTAGAACACTTAAGGGTACACGCTTCTGCATCTGGTCTTCTATCCATATCACCAATAATTTTTCCATATCGTGGATAGGACCTTGTCTTTTCTTTGTTATTATAGTTCCCTTTATAGGTGTTGTTCCTTTCACTACTTCACGAATACGTTCCTTGTCCTTCAGAATAGTGGATATGGTCGAGTGTGAGAAACCTAGGTCGCGTGAGATTGTTGCTATTGTTTTTCCATTCTCATACTGTGTTATTATCTTCAGTTTCATCTCAAAAGTAATTGCCTGTCTCCTTTTCCTTGGAGTACCACCAGCACTCTCACTTTTACGCTTTCCAGTCATTATAAAGTCAATTAAATACAATAATAACGAAAGTTCACAGCGCGATCAGTATAGGATACGATAGCCAAACACAAACAAAGCGCTCCACTGAGTGAGTGCAGCCACGAGGCGACCCAAGCCACCCCTCCCTCTCGCCCGGGACGGAAACGTTTCGGTATAGAAAATGCGCGCGTCATTTGAAAAAATTTTTGGTCACGGCGGTCGCAGTCGTATGTCCCGTATGGATGTACGGTCAAAGCAGGTCGTAAGTACCAATGGACGTAAGTCCGTATAGTCGTAAGTCGGGGTTTAGGTGTATTTCAATGGGATATTGGGTAATTGGTTCCAGCTCACAGAAAAGTACATACAAATTACAGTAAAGCCAAAAATGTATAAATTCCGAAACACTCCTAAAATTCCCCTAAATCTCCCTTAAATCACTATACAGTCATGCGCCGGTTAACGTCCAACCGAACAACGTCCGATCGCATATACGTCCGTGCGCCACCCCCCAAAAAAACACAACACTTCCGTGACGCCTGCTGGCCCACCACTCCACGACCCCCTGACGGAGACACGATGATCCTCCCCATACTGGCCAGATATTATGTGTTAAAGGAATATCCTTCCTTCCTTAGGCTTTAGTAAGCATTTGCCTCCAGGTGTAATGTTAACCTACTGTACATCTATTGAGGATAAAATCTTTCACCTACAAATTGACAATAACACATTTGCTGTAATCAGACATATCTAGTTGCCTCAACAATTGCAACCCCAGTTGCAATTGGGGTTGCAATTTCAAATTCTGTGTCATTACTAAGGAATAATGAAGTCTCTGGTGCACTCTAAGATTGAGAGAAAACGGAGGACTCAGGCGTCCAGAAGCGAGAGAAAACGGACTCCTATGACGGGGCACTCAAATAAAGAAAGCATAGCTACATGTTTTGTGGACTACCCACTGTACAGTATTGAGCGTACCCTTTTCATCACTTTGTAATAAACCTAGCCATGCCTATGTGTGTGTATGATATTTACCATAACATTATATATATATTTTGTGGGTCTAAATGATCGTAAAATGGGAAACTTGGGGTTGGGTCTTGGGTGCCTGGAACCAATTAGAATAAATCCCATAGGTTCTGTACTTTCGCTTTCGCGTTTTTGTGATGAACGGACAACATCCACTTTGGTTAACGTCACGTTTCCAAGAACGTATCTAGGACGTTAACCGGCGCATGACTGCATATCTATATGTACATATACAATCTTACTCTTAAATCACTACTGTAATGTGATACAGGTGATAATTTTTATCTCTTGTGCAAAATATATGATGTTTATATTCAAATTATTCGCTGTCTTGCAAGGATTCCAGCAATGCAAATTATATTCTCCTAACTTTAGTGTAAGATATTATATAAGATAAAAACTGTAAGCCTAAAACCCTGGCTGGGCAGATAGTGATTAATTTGAAGATAAACATGCTATAATTTGCAATAGATATAAAAATTTTAGTACCGTAATCATTCAGTACATGTACACTACAGGTTTGCACTTAGGTCATTTATTTCTTTTACATTTCTTTTAGTATGGTGTGTGAATGTAAATGAATGAAAATAAATTTAAAAATTTATGTAAATCTACCCAAAAATACAGTTGAAAAACTTTACATTATAAAATGTCCTACCAACTGTACACTAATGTACTACAATTTTTATCTCTTGTGCGAAATATATGACATTTATATTCAAATTATTCACTGTCTTGCAAGGATTCCAGCAATGCAAAGTATATTCTCCTAACTTTAGTCTGTGATATTATATAAGATAAAAACTTAAAGCCTACTGTATAACCACCAAACCCTTGTTGGGAGGGGGAGGGAGGGGGAGGAGGGAGGGAGGGAGGGAGGGAGGGAGAGGTGACAGTGACATGTTTGACAGCGCCAAGGGTCTAGTGAAGTATTTATTTGTTTATTTATGTCCTTTAGATAGAGTTTTTGCTTTTTGCTTATAAAATGTCATAGAATTGACCGGGGAGAATATAATTTACATTGCTGGAATTCTTATAAGATAGTGATTAATTTGAATATAAACATGCAATAGTTTGCACTATACAAAAATTTTAGTAATCATTTTGTACATTATTTTGATTACATGTACAGTACAGCTTTGCCCTTAGGACAGTGTGTGCATGTAAACGAGTTTCAATAAATGAATAAAGTTACATATATCGAGCCAAAAATAATAGTTGAAAAACTTTATGTAGACAGAGCTTGGATGGCTTCATTTTAGAATGACCAATAATTTTAATATAAAAAATGCAAAAATATTCAAGAACATAACCTTCTTTATATTTACTCCACTGGAAACGAATGTAAACATAGAACAGATTACTGTATTGGCGGACTAGCCGATCATCTGATCAGTTGATGCTCACAACAAAACATGTTTGTCGTAAGGATTTCATTTATGGAAGTTTTGTTCATTAACGGAATTGAAGATCCTTATGGGAGCTAATTCGTTGACCGAAATTTCGTCAATCGAACCGTTCGTTAACCGAGGGACCACTGTATAACTAATATTTGATCATTTGATCGCTAACATGAAATATGATAGGTACACAATCACTTCAGTTATTGGAGTGGACTATTTACTAGAATTTGTTCATAAAAGTTGAATCATTTATCTATTACAGTGAACCCTCACTTTACGCGGTCAATTGAACCCACGGAGGCCCTAAAGCGAGAAACGAGTAAAGTGAACAACATAACATATGGGATTAAATGAAATAGAGACCTGCTGACCCCCAAACTCCACTTTTTCCAACACAATACCTATGTTCTAGTAAAAATAACATCTTAATTTTATGATGGTACATGCACACAATTAATACTTAAGAGAAATAGAGAAATACAGTCGCCAAGCTAATGTCCATTCAAATAATGGACTCAACTCCCTCCCCCTCTTCTCACACTACACTCGCTGGCTCTTCCCTCTCTGAGAAATTTTTGGGGGAAAACCACTAGATTTTAAGGTATAGTAATAAATAATACCTCAAACTAAAGTTAGGATAATATAATTGACATTGCTGGACTCCTTGTAAGACCAGGAATATTTTGAATATAAATGTCATATATTTTGCACAAAAGATAACATATTTACTCAGAGTAAACAAAATACTTACATTAGATCTAAAACTTGTATGTCTAATGCAAAATCTATGATGTTTATATTCAAAATGATCATCAAATTGTAAGAATTCCAGCATTGTAAATTATATTCTGGCCGGGTAATTTGTATGAATTTTATGAGCTAAAACAAATATCTTCAGTTAATAAAAAAAAAAAATATTCTTCACGACACTATTTGTCAATCAAAGTACCCCACCTTGCCTCCCACCCTCTTCCAACCGCGCCAGATGGTCGGTCGGTCCCTCCCTACCAGAGAAATGTGTGGGAGAAACCAGAATATTTACCTTTTTAGTAATAAATAATACCTCAGACTAAAGTTAGGGTAATATAATTGACATTGCTGGATTCCTTGTAAGACCAGGAATATTTTGAATATAAATGTCATATATTTTGCACAAAAGATAACATATTTACTCAGAGTAAACAAAATACTTACATTAGATCTAAAACTTGTATGTCTAATGCAAAATCTATGATGTTTATATTCAAAATGATCATCAAATTGTAAGAATTCCAGCAATGTAAATTATATTCTGGCCGGGTAATTTGTATGAATTTTATGAGCTAAAACAAATATCTTCAATAAATAAACAAAATATACTTACCGAAATACTATCTGTCAATCAAAATACCCCACCTCCCCACCTCTTCCCACCTGCTCCCTGGGTCCCTCCCTCCCTCCCTACCCCTCACCCCCACCTTCCCTCCCTACCAGAGAAATGATTGGGTTATAACAGTATATTTACATTTTTAGTAATAAATAATACCTCAGACTAAAGTTAGGATAATATAATTGACATTGCTGGATTCCTTGCAAGACCAGGAATATTTTGAATATACACTTCATATATTTTGCACAAAAGATAACATATTTGCTCTGAGTAAACAAAATACTTGCATTAGATCTAAAATTTGTATGCCTAATGCAAAATCTATGATGCTTATATTCAAAATGATCATCAAATTGTAAGAATTCCAGCAATGTAAATTATATTCTGGCCGGATAATTTGTATGAATTTTATGAGCTAAATAAAAAAATTTTACTTCACCCGCGTATATGAGTAGATGCACCGCGTAAAGTGGGAATTCCGGTTCTGGCAGGGTACCGCGTAAATGTAGATACACGTAAAGTGAAACCGCGTAAAGCGAGGGTTCACTGTATATAGTACATCATTAATTTATGGTAAGATTGCTGTCAAAACAACAATATTTTGGAGTTAACTGAATTCACATAAAATTCCAGGCTTATTTGTAAAATTCCCTAGCTTTTCCAGGTTTTCCAGCCCCAAATAATATTCCTTACCTTTTCCAGTTTTTCCAAACCAGTAGACACCCTGAATCTTTACAAAATAATGGTAAGCAGAACATTTTCTCACCTTGCCCAATAAAAAAGTCAGTAACTTTAAAGTTTCAATTAAAGTCTTCAGCTAATATTACCATAGCTAAGTTGGTGAAGGATACTGGCATCAGTGCTGAGTTTATTATCAACTGGATACTGTAGAAAGATATCTCCAACTTAAAAACCATCAATTCTTTCTTGCAACCTCCTTCATCATCATCATTTCACATATACCTGTACAAGAATACACAATCATATACACCCACCTCTAGGTTTACGCTGGAGTTACGTTCTTGAAAATCACCGCTTAATTAAAAAACGTGAAATTACACATAATTTTCCCATAAGAATACATGTAAATGGTACAGGTTAGGGGAACCATCATATACCGAACATGGTACGAACAGTGCTCTGACTTAAACCAAACACACGGCCAACCTCTGACACACATTCTCCTCTCTGAAGGCAGGTGATCACATTTAATTTCACGTCCATTGCGATTGTTTTTTGTGCCTTTTTAGCTTTAGGCGCCCCAGAGGAGGCAGATGGACGTTTTTCAGACATGCTCAATGGGGACAACAGCGTTTAACACTAAAAGAGTATGTGATAAATACACAATGCAAATGAAAGCATAGAGAAAAATTAGTGCTGGTGTGAACTGAGATAGCGATACGCGGGTAGCTTGCTGGACGTCGTCACAGTTGTTGTACAGAACACTTCATCATCATCATTATCTTCATCATTAGTGGTAATAATTTTTATTATTACATTATTAAAAGAATTATTATTAAAGTAATATTAAAATTTTTGATGTTGATATGACTGTGACTTTATAGTGATAACTTACAAGCACCTCACAAGTGACTCCACTGCCAGGCGACCAGGTATTTGCGGCAAATTTATACTGTCTTGAGCAGGTTATTTCAAAAATAGGTGCATGTAAATTAGCTTTTGGTATTAATTGAACAACTGTGTTATTCCAAAAATGCTTAAATCAAAAGCGCGTAAAACGTGAGTTACCTGTATATGGTACAGTATGTGAAACAGACTTATGATAAGGAAACTACAATTAGTCACTCAAGCTACAGAATGCCAAAACAATTTCAAGGTCCCCAACTTATGCATGGATTTCAATTTCAAGATGAAATATGATAATTACACAATCAATTTCATGAGACAGTTCTTTACATTCTGAAACAAGGCCTTCAAAAAAGAAAAAAAAAGAAGACATAGCTCTGTTGTGACAACCTGGACTTCCATCCCAAGAGAATTAAGCTCAATCATACGATCATGCAGGGTTGGAAAGGTTCATACAAGATCACGGCCCTGATCTAACCTAGTCCTTCACAGCTGATGGTTACCACTCTACAAATTACATGGAATGCTGTAAATGTCAAGGGTTTCTTTATCCTTCACAAGACAAACCTCATAATCTTCACTTCTCCTTAAGTTAACTCTCAGAAATCCACTAGGACTGTTACAGTACAGTATTGATAAACAGCAACATTGAGAGTGCAATTTATAAGGAAATGCAGATTGAGTGTATATTTAAGTTTTTCTAAGGGTTACATTACTAGTTCTCATCCAAGAGACTTTTGTAATTCTAACCACAATAGTATAGTATCATTTAGTCCAATAAAAAGAGATCAACACATGGAGTGGACTAAAGATAAATACCTATGACATATGGTGACATGCCATATGAGATACTGGATAATGGGTAAATTCAAGTTAAACTTAAAGCCATACACTCTTTAAAGTTGTAGCTTCAAAATATCATTATCAATGATGAATAAGTTACTCTTACCTTATCTCTTAAGCTTAAAGAGCCCAGTTCAATATTAAATTTGTAGGACTTGCTTCTTGGTCGTGATTCTAATGCCATTTTCACATTTGCAAATTCCAGTTGAAACAGTTCACTTCTGAAATATATATAATCTTGTGACAAATTTGTTACTTAGCATTTCTTCAAAAATAAATCTAACAACAGCAATACATGCAATGTGTAAGAAGGTAAGAAAAAATTTCTAGGATGAAAAAATGTAACTGGAAAAAACGACAGCATGAAGAATTTTAGGAAATAAAAGGGAGATTCAGCATTAAGTCGATAGCTGAGGGCCTTAGGCAGAGCAAGATTCCATAATAGTGACTTAGAAGTCACAACTGCTTCAAATATTACTTTTTCTAGATACCCAGTGCAAAGTTAGGGGTGTGTCTTCTACAGCGGTGCTTCAAATCATGCCAGGAAATACAGTAAACAGTACTCAGTGCATATTGATAACCCTGATCATGCGTATACTGTATGTGTGAAATACTAAATTCTCTAAGGTTATTATATTTCTATAATATTTAGATTTTCAAGATTGTAAAAACACAACAATGAAACCATTAACTTTAACTAAAATTCATATGGAAGTCTTATTAGACATTATTACAATTACTAATGTTATTTTAAATTACTCACTTTACTTCCTTTTCCTCCATGCTAGTCCCAGATACAGATGGCTTGATGGATGAAAGTGAAAAAGAGCTTTGTTTGAGTGTAAAGCTCAGTTGGCAGAAGACTGCATCTCTCTTCATAAAGGTGTTGTTTTCTACAGTGTCTGATAACACATACAAAATCTCTTCTTCCAAAGAACCTTTGGATTGTTTCTCTGACTCGGGTGAAAGCTGGGATTTGGGAATGGGTTGATGTTCTGTAGGAGGACTATGTTCCTGTTCATCATCCTGTGGTGACACAGGGGCAACACCTGCATCTGAGGCATACCAGCCTCCCCAAGCTGGAAACCATCGTTGAAGAATACCTTCTCCACTTTGTATTGGAGATGATGGCTCCATGGGGATCGTCAGTGGAGGAGTAGGAGGTCTTGTCTTCTGTAATAATTCAAGGTCCTTTATAACGCTTTCTATGGCTATTTCACGCAAAGAATGAAGTTCATCAAAATTAAGTTCTTGTTCAATTTGAAGTTTAAGTGCTTTGCAGTCTGTTGACACTGTAGCAGGATTCACAAGATGTTCACCATAAATTTCCACATACTTAACAATATCTCTGGCTCTCTGTAGTGCAGAAGACCAATTCCGACCACTATACTTTTTATGAATCTTATCTAAGTGACACTGAATTGGATACTGCCACCATTCATAAGGATTCTCTTTAACTGAGCAACTTGGTCTCCATTTTCGATAATGGCGAGCTTTTTCTAGTCTATCATATTCTTTATTCCACTTTACCACTTGTTGGTACTGAGAATCACTGAGGCTGAGAGGGAACTTTTCCAATTTAAGGTCACATGTTATACGAGGGGATGATCGAGATCGAAGCGGCGCTTCACTCAAGTTACGCTTTACACAAGCAGTAGCACTTACAGGTTGAAGTAAATACTCATGATCACGTTTACCAATTGCAGACAGCATGAGAACCTGTTGAAGAAGAGAAGAAAAATTATTTACACCTCTTCTAAACAGCAAATCTAAAACCACTTGATGAACTACCAGATCCCTTTATGACCTGTAAACGTGAAGACCTAACAACTACCAGGTATCTTTATCAGAATCTGAGGTAACTACAAACAAGAATTGTCACAAGACAACAAAGTTTATCTGCAGGGATATTTGAACATAAAACTTCACACGTTTAACAATGACCAGGATGACAACATTCTTGGTATCCATAATGATCCCTGTTATAAGACACTCTACACTTCATGCTGGTGAATTAAAAAAAAAAATCTGCTCATCTATATATAATATGCCTCTACATGGGTGAAGCGCCAAATTAAAAAAGCTGAGAAAACGTGTTTAAAGTTTTTCGAAGTTCAAACAACCATAACTTTTTTGTTTTTAAGCTAGAGGGTTCACATTTTTTATCATGCAGCTCAATCCCTCTCCAAGCAAACTGTGAAAACTGAAAGTTAGTACTGTGAATAGTTATTATTTTATCGTGAGTTGAATGAGAATAACTACCCGTCATGTACAGTTGTTTGAGCTTCAAACCAACAATAATCGTGTTTTTCTGCAAAATTTTCTTATTATTGTGGGCTAATATATATATATATATATATATATATACATATATATATATATATATATATATATATATATATATATATATATATATATATATATATATATATATATATATATATATATATATATATATATATATATATATATATATATATATATATATATATATATATATATATATATATATATATATATATATATATATACATACATACATACATATATGCTGATAACCACAAGGAAAGAAGAAAACACGAAGTTCCCAAGCGCTTTCGCGTACCTGTAATTCACATCTTCAGGGGTGAGTACAGACTGTACTCACTGATGGTCAAATTGCAGATAGGAGTTTATCAGCCCAAACAAACTCCAGACATATATTATATAAGCCTGCAGTTACCATTCATATGTAATAAATATATCCCCGTATTATGAATACCAGATTTATTACCGCAGTTTATTAGTGTATTGACGGTAACCAGTAGGAAGCCATGTGTTTTGTTTACGGTGAAGGTGCCTCTCCCACACCATCTGCAGGACAGTTCCATGCATTTGTAATGTGTATAAGAATATATTCATACCATTTTGTACTAAATTTGGGTAATATTAATAAATAATAAAAACAGCCGTTTGACATTAGGCCCAAACAGTGATAGTAGCTGTGGTAGTGACAATGCAAATGCAATACTTCTGTCATGTCAGCTGATCTAGTGCACAGGTAGTGGGATGTAAATGAGCCCTGTGCTGGCTAATTCAAAGCGAGCATGCCCGGTACCGGTTACTATTAGTAATGTGTATACTGTAGAAACAGTTGCGGAAATGTGTTCCTGCACCTCGTAGTAACCTGCGTCTCCAAACGGCACCATTGCAGCAGAAGTATCACTATTTATGAATGAATGGGTATTGGTCGTGTAACGGCAGACATGATTGGTGGATTGGTTTGCTTTAAGTCATACTGTATAGGTTGGCCGTTTGGAGACACAGGATATAACAGGGGGTGTAGGAACACATTCCCACAAATGTACATATACAGTCATGCGCCGGTTAACGTCCAACCGCACAACGTCCGATCGCATATAGTGACCCCTCCGTTAACAAACTCAATCCGTTCCAGAAGGTCGTTCGTTAACCGAAAAGTTCGTTAACCGAAACCATTGTTTCAATGGGTTTTTGGGTAATTGGTTCCAGCTCACCGAAAATTTCCTAAATTCAACAAAATGGTAGAAAAGTTCACTTACTTTGAGGTGTGTATGTAGAAGGCTCTGGATGATGATGATGATGATGGGATTTAGAATGGGGGTGGAGAAGGAAGAAGAGAAGGCATTGGGGTGGAAGAGAAGTCACCCCATGGCGCCATTTCACCCAAAATTTTAGCTCTCTTGGTGTAATTCAAGATTATTTTCTTTAAATCAACACTGCACTGCATTATATATTGTCAATATGTAAAATATATTTCAAAATGATCAATAATTTGCTTGGAAACACAGAAAAAAGCATTTAGTTGAAGAGAGTCTCAAGCAAGATGTTACCTCCAGTGAAAACAGAGAGAGACTAACTCCTGTTTGCTGTGTTAAGAGGCTGGATGCCGAGCATTAAACTAGTCACTTTACCTTCAATTATGTTCAATAATTGTTAAAATAACTAAAAAATTGAATATTAAACTTTTAAAATTATTGAATCGTATAAACTTCTTGATATTTACTAAAATAGTAAGGAATTTAAGCCCTAGAACCGATTAATGTATTGGCGGACTGATACTAAAGCTGGTTGCCCGGTCAGTGCAAGCGAAAACATGTTGAGGTCGGTTCGTAAGAACTTCGTTAACCGAATTTTTTTTCGTTAACCAAATTGAAGATCCTTATGGAAGGCAGTTCGTTAATCGAAATTACGTTAACCGAGGTGTTCGTTAAACGAGGGGTCACTGTACGTCCGTGCCCCCCCCCCCAAGAAAAACACTTCCGTGACGCCTGCTGGACCACCACTCCACGACCCTCTGACGGAGACACGATGATCCTTCCCATACTGGCCAGATATTATATGTTAAAGGAATATCCTTCCTTAGGCTTTTTTTAAGCATTTGCCTCCAGGTGTAATGTTAATCTACATCTATTGAGGATAAAATATTTCACCTACAAATTGACAATAACACATTTGCTGTAATCAGACATACAGGGAGTTCTGCTATAACGCGTGTTTTGATAACGCGAATTTGCTCTAACGCGATTTATGAATTCGGAACAATATTTGTATAACGCGAACGCTTGTTTGCTATAACGCGATTTTTGCTTACTATTTCTCCAATTTTGTGGTATTAACTGTGAATATGGTAAAGAAGAATATCTCCAAAAAGCGCTCTGATGATAGAATTCCCGGTGATTATCGTAAAAGAAAGGATATAACACTTGAAGAGAAGCTCAATGTTATCAACCTCAAAATCACCCTTCTCCCCCATCAAGTTACATTCATATTTTTTCAAGGTAAAGTGTTAAATTTACTGTATGATTTCATTATTAGATATGAATGTAACATTTATTTAGACTGTGCTATCCTTTGTGTTAGGCTAAATACTAAATTTTTTCGATTTCGAGTAATCTGCACCTAACCCTATTTTCTCCATAAGCCCTGTTATTTCTATTACGCGATTTTCTATAACACGATATTTTACAAGAACACAATTATCGCGTTATAGCAGAACTACCTGTATCTAGTTGCCTCAACAATTGCAACCCCAGTTGCAATTGGGGTTGCAATTTCAAATTCCGTGTCATTACTAAGGAATAACAAAGTCTCTGGTGCACTGCACTCTAAGATTAAGAGAAAACGGACTCACGCATCCTGAAGCGAGAGAAAACGGACTCCTATGATGGGGGACACAAGCACTTACACGTGCCACTCATACTGACAGACTTGACACTCAGTTACTTGACAAGTTTTACCAACCATTAGTTGTGTACGTTATCTAGTGAATTTAGTCAATATTGTACAGTACAAGTACACTGCAGTACAGTGGTTCCTCGGTTAACAATGTAACAAACCTGTACTGTACATGTACTAAATGATTACGGTACTTAAATTGTTATGTCTATTGCAAATATAGATTGTTTATACAGGTATTCAAATAAATCACTATCTTACAAGAATCCCAGCAATGAAAGTTATATTCACCCAGGTCGTTTGGGTGGCAAATTATGAGAAGAGCTTAGTCACTCTTAAGTAATGATAAATAAACACGCAGGCCTTCAGTGCCAACTGTCAAATCGTATCTCAAATAAATAAACAAACACCAGACACTCTGTCACCTCGCCTCCCCCCCCCTCTTCCCACACTCGCTGGCTACCTCCCTCCTTGTGTTCCCAGACAAAAGATTCGTGATATCTTTATGCTGTAAGGTGTTTATTTTATATAATATCTCAGACTAAAGTTAGGAGATTATAATTTGCATTGCTGGAATCCTTGCAAGACAGCCAACAATTTGAATATAAACATCATATATTTTGCTCAAGATATAAAAATTGTAGTACATTAGTGTACAATACTGTAGTACATTTTATAATACAGTATTAAGTTTTTCAACTGTAATTTTGGGTAGATTTACATAAATTTCTTCATTTATTTTCATCCATTTACATGCACACACCATACTAAAAGAAACGTAAAAGAAATACTGTAAATGACTTTAGTGCAAAGCTGGAGTGCATACAGTCTGCGCGGAATGTTAAGTCGCGATAGGGCCGACGAACTAAGTTCTCGCAAAAATAAGATCATATGTTGTGAAGCCTGTCCTGGGATGCGAATGTCAAAACGCTTGGTTTGTTGGCAAGTGCTGACATTTGGCAACTGAGAACACGTCACGGCTTGTAGGCAGTGCGCCTCTGGCAGCTGTGAGGGGAAGGTTTTTTGTGCGGGTTCCCGCACCAGGTGGCCATGTTTTGTCTAGTTTAAGGTGCATTAACCCGACATAGTGGCCATCAGAGATGTCCAGGAGGGTTACTACAAGAGACGATATTGCAGCAGTGATTGCATTGTACAAAGCGAACCATGTACTGAGAGAAATATCGGCTCAGACTGGTGTGGCATTACGAGTTGTTCAAAATCTTGTCAAACGTTTCCGTGACCTTGGAGAGGACGAGTTACCAGCTCCATTACCTAAGTCTGGTAGGCCTAAATTATTGTCTCCACGGACACTTAAGGTTATTTCTCGACAAGTTCGGTCCAATCCCTCACTCACAGCACATGAAGTGAAAGAGAGAAACCCCCGTCTTTTGAGTCACGTCTCGTTAAGTTGTGTTCAACAAGCCCTGCACGGTGACCTGGGATTTAAGAGCTTTCGTGCCTGCCGTAAACCTCTGTTGACAAAGAGACAGAAGGAAAATAGAGTGAAATTTTGCAAGAAATATGAAGTGTGGGATTTAGAGACATGGAGGAGTGTATTATGGTCGGATGAGGCTACGTTTTCTGTGACTGGGAGTAATGGAGGGAGGGTGTACCGCCCCCCCACTCAGACGCGCACCTCCCACAGTACACAGTGAAGACTGTTAAGCACCCTGCCTCGCTTATGGTTTGGGCTTCCTTTACGTATTATGGTGTTGGTGAACTAGTAATCCTCCCTAAGAACCAGATGAAGAATCAGTACAACTATCTTGAACTGCTCAGTGATTTCTTACCTGAATCATTTGATAAAGCTAAGGCAAGCCTTTTCATGCAGGATGGTGCCCCATGCCACACTGCTAAAAGTGTCATACAGTGGCTCAAAGACTGTGAGGTACCTTTCCTTAATGACTGGCCTGGCAGTAGCCCAGATCTTAACCCAATAGAAAATTTGTGGTCCATTGTTAACTGACACATCATTAATCCCGAAGCTAGAGGCAGCCATCAAGGATACCTGGGCTAACTTGCCACCTGACCTCTTGCAAAACCTTGCTGACAGTGTTCCTCGAAGGCTAAAAGACTGTTTGAAGCGCAGAGGAAACACTACAAAGTATTAATTGAAGTGGTAAGTGTTACTTGACTTTATTTACATAACATAATCATAAATATCAATATTTTTTCAGCACACGAACTAACATTCCGCGCAGACTGTATGTACTAATTTGATTACGGTACTAAAATTGTTATGTCTAGTGCGAATTATAGGTTGTTTATATTTAAATAAATCAACATCTTACAAGAATCCCAGCAATGTAAATTATATTCACCCAGGTCATTTCACTGGCTTTTTATAGGAGAGAAGCTTAGTCACTTAAGAACTGATAAATATACACGCGTTAGACCTGGGCCTGTGTCAACTGTCAAACAACTCCCCTCCCCCCACGCGCCCTCGCTCACTCCCTCCCTCCCTCCCTCTCCCCCATCTGCCCAGCGTTGCTGGAATCCTTGTAAAACAGTGAATAATTTTAATATAAACGTTATGTATTTTGCACAAGAGATAAAAATGAATCACCTGTATCACATTACAGTAGTGATTTAAGAGTAAAAGTGTATATGTTTATATATAGTATTCCACATACACGTAAGTATAAATACAAAGTTTATGTGATGATCGGACAACGTCCATTTCGGTTAACGTCACGTTTCCAAGAACGTATCTAGGACGTTAACCGGCGCATGACTGTGCTGTATAATTACCCGGTATATCCTTTGTACTAACTTAGGTCAATTTAATTAATAATACAGTGATATCCCCATTAGCCAGAATTGGTGCAGAGCACTTATGGGTAACGAGACGACTCTCTCAAAGCCAGAAAAAACCCTCATCCCCAGAATTTTCCGGGTAACGGAAAAATTTTCTCAGAAGTTCCAGAAATTGCCCATTCCATCATCTCTCAAACCCGGAAAAATATCCCACATCCCCAGAGTTTTCCGGGTAACGGAAATTTTTTCTTGGAATTTCCAGAAAATGAGCCTGATTTTCATCTCTCAAACCCCCCAAAAAATCCCCATCCCCGGAATTTTCCGGGTATTGGGATTTTTTTTTCAAAATTTTCCAGAAAATGTGCCCCTCACAAAATCTTTCCCAAAGCCAGAATTTCCCAGAAAATTAAAGCTTTAGGAACGATTTACAGAGAATATTTCAATTCCGGATATCAGAGAGTTCCGCGTTTGTGGGATTCCGGCTAATGAAGACATTACTGTACCAACAAATGATTGATATTAGGTCCATAAAGTGATATTTAATTGTGGTAGTGAGAAACATGACAGCATATAGCCAGCAACTTGGACTTGCAACTTACGCGGGGGTTACGTTCCTGGGACCCCGCGTAAAGCCAAAAAACGCATAAGTCAGAAACGCTCATAAAAATCCCCTAAATCACCCTGAGCACGTTGCCGTCGATGGGGACACTTTTCTGGTTCAAATCTTCCACCCAGATGTTTAATGCCTTCTCCACATTCACCAGAGTTACATCTCTAACCTGGCTAGTCACCTTAGCAGTAATTGAGGCACTTGTAGACACGGTTTCACGAATTTCCCTCTCCCGAATCTTGATGAATCTCACGCTTGATTCGTTCCGCCCGTACCTCCGTGCCACAGCAGCGATCAACATGCCGCCTTTTATTAAGTTTAACACAGCCACTTTTTCTTCCAGGGTCATCACAGAGCATTGTTTTTCACTGGAGGACCAGAGGCAAAGGTTGGCTTGTGCTTGGGCATTATGAACGAGTATGAGAGAGGTTTAAGCGCACTAAATAGACACACATGAGAGGCAGTTGTTACTCCGACGATACACACGAGGCAACTTAGACAGATAGAAGTGCCCAGGTGGGATGGCGGGGTGGTGCGCTTGGCGGGCTATCGTGTGGCGGGCTTGGGACCCATTTTTAAAGTTTTGAGCTTGAAATTGGAAATTGTAGTCTAACCCCAGGGGTAATCCACATATAGTTGAAACCAAGTAAGAAAAATACTCATAAGTTGCGAGTATACTGTATTCCTTGCTAATTATAGGGTGCATCTTATTACTTGTAGCGTTTTATGAGCCAGAAAATACGGTACGTTATAAAAAATGCACGCTTTATTCATTGAACTACCATTCCATTTACATTTTTCACCATTTCACTCACCCTACCTCCAATATTTTTACATTGTAGGCACATTACTGAATCCATAACATTTAACTCTAAGGTCCTCTTCGCCCCCAATTCATTTCACTCTTTTCAGACAAGGTCCAATCATAAAAATACCATATACTCTTATATCATTGAACACACTCATTTCACTCTACATACCGCCAATTCACCGAGAGACTTGTCACTGAAGACATCAGCACTGGTATCCCAGTACAATCCCATGTTGGTAAGTTCAAGTAACTTGTAGGCCATCTTTGAATTTCCCCCATACACAAACCTGCAGAAAAAATAAAATCAATGTACAATATGTCAGACACAAAATTACCAGGTCTATCACTTTTGGTCTATAATCTCCTAATGTAAAAGTGGAGTCTCGATTATTATCAAATCGTAAATTATTATCCAACTGACTTAAAGTGAAATAATTAGTTTGGTTTCAGAGGCTAAGAAATACCCATAAACTGTTCCAAAATTGCTTTAATAAGCACTAAACATCAGACATCATAATACAGTACATAAAATAATGTAATAACACAGACATTGTACAAATAGTATCGTAGTTCTATATTAGATAAACAGCTCATTTCCTTCTCCTAATTTTGTGAGGGCTACGCCAATACACCAACATGGAAGGAGCCAGGTGCCGGTCTGGCTGTTACCACACTATATCAATAAAGAACCAGGATTATTAACCCAGCGCCAAACGAATTAAAAAATATGGGAATTATGTTGAAATTGCATAATGTTGTATTAATGAAGTCGGAGGGGCGTGCTTGGCTCAGGAACAAAGGGACACTCAGTCCACCACCCATCTGCCCTGGCTCCCACAAACAATTCACTTACTACTTTTCATTATTAATATTATAGTTTTATTTTATAGTTATTTTATTTCTTCGTCACATTGGAGCAGTGAGGTGATATAAACAAACATTGCGACAATCGGTGCTTGCCGTGAATTATGAATATTTGACCATGAAATTTAAATAAAGAGGTAGTCATATCTCCATTAGATGGAATCCCTTATTTAACCAAACTCTCTGATAGCCGGAATTGAAATTTTCTTGGAAAATCGTTCCAAAAACCAGAATTTTCTGGAAAATTCCGACTTTGGGAACGATTTTCTGAGAGGCACGTTTTCTGAAAAATTGCAAGGAAAATTTCCCGGTACCCGAAAAAAGCTGGGGATGAGGGAATTTTTTTCTGGGTTTGAAAGATGAAATATTGCATCATTCCAGAAAATTCTAAGGAAGGGGGATTACTTTCTAGGTTCAAGAGATGATATAATGTGAAATTTCTGGTTCTTTGAAGAAGATTTTCCTGGTACCCAGAAAATGATGGGGATGAGGGATTTTTTTCCAGCTTTGGGAGAGTACCCTCTTTACCCAGTAATCTCTCATTCCTTGAAAAGCTCTGCACCAATTGTCTGGCTAACGGAGATATCATAGTAACAGATGTACCTGCAAATTTAAATACAGTAATACCCCGCTTTACGCGGTTTCGCTTTATGCGATTCTACATTTACGCGGTACCTAGCCAGAACCGGACTTTCACTTTACGCGGTGCATCTACTCATATACGCGGGAAGCGGCGCGGGCAGGATGCGCACAAGGTCGCCCAGTCATCAAAACATTACCGAGTTTTCACCCGCCACCCACTACAGCCGGCCCAAGTCAGTGATAGTGATAGTGAGGATATGGACTTATATGGACTTTGAGGGGTTTGACAAAGAGGCCATGCAAGCCTATGTGGTGGATAGAGATACAATTGATACAAGTGATACAGGTGAGGGCCAATAATCTGCCCTCTGCCTTGGAACCAACCCCCCATTCCCGTGTGCCCAGCCATCTTTTCTACTAATGTAAGTGTTAAAAAACCAAATATTATTTATATTTCTCTTAATTATTAATTGTGTGTGCATACCATCATAAAATTAAGATGTTATCTTTACTACAACGTAGGTATTGTGTCTGAAAAAGTGGAGTTTGGGGGTCGGGCCAGTCTCTATTGGAATTAATCCCATATGTTCTATTGTTCACGTTACGCAGTTTTCACTTTCCGCGGTAACCCATGGGTTCAATTGACCGCGTAAATCGGGGTACTACTGTACGCATCTTTGTACTTCACGAATTATCGAAACTCCACTGTTCAGTACCAAAATTTTCTATGGGCTGCCCCTCTATTCACCAGAATTTTTTTTTTTCAAATCTGGAAAATCCAGCATAAGTCCGGACGGTTTGCGTGTCTGTGATGCGGTTGAATGTCTGTGCATGGGTGTCGTGCGGCACGTGTCTCATTGTCTCAGGCCGAGTCCTGCCTGGTTGCCTTTATATGTATAGTATCAGTGTGCTGCACCTCACAACCTACACTTATTTATGTGAACTTTTTTGTAGAGCACACAGTATCTTTAACTGGGATACTAACTGGTTTTAAGAATGGGTTAATATTATATAAGTTCAGTAAATATTTTAAGAAATGTGTAAAATTAGAAAAAATTCTTATGAAAACAACACCAATTGCTTACAGTACAGTGGTCTACCCGGTAATCAGATTTGCTGTAGGCCTAACAAAAGCTAAGACACTGCATATGTAAGAAGACTGGGGGTTGTGGGAGGATTGATTGGGCATTGCCGCATTTGTCAGGTTCATTTATTGATTCAGTATTATATTCTCGTATGATCAGCCTCTTACGGTGGATGGTTCATCATGATTAATATAACATCTTCAATAACAGAGAAAATACAATACACTATGTAATTTATAATTTAACTTGAAAATAAATGGATAAGCTGTATCGGAAGGTCTTCACTCAGGATGTGTTTGTCTGAGAGTTTTCAACAAATCAGCTTACAACAAAGTAACTAACAACATTATTTACAACCTTTGAGTGATACATGATGGCTCAATTTGGCTTCTTGTACACTTAGACAACGTATTAATGCAGATGCTTAATACTCTACACAACAATATTACCTATCAAGTGCTGATAAATAGACTACAATATTTATTAAGTGATAATAAATACACTATAGTACTGTACTAATTTACTAAGTGCTGAAGACAAATGTAGTGGTAAGCTTGAGCGGTGAGGGAACTAGGCTGATCAGTTGTTTCCCGTTTGTAAACAACTGACTCTTGGTGTTGAGTGTGGAATTCTTTTTTCAGGAAAGTTGATTCTTTATGATAATATTTTATCAACCCAGCACCAAATGAACCTAAATGATAAAAAAATTATGACGAGATTGCATAAAGACATGTTAAAGGGATGTTGGAGGAATGAGCTACCAAACCACGCAACCTCCCCTCAAACCAGCTGCTCTCAGATCACTCATCTCCCACACAATATATCCCTACACTTATTTTGTCTAATTTTTATTTTTATAGTACAGTACAGTATACAGTTTTCTCTTTACTCATAAGACAAATTCTGTGGTTACTTACATATAACACTTTACAGTACGTAACAATCATCTTGGTGAAAACAGTTGACAAAAACCAGACTTATGTCTGAATTTCAGCCTATAGACATCCGTTTCATTTTTTTATTATTGATGTAGTGTTTCAATAACTTTGTTGTGCACTTAAAGACCATAGTAGTTGAAGTGCAGCAAAAACATTATAACAACTAATTTTTTCAACAGACAAGATAAGAAATGTCATCTCCTAACACCCCCCCGATTTGCGTTTTTATTCCGGACTTCCGCATTTTTCGGGCTGGGGTCTGCTCAATTATTCTGATTTATCGAGGTTTTACTGTGTGTGTGCGCCACCCATCTCCTTTTCTAACCCCAACGACTGGTGAGAACCCTAAATGCCAAATCCCCTTCTGACATCTTCATTGATTCAATGTAAAAACATAAATACAGTAAGTGTTAACATTCACCAGATGTAAACCAGTAACCACTTTTAATCACTACCTGAAGAATGGCAACCATAAATTTTTGTGTTTGGACAATTGAAACAAAGTACCTGTATAGGCTGGTTATAGAAGGATGTCCGAGTGATTTTCTAAGAATTCAATCTGCAATAGGTTTTATTAGTTCACTGTATTAATATAAAAAAGTAGCGATTTTACCTTGGAATCCAGTGGTCATCTGAACTCTGGAGAGCAAGTGTGTCAATGGTGAGGCCACAAGCAAACACTTGTCCAGCAATACTCTGATCATCCTCATACCTCAAGTGAACATCACGTATTTTTAGCTGAAAATTAATTTTGATTCATAACATATTCAGAGATATTAGCATATACAAAGTTTAAAAACAGTCCTACGTGATTCATGAAACAAAAACAGACTGCCTGGATTAACAAATGAAGATTATTATTAATTAATGATTATTTTAATAGTTATAAATTTAAAAATTTTATTTTATTCATTTGCATTCAAGTATTTCATGTTATATTGTACCTGCACTCATACTCATGAAAAAAAAATGACGTACCAAAAATATTTGCAGATCCTGTCAATCATAACCTTTCCACTCTAACCTGACCCGTAAGCCCCACCCCTCGTCTATAGCTACAAAGGGCTGATTGGTTCCCCTGAGCGTCTTGCATCCTCTCTGAAGTACTAATGCCTTGAAATTATTTGCATTTTGATTATTCAGATAATTATTGAACATTATTTTAGATAATAACAGGTCTGCTTACCAATTGTGAGCACATTTAGTTTGAATTTCCTATGAACCAATCAGCTACTGTATTAACATAGAATAGGGGTGTGGGTTACGGGCTACATTAGCGTGGAAATACTAAAGTCAGGTTGACAAGTTTAATATTCATGTGACTGTGGTCAAGCCACTTGACCATAGGTAACCTCATAATAGCGTCAAAGCCAAAACAGGTAGAAATACCGAGGTCATTAAGTTAGGTAATTTATTTTTTTTACTATGTTAAATGCACACTGAATCTTATATACAGAATGTGAAAAAAAAAATAATAATATCAAAAGGTAAAAAAATAAAATAAAAGGGAATAAACATCCTTAGTGTGTAAAGGTTTCATGCTGAGCGGAGACAGAGGAGGGAAGTCAGCTGTTCTGAACAGTCTCCAGTGTGTTGTGAAACAATGGACAAATTTCATCGTCAAACAGCCAAATGGCAATATGGTATTTTTTTTTATTTAATCTATTGGTTATTTTTATTTATTCCTCAAATTAACTAGTACAGGATAGGTATGTTATTTTAAGAAAACTATGGCTACATGAGAAAAATACACACAAAAGTTTTTCCTTACTACTCCCTGCTGAAATGGGAGGGGAGAGGGGTGCATCTTACATGCCTATGCATCTTTATTAGCTGTAAAATGCAGTACTGTACATAAAGGACCAAAAAAACTATCCCAAGAATAATTTTTCTACTTATAGTAAAAAAGGATCACATAATATATAACTATACCTGAATATTTTCAATAATATTAGTCATGAATGAAGTTCCAAAATTAAGCCATGATGAGTAGGAATTGGCATAGTGAGAGGCCTCATGACAAGCCTCCTGGTTTGCTCTCCATGCAGCCTCCAAACCATCCAGCTGTGCAATTTTGCGAGCCTGTGATGCTGCTTCCTCAGCTTCCTCATCATACTGTCATAAAAAACACACACAAACATTAATCAACAATGTATTACAACTTAGAATGTCAGTGGAAGTGAAAAGAGAACTGTGTAAAGAGCGAATGGAAATCTTAATGTCTTCTTTGCCAGTGTATAAATCTACCTTTGAAGATTAAAACATATCCCAAAAACTAAGTAGTGACTTATCTTCTAAGTGCAAAATGTGTTCCTTAAATTGCAGGCATATTTCACGGAGAAAGACATCAGAGTTGATGAAGAAAAACAATATACGGTGTAAGTGGTTGTCATCTTGAATCCACTGTTTAAGAGTTTACATTCTACTGAACCCATAGGTTATACAGTATATACAGTAACTTGAACCAAATGCCATTTTAAATTCAATAATCTATACTATTAACGGTATTCAAGTTTTCACCATACAGTAGGCTCTCACCAATAACGTTTAATAGGTGCCTGAAAAACACCGTTATTAGCGAAAACGTTATTTGTGTGACATTAAAATACATGTAAAAAGGGTTTATTGGTGCCGCAAGAATTTCACCCATTTTTTCCCCTTGAAGCCCTCATAACACTTTTTGTGAGCTGAAATAAAAAGAATTGCTATTCAATCATCAAAATAAAGAGTTTGAGTAATATAACACTTAGTTTTTGAGGTGCTTGGTGTGATGATTGTTCCGTATCTGAGGGCCGCTAACGCTTGCACTGTCTTTCATTCTACAAGCTAACCATTTCACAAGAAAATGCTCTGTTATCACTAACAACCTGTTTCTATCACCTTTATCATTCATAGCTCGCCTCGCATTTCCATCACTTCCGAAATATTTTTAGCCAGCACAATACTCTTCTTGGTCTCCTCTAAGTTCCTCTTAATATTTCGCACTGTAGACTCAGGACAGCTCAATTTCCTCACTTAAAAGTTCCCAGTCATTCAGGTGGCAAATCACTCCCTCCACCACCTCCCCTAGCCCCCACAGGCAAAAATGCGGAAGCCATTATTGATCACCGACACTAACAACCACTGGTTATAGTGGCGAAAATCTCACACGTGGGCGCAGCGCTGTATTCCACTGAGCGTGTGAGAGTGAGAGTGAGGCGGAGTCGACAACTACGTCATCAACATGGCGGCAAACAAATGCTATCATTGATGCGCTCGGACGCTTCCCGCGAAATTTCCGTTATTCAAGAGAATCCAAAAGTTATCGAAAATGGGTATCTATTGTAACTTACCGTTATTGTCGAAAACGTTATTGGCGAGCGCCTACTGTATCAATATTATTCATTTTATTGATGATGGCTTTATTATCATCCATAATATTCAATACAGGTTGAACCTCCCTAATCCGGTACTCAATTGTCCGGCAAAATTTTAGTTTGCCGGACGACCGCTAGTACCCACCGGCGCTAGCATCCATGGTTCGGCATACCTTTGTTTACATCTGGTCCTCGTGGTGTTTGGTGCATTCTTTGGTATTTCAAGTGTTTCTGTAATATTTCACTTGTTATTTACCCTTAATATGCCTCCTAAGCACATTTATTTTATTACAGGTATTTCATTTACTGTACAGATATTTTTTTTCTTTACAGGTGAACATCATCAATTTATGTACAGTTACCGTAACTATTTTGTCATTTTTAGTGCAGAATGAGAAATATTGTTTATCTATTTTCGTTTATTACAATTACCGTACACTGTACAGTAGAATTTAGATATAACACGAGATATGTTCCAAGAGAAGTTGCTTTAAACCGAATTCCCACTAAATCGAAGTGTTGTTTAAATGGAATAATTTAGTTTGGAACTTGAGAGAAACACAAAATACTGAAAAGACTGAGAGTCTACCCAGATGCACCTCAGCCCATCTCCTAGAATAAACAAAACATTGTTCTTTGTAGTAGTATGTTTAAACAAACACTCATAAATCAACACAGCTATAATTAAGGGATGCAAAATGGTCTGTTTACTGGCTGGGACGATGGGGGGAGGGAGGGAGGGAGGTAAGGTGATATGTTTGACAGTTGATGCTGTAGTGGATACTCTCTTCCCCTACAACTGCTGGTTGATCACTTGCCGTTCACTTACCAGCCAACCAGGGGTGAGTTCCTAATGTGATGGGCCTCATTTTCGGACTGCACAATGATTGGCCCGTTACCACCTTCACCTCAGCCAATCAGCAGCTTCGCTCACTTCACATCTGTCTATCTGATCCGGCAGAATAGAATAAATAACCCCAGCCTCGCCGTGAAGGTCATTTTACTCAACACTCTCAAACAGACAAGACCTCCTCTCAACAAGCTCCTCACCACACAGCAACTCCCTAGCACTGCATTGTACATACAATATATATTAGAAAACGTCATTGCGAGTTTCCTTTCTCACCTCCATCCTCAGTGCGAATCTCCTACGTGTACGTATGTATGTGAGCCTAACAAAGAGAAAATAGACAAACACAAAGATAAATTTGACAACTGGCCACATACCATACGCTACAATGCCAAGGTCTAGTGATTATTTATCTATCTGTCCGTAAGAGTGACTAAGTTATTCTCTTATAAAATGTCACTGAACTGACATAGGAGAATATAATTAACATTGCTGGAATTCTTATAAGACAGTCATTAATTTGAATATAAACATGCTATAGCTCTTCGATGCAATGTTGCTTCACTCTCTCTTTTACAGGTACTTTAACAGGCAATGTTAGGTGGATTTGGCATCCTGTGTACCGCCGGCAAGGCCGTGGGCTCGTAACACACGTCTTGCCCGCGGTGTCCACCGTTTCTCTGTGGATGTCGGCCACACGAGAATAACCCGTTATAGTACCTCCTTCTTTCCTCACACAGCCAAACTGTGGAATGCCCTGCCTTCTTCTGTGTTTCCATACGTATACAATCTGTCTCAATTTAAAAAGCTGGTTTTCCGGCATCTTCGTGGTGTAGATTAACACAGTACAGTGATCCCTCGGTTAACAAACGCCTCAGTTAACGAAATTTCAGTTAATGAATTACCTTCCATAAGAATCTTCAATTCGGTTAACAAAATTTTTATGAAATCATGTCAACATGTTTTCGCTTGCTCACCAGCTGGAAGATTAGTCCGCCAATACAGAAATCGGTTCTTAGGCTTACATCCGTTAAAATTGGAGTAAATATCAAGAAGGTTATACTATTCAATAATTTTCCAAGTTTTATATTAAAATTTTTAGTCATTTTAACACTTATTTAACATAATTGCAGTACAGGAAACTAGTTTTTGGTGTGCCAATCAGCCACTTGACTCACCCAGCAAGGCGTCAGTTTGTATCTCTGGTCAGTGGAGGAAACATCTTGCTTGTGGCTCTCTTGAACATAAACTATTTTTATGTTTTTACAGTACAATTATTGGTCATTCTGAAATTTATTTTACATTTTGACAATATATAGTGCAGTGCAGTGTTGATTTAAAGAAAATAATCTTGAATTACACTGAGTGAACTTAAAATTTTATAGGTGAAATGACGGCATCAAGCATGGGGTGATTTCTCTTCCACCCCCACTTCCTTCTCTTCTCCCTTCTCCTCCATCCCCACTTCTAATTCCCATCATCATCATCAACCAGGAGCCTTCTACATACACACCTCAAAGTAAGTGTACTTTACTGCATTTATTTTTACTTTGTATGTAATTTTCGGTGAGCTGGAACCAATTACCCAATATCCCATTGAAACAATGGTTTCGGTTAACGAACGACCTTCTGGAACGAATTGTGTTTGTTAACCGAGGGACTACTGTATAACCTTTTTCTTCTCTATTTTCAATTTCTTTCTGTTCTTTTTTTTTTCGCCCCCCAGGCCCCATTGTGGGTCGTTTGACCTGTGCCTGGGTGTTATTCTTGTAAAAAAAAAAAAATACAAAGAGCAAAATTTTTTATCTCTTGTGAAAAACATATGATGATTATATTCAAATTATTCACTGTCTTGCAAGGATTCCGGCAATACAAATTATATTCTCCTAACTTTAGTCTGTGATAATATGAAAGATAAAAACTTTAAGCCTATAACACCAAACCCTGGCTGGGAAGATAAGGAAGATGGGGGGAGGCAAGTGACAGTGACATGTTTGACAGTTGGAACCGAAGGTCTAGTGAAGTATTTATTTGTTTATTTATGTCCTTTAGCTTGAGTTTATGTTTTTTGTTTATAAAATGTCACAGAAGTGACCAGAGAGAATATAATTTACATTGCTGGAATTCTTATAAGATAATTATTAATTTGAATATAATCATGCTATAGTTTGCACTAGACAAAAATTTTAGTAATCATTTAGTACATTATTTTGAGTACATGTACAGTACAGCTTTGCCCTTAGGACAGTGTAGTGTGCCCAGAGAAACATTAGGCGCAAAATTTTAAATATGATGCTCCAGATTGGCGCATCAATAATACTATGTATTTTACAAAGACCACCTGTGGTTCGGAAAATTCTATAGTCCGGCACTGGTCAGGTCCAAAGGGTGCCGGATTAGGGAGGTTCAACCTGTATCATCTTGTCAAATACCAAGATGTGTACAACCAGTACCATTTAGGTAAATCTTTGATACAAATTACATCATAAACATGCATGAAAGGAGTGAATACATGGGTTCAGTATTCAAATGCAAATACATACATGTACTTCTTATTTCTAAGTACAGTATATGAATACAAAGAAAGTGTCACTCCAAATGTAAATATGAATACTTAATTCTGGGATAATTTAGTCCCACATATTGATAAAATGTGCCAACATCGACACTCGAAAACTTGTTCCTCAAAACAGAATCACATTGGAGCTCAATTAATTCTAACTGAAGATCTTCTGGTCATGAAACTTCATTAACACTGACAGAATGGGTTCTGAAAATTTCTTAAATCTTTCTCAAGGTATTTGAAGTCAACAAATCTTTCTTGGAACTCATTCCTTAACTTGGAAATCTTGATGCAGTACTTTTCTGTGCTGGTATCAAAACGAAGCTCAGTTGTGCCTTGCAGGGACTTTAAGGTCGGAATGTGTGAAAGATTACTCACTGCAAGTTGCCTTTCAAAAATCTGCAGTTTCATCTCAAAGGCATGAATGCAGTCATAAAACTCTGTTCCAATTTATTGCGTCCTTGCACCTTTGTGTTCAGGTAATTTAAGTGCTCTGTAATATCCACCATGAAAGCTAGAGCTTAAACCCATTCATTATCTTTCAATTCATGCATATCCTTTCCTTTCTGTTCCATAAACATCTGTATTCACTACACAATTCATTAAATTGCTTCAGTACGACTCCTCGACTTATCCAGTGAACATCAGTGTGATATGGCAGTCCATGTGTGTTCTCTCATATTCTTCCAAAAAGCAGTTGAATTGTTTGTAGTTCAGACCTTTATAACGACATCCATGACATTATCCAGCTTCTCCATGTATAATGCAATGCAAATTATGAAATTGATGGTTTGGGTTCACAGCTAGTAGTTTTTCCTTTAATTTTGTTGCCACACCAGCTTTTCTCCAAACCATTTGCAGTGCTCCATCTGTAGCCAGACTCACAGTTTGCACCCAGTCAACACCTAATTTATCCAGTGCCCCTACCAAACTTGCAAAGATGTCATCACCTGTTGTTGTTCCTTTCATTGGTACCAGTTCCATAAACTCTTCTGTTAACTACATATTTTCATCCACACCACATATAAAAACTGCAAGTTGTGCCATATCAGTTATATTGGTAATGTACTTTCATCAATTGCAACAGAAAATGCAGTAAAGGACTTTGCCTTTAAGTTGACTGTTAATATTCTTTGATAATTCATTAATTCTCTCTGCAGCTGTATTTCTTGAAAGGCTAACATTTGCAAATGTTTGACATTTTTCAAGGCTTCAATGACACAGCTATTTTATGGGTAATCCTGTAACTTGACTTAACTGCAGCAACACTGACTTGATGAACACTCTTAAATACTGACTGCTGCTTTTTCAGTGACTGTTATAACTCTTTAACTTTGTCTTCGTGTAACTTGCCACTATATTTATTATACTTCTGAGCATGGTTAGGATCATAATGCCTTCAAACATTGTAATCTTTGGCAACAGCTACAAGTTGCTTACAAATCAAACATGTCGGTTTTCCATTCATTTCAACAAAAAAGTACAAGATATTCCACTTTTCCTGTACCAACTGACGCTTGTCATTAATTGTTCTTTTCTTTGATAACATGACTATGGGCTCAAAAGTAAACACAATGGATACTGCTTCCGATGTATGCAACGCTCCAACTGCCTTGAGCGACTATGCAGGACTAGTACCCGTGTGACTGCCCAAGTGAGAGTCAGCCGTATCAGAGCTATCACGTCTAATACCAGTAGACAGCCAGTGGTCAGCCCATCTCACAACTTGTACAGTGGCATGCTTAGAACCACAATTAACCATTAAAACTATCTCATATTGCTCTTTCATTGGTGCTGTTGCACTGAGTATTTTATTCTAGCAAACACCAGACAATTTTATTCAGCTGAGGGAAACCCCCACTAGTCAAATGGGCTAACAACACATTTAGCAGGCCGTCAGTCTAACACCAGATACGTAATGGAGTGAGATTCACAAAACATCCTAAAAGCACTTGCCTTTGAACAGACTCAATAGAAGCGATAGATTCAATAGAATAAAACAGCATTATCCAATACAGATAGTCTCACTTCAAATGCTAGTGTCTTAGGCTCTTAGCTGCTCAAGGTGCAGCTGGAGCAGCCAGTGGGCCGTGGGCCGCGGGCCACATGTAAGAGGGCGCCAGGCCACATATTTGACAACCCAGGTTTAAACCATACTCGATAACAGCAAGCTCCAAAAAAATTAACTGGTGAGTGTTATTAAATTTAGTTCCATTATCATTGATGTTAACAAAGTCTTCATTTGAATACATGTATAAAAGTTAAGCATTGTCACCCCGCAACAGCCATTTTACTTGTTTTATTATTGTTGCACTGGAGTTGTTTGCTTGCCACTTAATGTTTACATTTTTGTATGGAGACGGCAGTAGAAAATCAAGTGTACTTGTAATTCTAAGCAACGGCAACTTTTTTCTAATGTTTAAAACCTATTTTGCAACATTTAATCCTTATTTAGCCATTCTGCAATAAAATAGTAGTAATTAGAGGGATTTATTTATTTTGACAAATTTTGCTATTTGCAAAAACACACCTCCATAAGTACATTACAGTATAGTGGCCTCTTTTAACAGATATTGTATTTTGCTTAGCAAACCTCAAGAATGTATCTCGTCCATTATAAGAGGTATTATATCTTTTTTCATTTGGCATGAAATCTTTATTATTGTACTCCAAATTAATTATCTACTTCTTCCTACTGTATTTACCTTGAAGTTTACTGTATCACTTCACCTCACTATCACTACACTGGCAAGGAATGAAGCACTCATAGACATACCTCTTCAAGTTTTACAGGTCCTGCCACAAGGTAGAGCTGATCAAACATAATGACCCATGGTTCTGAACGTAATCGTGAAACTGGAATTTGAAGTTTAACTTTCCCAACAAATCCAGCCCGGACCTCAACTGGCATATCCAGGTGCCGCAGTGCATCTTTCCGTAGTGGTACATTCTCCAGTTCCACTTCCCCTGTGTGAAGACAGTATTCTTTACATAGTACAGTACTCCAAAATCTTGATAACTTGAGTACTTTTAAGCTAACAGACTTGTATTATTTACTTACATTTCATTAAAAATAGGGAAGTCTTAATGCTTACAAAGATATCTGGCTTAGCATTATTTCTTGGGGGGAGGGAGGCAGAAAACAATTATAAATCAAATCCCTACATGGTAGATAGACTACCTCAATTTCTCTTTTACTGTACTGGCATCTACAATAGTACAATATTTTCCTGGATGTGTGCACAGTCCACTACTAAAGTCCGTTCGCCTCTCGCTCTGAACCACGAACCCCAAGATTTAGATGCATGAATCCGAAGCATTTATGGACAGAATAATGTACGTATCAGTCTACTGCTTTGGGTTCACGAGTCTGAATCTCAGAGTTTGTGGTTCAGAGGGAGAGGTTGAATGGACTATAGTAGTTGACTGTACTAATCCTATCACAAGTCATAAATTGAAACACAATAACCAGATGCTAGTTCCTGTTCAGTATTATATCATATAATGTAGGTAGATGGTAATGTGACAATTACAAGCATATGTGACAACAAACCAACATACATTCTCGGAATGCTCTTACCCATGTTATTTTAAACCATGTATTGTGACTTTGAACTTAATCAAATTGTGACTAAATTTTAATAACTTAACCCAATGCAGTGACTCCAATTCACCCCAAACTCTCAATGTAATAGATTCAATAGTTTGAAGTCATTTGGTGAAATATAAACATAAAATACTTGCAAGGAGACGGAACCAATCATAACATATACCAGTTTCAACATGACTTTAAATAAATAAATTGAAAGACTTGAGTGTCATAAAAGAATTTCTATACATTTAAACATGATTGGGCTGAAAATCAAAATTACTATTTATACTGTGCAATACATGCAGTATTATGGCACTATCAAGCAAAGCAAAGAGAGAATCATCCATATGTCCCACATATGAGGATTCATTTTGAGAACCCTGCCAGTAATTCTGAGATTCGTTTAATGCATCACAAGACATTCTCTCTTCCCCCTTGATTTTCTAAAATCCTACGCTATAATACAAGTACATGTACAGTACATTCTTCTAAATACTAATACTGTACATAGTAGCAATACTTTTTGCTGAGAATATATAATTTGTTACAGAAATTGAGGAAATTATGGAGAGCATTTCTGATCCTGTACAGACCACTGAATGGTAAAGTGGCATAGAACAGAAGAATAAAGAATTAAGTCTAACTGGTAGGACTGACACCTCCTCAAGAAGCAATTTCTGATCTTTTATTCTGGTAGTGCATCTACTAATGTTTCACTTCACTGAAAAAATATATACAGCTGTATACATAGAAGAAAGACTTTCAGTTAGAGGCAATAATAGTATTTATCAGGTGCCACTGAGAGTGCTCTGACTCTCAATTGACTAAGCCATGTCAAAATTTTCATTGCTCAATTTGTATATATTTTTATGGTTAAATAAACGGTTTCAATATTAATAATATGAAAATTCATGTTGTCTGACTTTTCCTATTTCTATTAGTAATTACAACTACAGTATATGTTATACTTCATACATTCAATCATCATTTTAATTACTGTACTATTAACAATTAAGAGGAATGTGACTTCCAAGTGGATACACCTCTCACCACCTGTGCTAAGTGTCACTGGTTCATGTCTGGGGCACCTCCAGTAAACCCAACTTTGAAAGGTTACAACTTCACACTTGAGGAAGAAATGGCAGTTAAAAGTAGTGCTGGTCACAATGCTTCCTTGTGTGCTGGAGGATCGGTATTCAGTTAGATGTATTACAAAACCCCTAACAGACTAAAAGGTCTATGGTACCAACTTTCACTTTCATCAACACGGTACAGTAATATACTTAAAAGGCTGTCACTGAGCCAGTTTCAACCTAATTCTTTACTTTTCTCATCATCAGGGCTGCTTATCATGTAAATACAGATAGTGATTAACAAAACAATAAATACTGTCCCTTTGCTTTCATACATTCTGCAAAGCAGACTTATATATAATACAGTCACAGCAGTTTACAAAGTAGTAGAGTACAGTATTGACAATTTACCCGTCAATAGACCAATTGAGAGCTGGTCTGTGTGTAAATTTTCCAGGTACTTTCCCAGATAATTGTTGAGTACCCATGTTGCCAAGCCCTCAAGCATCCTGCCTCAGTTGATTAAGTTGCTTTTTGTGGAAACTATCAGGCCTGAAATAAAAAGAACAATAATAATTAAATAAACTTACACAAGAGGCTGTACGAGACTGTGCAACTTGGAGAACTGCCATCAGATAACTATATCACAAATATGGAAAATTATCATAAAACAGTCTTGATGATGATAGGTAAAAATAAATAATGTTGTTTCTTAAAAAGTGTAAAATCTTGCATAGTGGGACTAAATAGGAGGTACCCGGGTTACGTACGTTCAACTTATGAACATATGCCAATACAAACATGGTTCCATGAAGTTAAACTTTAAATTTAGTTGTTGCTGTTGTTTTTTTTCTGGGGATTAGCCCAACCAGGCACACACTAAACAAGATATTATGCTTCCAACATCTTTCCGAATGGTAATACCTCCCCGTTTGACAGCTGCCTACTACCTACTGCCCTTACCTGATGACTTATTTTTTACTTACCTTTACTGTATTTTATAATTATATTTCTTCTTTTCACTTCAATTAAGTGATATTAAATGTATATAAAGACTTAGGCTATGTTATAGTGGGATTTTAAACAGTTCTGCAAGTACAGTGTGGTATGCATAGACGGCATGTGTTTCAAAGTACATTTTCAACCTAAGAACATCCGTAAGATTGGAACTCGCACGTAATCCGGGGACTGCCTGTATTGACAATATACAGTCTTTGGTAATACCTGGTACTTCACAAAAGATGATTGGCCTTAGTGTTTTTGGTCTGGTTAACCTAGGTTTGGTTTGATTAGTTTTCTTTACTTGATGAACGATAAATTGTAAAATGCAACAATATTTAAAAAAAACGATAAGGAGGGAATGTTATTATATCTTACAAAAATAAAACAGTAAATAACTGTAGTATTTTAGAATAGGTTAGGTCTGGTAAGTTACTTTTCTTAATGCCACATTATGAAAAAATTTTTAAGAATACAGTGGTCCCTCGGTTAACGAACGCCTCGGTTAACGAATTACCTTACATAAGAATTGTCATTTCAGTTAACGAACAAAAATTCGGTTAACGAAAATCTTACGAAAAATTTTTGACATGCTTTGGCTTGCTCATCAGCTGGAAGATTAGTCCGCCAATACAGAAATCGGTTCTTGGACTTACATTCGTTAAAATTGGAGTAAAAATCAAGAAGGTTGTACTATTCAATAATTTTCCAAGTTTTATATTAAAATTTTTAGTCATTTTAACACTTATTTAACATAATTGCAGTACAGGGAACTAGTTTTTGGTGTGCCCATCAGCCACTTCACTCACCCACCAAGGCCTCAGTTTGTATCTCTGTTCAGTGGAGGAAACATCTTGCTTGTGGGTCTCTTGAACAAAGAGTATTTTTACATTTTTACAGTACAACTGTTGGTCATTCTGACATTTATTTTACATATTGACAATATATAGTGCAGTGCAGTGTTAATTTAAAGAAAATAATCTTGAATTACACCAAGTGAAATTAAAATTTTATGGGTGAAATGACGGCATCAAGCATGGGGTGATTTCTCTTCCACCCCCACTTCCTTCTCTTCTCCCTTCTCCTCCATCCCCACTTCTAATTCCCATCATCATCATCATCATCAACCAGGAGCCTTCTACATACACACCACAAAGTAAGTGTACTTTAACGCATTTTTTTTTCACATTGTATGTAGTTTTCGGTGAGCTGGAACCAATTACCCAAAATCCATTGAAACAATGGTTTCGGTTAACGAGCGACCTTCTGGAACGAATTGTGTTCGTTAACCGAGGGACCACTGTATACAGTATAGCTTTATCCAGGAAAAAGAATTATATGAAACTATCCAACTCTCAATTACAGAAAATAAATACAGGGGACCCCCAAGTTCGCGGATTTTTACTTCGCGGATGACACCCTGGATGTACCCAAGATTGTCTGTGGGTAGTTTTAAAGTTGCAGGCATTTTCGCGGCTGGGACAGGGTGCCATTCGTTCTAGAGACAGTAATTTCCTTTACCTGTATTGTAAATATGTGTGTGTGTGTGTGTGTGTGTATAGACACACACACACAAAACAATAATAGCGTAATTTGAAAATACTATCACAAATAATCACAAAGAAATGTATTAAAAATGTGAGTTTACCCTCACATTCGTTCTCTATTACAGTACTTTATTAATAGAGCACGGATGGAGGGAACTCACATTTTTAATAAAAAAAATTCTGATTATTTGTGAGAGGGTTTTTCAATTATTATTTATTTGTATGTGGGTGTATGTGTGTCCGCGCGCACGCACGCACGCACACACACACACGCACACACACACACACACACACACACACACATACAATACTGTACTACAGGTAAAAGAAATAATTATCCTAAGGACAAACACATAAAGGGAATACAGTATACAGTATTGCCCCGCTTTACACGGTTTCACTTTCCGCAATTTCTCATTTACGCGGTACCTTGCCAGAACCGGACTTTCACTTTCCGCGGTGCATCTTCTCATATACGCGGTGAAGTATAATTATTTTTTTTTATTTAGCTCATAAAATTCATACAAATTACCCGGCCAGAATATAATTTACATTGCTTGAATTCTTACAATATGATGACCATTTGGAATATAAACATCATGGATTTTGCATTAGACATACAAATTTTAGATCTAATGTAATAATTTGGTTTAAACAAAGCAAATATTTTATCGCTTGTGCAAAATATATGAAGTTTACATTCAAAATATTCCCTGACCTGCAAGGAATCCAGAAATGTCATTATATTATCCTAACTTTAGTCTGAGGTATTATTTATTACTAAACGTTAAAATCTAGTGTTTTCACCCAAACATTTCTCAGAGAGGTAGGAGCTAGTGAGCTGGGAAGAGGGGGGGAGGGGATTTGAGTCCATTATTTGAATGGACATTAACCTGGCGACTGTATTTCTCTTAAATATTAATTGTGTGAGCATACCATCATAAAATTAAGATGTTATTTTTACTACAACAAAGGTATTGTGTCAGAAAAAGTGGAGTTTGGGGGTCGGGCCAGTCTCTATTGGAATTAATCCCATATGTTCTGTTGTTCACTTACCGCAGTTTTCACTTTCCGCGGTACCCTGTGGGTTCAATTGACCGCGTAAATCGGGGTACTACTGTACATTTTTTTTTACACAAGTAAAAATGCCCCCCCTCCCAATGTTATTCACGGATTTGGCGATTCGCTGCCATATTGAGAACCTAACCCCCACGAATTTGGGGGCCCTCTGTATGACAGAGACAGCTCTTCCGAATAAAGAAAAAAACACAAAAAATTGCAACTGTGATAACATAAACTGTAATGTACTTCTGCATATTTTAGTTTCTTAAGGTAAATGAGCTTTTATTTTCTATGGAGAAAATTCCTTAAGTTGGTGCTGAGGCCAGACCATTGATAAAGTACAGGTACTGTACTGTATTACTTAATCTTGTCCCCAACCACTGGGGTGGCAACCTTAAAACCATATACCTGTATACTCTATTTAACCCAAGTACAGTATGGCTGTTGAAATAAACAACAGTCCCTAAGTATGGCTGACAGTGAAGATTCATTAGTGACCATAATGGGAAATTAACAACCAAAATAGCTTTCCTAATATTTCTAATGGTCATTTAAATTAGTTGATTTTTATTTACTTCACTGATGCATATTTATTGATATGAACTGCTACCAATGACAATGGTTTCTTACAAAGTGGGTAGGGCTTTGAAGATGAGAGAAAATTTAGTGAAAACACTAAAACAAAACACCAACCAATAATGGTAGGAGAGATGGTTAGGACCACAAGGACTTTATGGAACTGCACCAAATTTTCACATGTTATTTGGATGACACTAAATGTAAGAACCTGCCCTAACCTCACCTAACTTCCTAACCTGTATACTGTATTATTATTTAAAATTTCTTACTGTCATCCAAACAGCACTTCAATAAACACTAAATGAATCCAATCCAATATAAATCGTGGTAAATTTGCATAAGTGGGCCCCAATGCAATTGAATAACAAAACTAGGTATATGTTTTCCAGGTGGTTTTTGAAGTGTTTTGAATGACTTTGATGTTCATTTCTATTGAAAATCGCTCATTTTGCGATAACCCCCCCCCCTTATCCCCAGTTTTGGGATGGAGAAAATCATAAAAACCAGTGATTTCCGATAGAAATGAACATCAAAATCGTTCAAAACACTTCAAAAACCACCAGGAAAACATAGTTTTCCTAATCTAACCTAATTCTTATCCTCGAGCCCACTAATACAATACAGTACAGTAATACCTAAATCTTAATAAACACGCCAGATGAGATAATCGTTCGTTTATTGACATGTAAACAAAGACTGCGATGCTCCCGTATAGCTGACGATGTGAAACTAAAACATGGTCACCATGGGAGATCTGATGGCGCCATAATTACGGCAATTAATTTATTTATTCCCCTACAAAGTACGTAGACGTGAAATCACTGGTATATGATCTGTATTCATTGTTTTTACCCCATTATTTCCCTCTCCTTTAATGCCCTGCCCACTAACTGTAGTACAGTAATTTATGATCAAAGGATAGGCTAAAAGGAAAAAAACTACAATGTTATCATTTCGATTTTAATACTCAGTATCATCCAAACATCTGAAAATTTGGTGCAATTCCATAAAGTCCTTCTGGTGCAAACCATTTCCTCCACTATTACCCACCAATCTAACCTTTGAGAACCTGACCTAAATTTTCCTAATCTAAAACAATGCATATTTTTACAAAAATCTTACCTTATTTACCTGATTAAGGAGCATATAGTGATTCTATGTGCCTAGTTTCTTACACGTTCAAATATGTTTATTCCTTCTGTACATGATATAGACAGGATCAGGTTACAACAACACTGACGGATTTTAAGTTCATGAAAGGCGGCGTCACACCGGCATTCCTTCATCGATATTTTGTCAACTTTCAGAAAATCGTCAAACATTTTGTTGTGCACCATCACCCGCGTTTAGAACCAACTTGCCAGTTTCCCTCATTCGACAACTGTCAGCAAACAAGATGGATTTAACTAGCGAAGAAAGCGCAGCAATTCTACGCCTTTTTTGGTACTGTACTGTATATGAAAAGTCCTGGTGATCCCAGACAGCAGCGCTGCCTTATCTGGTCCACCAAGAATTCGTCAGAGAGGCGTGTCCATACTTGGCAAATTACTTTATCTGTTGGCTCAGTCATGTTGTTGTTATTCTCGTGTGGTGAAAATGTAAACAACATATGCCATTTTCTTACCCTTTTAAAATCACGAAATTAAACATAATAATTAGTAATCTTGGGAAGAAGAGTAATAATTTCTTCAAAATAATTTTAGCTTTATATTTTAAGTAAAAAAAAAAATTTACAACTTTGTAGTATCAATTATAGATATTGAGTTGACAAAAAACCAACGATAACGCAGATGATTTGTGAAAATATAGACGAGTAATAAAAAAGTTAATAATAGAAATGCTAGTGTGATGCCACCTTAATGACACTTTCATGGGATACTATATTCATTTCATATTAACACGAGCTTCACATAATCAGCTTGACCAATTCAAAGACACTAATTTTTCTCTCGAGAGAGAATTATGAATACTCAATAATTTCATCTAGAAGAATTCCTTCGTGTTATGGCTTCTTTGTGACGAATGCATACACAAAAATAAAACAAGAAGGGAATCACTTAATACTCCTCCACCAGTTAAATTAGGTAAATTTTTGTAGTCAGTATTAGGATTTTTTGTAGGTTAGAAAGGGTTAGGTCATGTTCTCAAAAGTTTGACCAGTTATTAATTAGTGTTCTATTTTACTTTATCCTCTTTGCCACTGATCAGTCTGTTAACTGCTTGAGCATTCGATCACATCTCTGTTATGCACTGTTGGCAAGTACTGGGCATGTACTAGCTCCAGAATGTAATCAGTACCTGTACCATTGTTGATTAAGTCTTGGTCTTGAATGAGCCCACACTCAGTGCTGTCACAACACTGGCAGCCTGTTACAGAGTTCACAATTCTCACTCCAAAAAAGTATATGCCCTGCCCACTTTCTGCAATTCATTGTTGTATCTCAATAAATGGTAATACTGAGCAGACGACTTACACCAGGGGTTCTATTTGGTTAATATTTTTCACAAATGTTCTTTGGATTATAATAAATGATGAAAACAATACGACAAATTTTAATTATAAGTATTTGTTATAGTTTTTTCTATCAATTATCATAAATCACCTGTAGTGGGCAGGGTATGAAAGATGAGGGAAATTGAAGGGTATACCATGGTGAAAATTTGATCATATGACACTAAATCGATGTCTCTACATGCTTTGTATGTTTGGAAATTGTTCACTGTAAATATTCCTAAAAAAAATATCAAATTGTTGGCCCATGGTGTTGTCCACTCTGTTCTCACACAACAACCGACCTGCTCAGTCCAAGCATACTCTCGCGTCCACCAAAAACATAAAACTACACCATGCTAATTCCAGAAAGTTGCTTTCATTGGAACCAGATATCCAAGTAAGTATATTCTGTTTAATATGACGGGGAGCCCCCTGGCTAGGAAGTTAGGTAGGTTTCTTTGGTTTGTTAGGTCAGGTTTTTATTAGGTTCTGTGGGTAAAGTTTTAGTTTCGGTCATCTGCAGAATCTTCTAATTTAACTATGGAAATCAATAGTTTAGACAATTCTAAGACACTTTTCGTTGGCATTTTCCTCGCAAATAACCTGACCTAACTTCCTAACTGAAGGCTCCCCCCACCCTGGCATTTGTAAGTCATTTGCGAGGGTAACATCATAAAAGGAAAGTAACTGTCTAAACTACTGATTCCAATACTTAAATTCCTGAGATTCCCCAGATGACTAAAACTAAAATAATACCGTTCTGTGCAAGGTAACTTTTTTTTTTATTCGGTCTATTTTCCAAACGTGTGAAAAAAAAAAGAATGAAATCAAAGCATTCTGGTGTTAGCCATCTGCTCCAGGATTACCCCATAAATATATCAGTGATGAAAATAAGGGTCAAATTATTTTAAATTGCCATGAAAAACATGAAAATCCTATTTTCGTTAATAATTTCCCATTCCGGTTGCTAACTAATCTTTACTTGGCAAACAAAATAAACATGTTCCTAAATATGGCTGAAGAAATGCACTAACTTCAATACACTAAATCAATATCTAACGTTAGACATTGATTAAAATAATATATTTAGTTAATATATCTCTTAAAAAATCACTAGAAATAGGTTCCGCAATTTCAGAAAGAATATTTAGGTAATTGACACCCATGCATTATAGACATTTACAATTCAATTAAACATAGTGAGTTTTCTTACCCCTGTATTCATCGAGCAATGAGTTGGGAAACATATGCCATTCTATTTGATTAATATTTTCCGTGGTGTGTAGTAGGTTCATCCCGTGCCCGTCCACTGAAGCTCACATACAGCTGAGGTTACTATCATACTGTGGTCACGTACCTCGCTAACCCACAGCCGAACAGGAACAATTACTGTACACTTATTTATTCACAGATTATCCTCTCGTTTTTTTTTATTGTAGTTGTTTTCTAGTATTTGGACCTTAATTGGAGTGCGTTCTGAGGAAATTTAATTGCTTAATGATGAATCCCAAAAAATACAAATAAATAACAAAAATAACACAGAATTGCTATTACTGTACTAAATTTCCGAAACCTTAGCGTATTTTACACATTTCAAAATAATGACACAAATTTTCTGACAGTTTATTATTAGGCTAACAATTTTATCCACTCACGAAAATCACTTAGACAAGGAGAATTTTCAAGGAAATCTGTTGTATATTTTGTAATCATAAATAAGAATGTTGCAGTCCTAATAATGAAATCATTGTAAAGAATTTGAAAAATCAGGTTTCATTTCTTTCAAATATATCTTTGATATATTTTACGCAAGGGATTATGGGTGATATTTTCATATAAGTTTAGGACCTGCTAATGCTTTATTCAATCAGATGAACGGCGAATGATTGACTGGTAACATGATCGAGCATTGATAATGGAGATCAGTTTAACAAGGTTTCTGAATAGTAACAATAGTTAGTGTCGCAGCACGAGATCCGGAAGGCCAGTCTAGCGCCTGTCTGATCAATCAATCAATCCGAGTACCATTCTCATTACTTTTTTTTATCCTCTTCGCCACTGATCAGCTCGTTAGCCGCTTGGGCGATCGGTCACGTCTCTGTCACGCACTGTTGGCAAATACTGGGCATGCACCGGCTCCTGAATGTACCTGAACCCGCTCCAGTGTTGGTCAAGTCTTCTCTTGAAAGAGCTCACACTCGGTGCCGTCACAACACTCTCTGGTAGATTGTTCCAAGAGTTCACAACCCTCACTCCGGAAAAGTTTGCCCTCACGGTTTTCTGGACTTGTGGCTTCTTCAATCTTGAGCTGTGACCCCTTGTGGGGCGAGCGTCCGCCAGCTCCAAGTAAGGACACTCAACTGAGTAGTGCCCCCTGAGATGCTTATACACCTCAACTAGGTCCCCCCTTGCCCGTCTGTAGTATAAGCTAGGCAAGTTCAGGCGCTCCAATCTCTCAGGGTAGCTGAGGTGCCGAAGTGCAGGCACCAGTCTGGTGGCCCTCCTTTGAAAATTTTCGGGAGGAATCCACTACATCCCAACGAGATGACGAAACTGCATTATTTGAGACTGAATGTGAGAAGGACCGAGGTGTGTATGTTGACAATGAGCTGAAGTTCTCGGGCCATTGCGAGAAGAAGGTAAATCAGGCAAATAAATTATTGGGTCTTATAAGAAGGTCGTTCAGTTATCTAGACGGTCCGTCCCTCGTAACGATCTTTAAGATTGAAGTGCTTACCCTGTACTGCGCACATCATTGTCAATCCTAAAAAGAAAAAAAAATAATTCATATTACGCTACATAATATTCAAATCCGCCTAGCTTGTAGAATCTCACAGAACGGGAAACATTGATAAAGGATAACTCACCTACTCAATGTTACTGAATCATGTGTTGTATTGTACCCAGGTACGGTTATTTAATATTAATTGTATGTATTCATAGCATTAAGGAGAACTCAATGATCTGGAAAAAGGATAAATGTATCAGAACTATGTGAGGTGTTGGGAGTGACCCAGAAACTATACTTGAAAGGAAATATCTTGTATGCATCGGTGTGAACTTAATACACCTCGACTCCTCGGGTGACGTATACCCACGACAGGTGCAGTGATCAGAGAATCTTATGTCTGTGTTCAAGTAGTGCAATGTGTGAGAAGATCCCTAATTACAGTTTTAAGTGAAGTGGATACCCACTCTATGAACATTCAGCTTTGGTTTCAAGGCAGCGTCCATTGTACCCGGCCTACCGGTGTGAGTTGTTGATATAGCCCACTTAATTTCCCCAAGAACTGTCAAGCCCGAACCGTGTTCTAGTATGTAAGTTAGGATTAAAATATGGATTTCTAAGACACCAGGTCACAATAAACGGGAAAATGGAGATGTGAGAACCATAAGAAATCAAAGTAAAAATTAAAGATTGGAAACTGTAGGCCTACGCAGTGAGGAGATGCAGGGCACTGCCCTCAGTATCCTTCGTTCTCCCATCACCTAAAGTCCCACGCGGTTGGAGTGCCTTGCTGGGCGGCGGCCATTATCCCTGTGAGTGCCCCACCATGTGAGGTGACTACTCCCAGCTATGCTATTCCACTGCGAACCTGTGGATTCCCAGCATACCACCCCAAATGAGTAGGAATACATATGGAAATGCTCGAGAAGCTCTGCGGTCGTCACTTGGAGCGACTTATAATACCAGGTGTAGAAACAGTACCGGTATGTCTCTTGGTGTAGCCCTCGTCTCTACCCACCGAGGGCGGTGTGCGAACGAGGTGCCTGATATGTGTACCTAGAAATTACAAGGAGTCCCATACTTGCAGGTGTGGAGTGTAACAGGTGTGGTGAGATGGTGCTACAGGGAGGTGAGATGGTGTTACTATGTATGATGACCTTAGGTGCTATATTCCATACAGGTGGAGCAGTCTGACGTGTTGAGTGTTATTGTAAGAAGAGTAACCCAAAATCTTCATTGTTCTTCTGAGGAAGGCCAACTCATTTGTGTTTTACCGGAATGCAGTATGTTTTATAAGGAATAAATTAGTTGAGACATGTAATGGTTTCACCCTTTCCCCTTATCGATCTGGTCAATGAAAAACCTAACCCAATGCCTAGTCCACTCTGCCCACTACCTAACGAGCTACATACTGCCCAGAGGGGGTCTGGTGACAGCAACCCTTAAAATTAAGACTATAGTTAAGCTATCCCTTTAGACTTAGTGACCCCAGAATCTGGCAGTATACCCCATCTGGAGTACTGTCACCCCGTCTGGTCCCCGAGATATGCTAGAGACTGTCAGTTGGTTGAAAATGTTCAAAGGAGGGCCACCAGACTGGTGCCTGTGTAAGAGCGCGATTCCCTTACTTCATATTTTATCTTCCAGATTATTCTTTTCTGTTATTATTATTCCATACTATATATATATATATATATATATATGTAACCGGTTGGAATTACTGGACTTTAATTTCTCACTAGACTTGGGGTTTATTAAAGATTATTAGATGGTAATTGCAGTGGAAGCGCCCCTTTGAGAGAAATCCCGAACCAGCACAAGAACACTTAAATTTACTAAACAAAATGAATTGTCCGTGACCCGTGGAAGGATAGTGTCTGTGACTGGGATGAATGAGACACACTGTAAAATTTAGACACTTATATTCCCTCTAACACTACAGACACAATCAAATAATGGTACACCAATATGCACACCTTTTAACCTGAACTTAAAACACACTTGACAAACTCCACAATTAGAATAACATTAAACACATCCTGTCAGTTCGGAAGGAACAACATGGCACTTTAACTCTCATTCAGTGGTAGTACACCTGGGGGAAAATTCAACTACTACTATCAACAGTACCGCTGGTAACACCAACATCCATGGGTTCAATACTTAACCTGGGATACTATATTTCTACTAGTCAACCCCAACCATAGATTATTAATACTGCTCCATACTTATAGCCAAGATCAATGTATGGACAACAGCCACCAGGCGGAGTCCATGGTGAGGGAGATGTTTACACTGACAGCAAGCTGAGGTTCGCTCGCAAGGAGTGCCTGGGGGTAGACTCTCTCCTCACGGCGTTCTCTGGGTAATCTTGTCGTCTTGCCATGTTAAAGACATCCTTCAAGAACCATCTTGCCCATAGGCGTCCATCGAACCTCAGTAGGGGTCTCAACACAAAGTGCCTGGAGATGCGTCGAGGAAAACTCACGAGAAAATGTATGTCTAACTTTAACTATACAAAACATACGTCTGGCAACGATACAGACGATATTTACGTTACTCGACTTATTTGGCCGGGATATTTCACTATGTTAAAACATGAACACTGATATTCACAAAAATTTACTAAGTTAAACTGACTTAACATGACGGCGAGAAAAAATCATTCACATACCTGGAGATGCGTCAGGAAAATTCACGAGAATGTGATTTTTCCTTGTGCATCGGTATATATGTGAGCCTGGGGCACTTCCCGCCCACGTATCCCTACCAGAAAGATTAATCTCACCAACAACAGACCTTCTATTCAAATTGGTCGCTGTACACCTAGCTGTAACCATCAGTGTCACAGGTCAGGCTAATTTTCCACATCTATCTTTATAATCTAATCAGAGGTTGAGCGTGTCAGGAAAGAGGTGAAATGGAGTTACATACGCACTAACAACTCTACTTGCCGGAAACCACAGACCACAGCCCAGGAAGAACAGCCGTTAGGTCTTGGAGATTTTGAGTTTGACAGAATCTTTTCAGTAGGTTAATGACTTTTTAAAATAGACAACTGACACCAACTAAACTACAAACATCAGGTTCCCTGATGTTTGGGCAACAAAATAAGTCAGTGCCAGATTTAGACCTGTGGAGGCCCATGGGCAGCCTCTTTGTGGAGGCCCCCCTCATTATAACTACCCAAGAGGGTGGGGTGGCGAATGAAGCGAGTCTAAACATCTGGGAGTTCCGGGGGGCGCTGTTAGCCCCCCGGGAAAATTTTGAAATTTGAACACTTCTTTGGAGAATTTTGAAGCCATATTCAGTTATATTGAGGAAATTAGAACATTGAGAAATTTTTGATTAATTGTATATTTATTGATAGTGTACAAATTCCCAACACACACACACACACACACACACACAAAAGTGAGACATGACTGGAGTCATTCATGTAGTTTCAAGTCGACCAGCCCTGATATAGCTACTACCGCACATGTCAAAAAATTTTGGAATTCTAAATATATTATTAGCAACACAAACAATAGCATTCATTAAAAATATACGGTCATAGGAAAAGCAGGTATTCACGAATTTCAAGGAGTAGCTAGCCTAATTTCTATCACGCTTCTTGCTGAACATAGTTTTACGTGATGGAATAGATAAACATGAATTTTAAAGAATGA